TGGGGGGGGGGGAGATACAAATACCATTCCCCACCTCTACCTTACCTAAGGTAGGTACCTACCTGCCCACCTATCTCTACCTAAATATCTTATCCTATCCATCACACCTAATTCAATAACCCTCTTTGGACCAAAATCACTAGCATATAAAATAAACCTAATACACGCCATCAATCCAATCAATCAATCAATCTGCAAAAATATTGCATTCATTTATTCATGATCTCATGATCTCATGAGAATAATCATTCATATATATACAACCCAGAACCCCCCCCCCAGCAAAAGAAAAACTCCAAAAATCAAATTATTCACATCCACATCTCATTCCATCATCCATCATATCCCTCTCTCGTACCACATCTAACCTCCCCCTCCAAGACATATACAAGTCCAATTCAATTCAGTTCGGACCAATACTCTCATTCTCATCTCATTCTCATTTCGCACCGCTACAAAGTCGTCGTCGTCGCTCAGCACATCATCATCATTACCCCGTCAAGTCCCTATCCTTCCATCATTCCATTCCCCAAAATAACCAGAGAATCGGAATCGGAACCAAATCGTATATATGAGGACGAATAAATATGCCGAGAGAATTGGAGGATGAGGTGTCGTTGTTGTTGTTGTTGTTGTTGTATAAGTCTTTGATGATGATATTTCGATAAGGGGAGATGTTCGGGAAGAGAATAGGATGGGTGATGTGAGGTGAGGTAGAGATGTGAGGTGAGGTGAGGTAGAGATGTGAGGTGTTGGAAGGAGGATGGATGGATTGTGTTTGATGATGAACAGGGACATGAACATGAATAGCGAGGTCGGGTTCATGTAAGGTATGTATGAATGAATGATGGATGAGATGAGATATCAATCTCACACTCTCTTCTTCTTTTTCCACATCTCATAAACGAGTCTCCGAAAGACTCCATTCCTCACATCTCTTCCCCCCCCCCCTCCCCCCCTTTCCCCAAAGACTCCAAAGCCAAAGCAAAAAAAGAGAGAAATAAAATTTACGGATCCGTATAATCAATACCCCCAAACAAGCCCCAAACCACACCTAGCATGGGCGCGCACAAACTCCGATCCTCATCCCCCCACGCCTCGCCGAACAACAGCTCGTACTCCCTCTCCTCCGCAAACGCTCTCTCGCGCGCTTTCCAAGCATGCCAGCTGTGCGCGAAGTCTGGGCGGAGAGGAGAGGAGGAGAAGAGAGGGAGGGGGAGGGGGCTTGAGGGGGAGGGGGGATTGGGAAGTGGAAGTGGTTGGGGGGCAGGAGGAGATGCTGGTGGTGGCTTGATGTTGTTGATGTTGACGTTGATGTTGATGTTGATGTTGATTTCCGGGCGAGGCTTCGGCGAGTGCGAGACCCGGGGCGTTCGCGGCGCCGGTTTTGGCGGCGGTGGGGAGATGGAGTGGAGGCGTCCATGATGGTGGTGATGATGGATGCTGGGGGTTATAGAGGAAGGAAATGGGTATAACAAATAGCAAAAGGAATCCAAAAGCTGAGGGAAGCTTGATGTAGAGGAAGAGAGAAAAGTAAACAAGGGGAGAGGAAGGCTTTATATATAATATATCCTGAGTATATTATATTATATATAGGTATCCATCTTCTATATCATCACGGTAGAGTGGGATCACGAGATATGACTCGAAGCCTCGTCATGTGCTCCGCAACCGCTGAGAATTCGGAATCCCGCGGCTGAGTCACTGACCCCTGCACCGCGTCTGGACCCTTGGCAAGACCCCAGGCAGACTCCACGCGAGAAGCCATCGGCGAATAGTTGATGCGCGATGTTTCAAGTGCTTCCGTGCTTTTGCAACGAAGCCTTCTGGGACACAAACGTGGAAGTGGAAGCCTGTTTCGCAGAAAAGGGCTTTGCTGCTTGGTTGGCTGCTCGCCATTCGCCACGTGTGGCTGTGCCGCATTGTGGCGTTGCGCGAGGCTTATCAACGTCGATATCGGGCTTAGCGCCCGAGCCATCGTACCGAGGCCGCGGGGCTGGAGAGACAACTCGTCTCTGTAGCCTTGAGGAGTGTCAAGGGGAAGGCTGCGCGCGTGGAGAAAAAAAGCAAAGTGTGACTGCAAAAGCCAACGCTGCCTGCATACGTTACCTGTACCACATAGAACCGCATCTTGCATCACGTCGCCAAGTCATACCTGTTTTATGGAAAAGCTCTGCTGATATAGTTGCCTCTATGCTCCATGTCCGCCCAATCCACAACGCCATCATATGCTTCGATTCATGCCCAGTCGTGCGCCGTGCCATATCGAGCTTCGAATCCATTCATTGGTAACCGCCTGCCTTCGCGCGCTGAGATGAACCCAGAATTCCACCATCCAACAGCTCATCAAGAGCCCCCGGGTTCTTTCCCGCTCTGATGTCGAGTTCCGCCCCCACAATGTTCATGTGCTGGATTCGTCGGCGGGCCTCCCGCTCGTACTCCCTGGCTGTCTTGAGTGCAGTAGCTTGTAACGTTGAACGCGCCGCAGAAGGAACGGAAGTGAGAAGCTGCGTGCACATTAGCGTTAGAGGTCCAATCTAGAGCATACCCACTTACCCTGTTCTGTGTATCGATCCGTGCAATGAGCTCCTTGCGCGCGATCATCTGGCCGAGCTCTTTGTCGATGGTCTTCCCTGGCGCTGCGAAAGCAGCGTTCAGGCTGTCCAGAGTCACACATGAGAAAGGGATGAAATACTGGACGATGCTTTTGCTGCGGACCATGTAATAGAGCTCATCGACATGATCTTGGAGGTGTATATCCAGGAGGTAATCCGCCCGGTATGCTTCGAGGATACTCAAGCAAGCAGAGTACCGACTATTAACGAAGAAGGTGATAGCGCGTCTGATGTGAGGTTCGAGTTCCAAGTAGGTCCGGAAGTTTGAGTTCTCAAGCACCCTCTTGTGCAGATCGGATCGCTCCATGGACGCAAGGGCGCATAAGCCCCCGTAAATCGCGACGTCATTTGGACTGATGATGCTATTGCAGCTAGAACCCATACCGGCTTCTGTGCTGAGGAAGTGTAAGGCTGCCGTGTGATAGTTTCCCATATCCATATTTGCCAACCCATCAGCAGCGGCTATGTATTGTTGAATGGACTTGTCATCCTCGACAACCGATTGGATACCTCTGATCTTCTGCACATTGGAGACGACCGAAATCCAATTCCTCTGTTCAATCGCAACTTCGATAAGGTGCATGCTGACGTCCACAATGTGTTTTGGTATGCTGACATCTTGACGCATGCGGCTGAAAGCCTCGAAAGCCTTTGGGAGATCGCCTATCGCCTGGTAGTGTTTACCCAAATCCTCGTTGCCCATCTGCATACCCGCGGTCAGCCATCAAAACATCTAGCAATGGGCACGGATAACGTACTCGAATACTCTCTTTAATGAGGTTGTTCTTATATCCTTTTAATTCGGCCTCCAGCCGAGCCGTCTCCGCCAGATTCTGTTTCCCCACAGTGTCTACCCACGCCTGGTCTCTCACAGCCTCGGGCTCCTGAGGCGCGACCGCCTGAAGGTGATTGCACGCTTCTACATATCGCCTGGTATCTTTGCCAGCCTTCGCTTCGACAACCGCAGCTTTGAGAGCTTCGACCCCGAGGAAGGAGGATGATGTGCCGATGAGGAGGAGACGTTCATATCTGGTTCGTCCTGGAGCTACATTAGCCTCCTAACCCACGCATAAGATAGGATTCCTTCAAGCAGAGGAGGATTACCCTTGTAGTTTTGCACATATGATTCAATATCGAACTTTGGGGGTTCTGTCGAAAGTCAGTTAGCTCTTCAGCCTCTTGCGTCTTTCCGACTTACCGGTCACAAGAGGGCCCTTCTTCGTGCGAGATTGGGTTGGTGAGCTGGGGCTACTTTGCACCGCAGCCATCTTGAATCAGGGCTGGGCCGATGTCTTGTCCAGAGGTGGAGGGAGGATGAATTAAAATTGTGGGGTAACGGTTCGAAGCTCACGATAGTACTCCGTAGGTATGTGCCCAGGCTAGATAGGTAGCTCGCTGCCTTGCGGTAAGGTACGCTTAGCGTGAAATCCACATCACGTGCACAACAGAGCCCCTTCGTTATCAACCACCCCACGAAAGCAAGAGACGATATAATATACAGCTAGTAGTGCATTGCAGTCTAGCAAAATCAACGCTATCTATTGACATTATACCATGTAGTCATGTAGTTCAAAGTGACCTGTTCACCATCCCAGACGCCCGCTCAAATCTAGCCAGGTATATATACGTACAGCATTTACACGTCAGGGAAACTCCTAGATGCTCCTATTCCGATCCAACTCCGACCAATGCATCATTACCTAAACCGTTGATCGGTGACCGTGTTGTTCCAGTCGTCGCGATCCCCTGAGCCCGAGAAGATCCCGTCGAAGTCCAAGTCGACGTCCGGCACAGCACTGGCGGGGTAGCTCATCTCCTGAGGATTAAATACAGAAGACATCACGTTACTCCCCGCACCCATTTGCCCTGTCATATCAAAAGGTTGCTGTCCTTGCAGCAGATATGGCGGGAGTGGACCAAATAGTTGACCTTCCAGGTCATCATAGATACCTGGCCCACTAGTGCCGTTGGAAAGAAACATGGGTGGGGCTCGAGAGCTCTGCATACTACCAATGTTTTCTTGTTTGATATTATCGAATTCTGTCATCGGTTGGTTGGGGTAAGCGAATGGGTCCCCTGATGGGAACATCATCGCACCGAGGTCTGGAAGGCCGCTGTTGGGACTGAAAGGCTGCGACATATTGTATGGTGGCCGTTGTAGAACGTGGTCACTATTAGTGGAATCCGGAGTTCCATGGGAAGATAGGTCTGTGGGAGAGACAAGTTCTTGGAAACTTTGTCTAAGATTTGGGTTTGACATGGTGTTGGTTCTGAACGGAGCATTATCGTAGACAGGTGTTAATACTGGGAATGTGGTCGCTCTTTGGCTCAAGGGTGCGGGTTCTGGCTCAGGCACGTCCGCTGTCCCACGTATACCTTGCAGGTTCGGCGAAGGAGCTGACCGCTTCTTCTTGGCAGCCGCAGCAGCAGAGCGCCCATTCTTAAGCCTCTCAGGCAATTTCTCAAAGAGGGGCTAAATCATGATATTAGTATAGGAAACAAACCAGCTGCAAGAGACTTACAATTAAGGCGCTTGAACATCGGTCTGCGGCCTGACTTCTCTTCGCAAGACCTCTAAGGGCGTCTTTCCCATCATTTGCATCTGCCAAGATCTCTTGAGATCCTGATTTATCCGGATTCTCAAGAACAAAGAATACTAACGACAAAATAGCGAAGAAAGTGGTATACATTGTAAACCAATATGCGCCAATCAAGAGGCCTCGTTTCTTCATCTCAGTCGTGATATGTACGATGTTGCGGGAAACACTGATGCAAGCCGCAGCACAGGCATACGACCGTTCATCGATCGACTTGTTCGCGGAAGACTTCTGAGAAGCGTAATGTAAGAAAGGTCTGTAGAGCATCATCTGGACATGAGCATAGGCCAATCGCAGAAGTTGTTGAACTCTACAGATATTCAGTCAGCATACTCTCATCTAATTATGCCCAAAGAGCACCAAGAGCAAGAAGCCGTATATTCTACATATACTCATTCAAATGAAAGTTGGTAGTCGACAATATAGTCGGATTCGTGAACTTACCTCAGTACTTCTGGCGTTCCTTCCCCCCCAGGTCGAAGTGCCATGGGCAGTTTATCCAGCCAATCGGCCAGGTCTCGCTCGATTTCCCGGATCTTGGCATGGCTGATAACGTATGAGGCCTTCGAAGGCTCCTGAACAGATTGCTCCAAGCCTTTGATCGGGTAGATGTACTTGATGACCTTAGTCAGAATAACCATCAATCGGGTATGAGCATTTGAGGCTGCATATAGCGAGGTTTTGCCGGGAGGCATTGGGTGTACACCTTGCTTCGTGATATATTCATCATCAACCTCAATCGGTAGCTCTTGGTCAATGTCGTCGCTGCTTAGCATTTGGGGAAATCCCAGCAAAGCTGAGACATATGTATCCATTTTGCGAATGATCCAGAACACCCGACGCCTTATTTCTCGTTCTATTGGGTTGAAATTGCCAGAAAGATTACGGTGCAGCCCCATTCTCAGTGATGACCTCAACGCAATGCCAATATATGAATAGCAAGTGCTCAGGTTGGCGGACGACTGAAGAAACAGTATCATGAAGAGGATAGCTTGTAATGATGTAATATCGCGACAATCTGTAACATCCATCATTTGGCGGGCAGCTCTGAAGTACTTGAGTCTGATTATAGATGTTAGTGTCTCTATTGAGGCAATCTCTCGTATGAAACATGAGGGGTCTGAACTATATAGCGTCCGCGTCTCACTCGAGGAGGATCTCACAAGTGAAGATATAATTAGAACAGTACTAAGGTATATAACCGAGGTAGTCGATGAAGGCCCCGTAACGAAAGCATATTTGTAGACAGTTGACTCACCCTTGGTTAATGCTGTCTTTGTAGGAATCTTGTGTTGATTCGTCTAGGTTGTCGGCCGGAGTTGCATGAAACATGCAGCCGAGAGCGAGAATGACATAAAGGAGGGGGAGATATCGGTTTTCGTCGTCGCCAAAATTCTCCGGTGGGATATCGTAAATTCTATCGAACATTTCGTAGAAAGTAGGTTGGTGTATAAAACGAAGTAGAGCGCATGCGCAATTTAAGGAATCCTGACATAAGGCCCTCGCTGTCTCTCGAGATGGAAGGCCCATTGTGTTTGGGAGACCTGTCTCGAGCGGAGAACCCAGCGAGGACCTGGGCGACTCATATAAAGGATCCAAGGGCTTTGATCGAGGAAGTCGAGGCAGAAGGGGAGCCCGATAATCGCCGCCTAACAAGTCACCAAATTGCTCGCGCATGCGCCTGACAAAGACAGCTCCAGACGACCCTCCATGGAAATCCCAGTGTCCGCACTCGTCAAGATCAAGCTGACCCGTGGATTCAATCATGGAGCGCAGCTGCGAATCTTTCTCTGAGAGTTTCGACTCGCCGGAGTTGGCGGTTTCTGACGAATCTTTGTTGGCATTGCCCGCTTGACGCTGCTGCTGAATGATTGTATCAAGATTTGGGTCATTCAGATCAACGTTCGGGAGGACGGTTTTGAGAAGCGACTCGGCTCGTTGTAGGCGGGCTTCAAGAGCTTCGATGTATTGGGGTGCGGGGTTCCTTCTCCGATTCGAAGGCTGATCGTATGTACAATCTGGGGAGCATTAGTCGAAACCCGATAATTATGGCAAAGGTGGGATTGAGGGTCGGGAGAGGAACGATCGCACAACAGAGACATACCATAACTATAGACCGTACAATGAGTACACGGTTGCTTCCCATCACACTTGATCTTCTTCCTGCGGCATTCGTCGCACGCCCTCGTGACGCGCCGCCGCTTCTGCAATGGCGCCGGAGTGTGCGACGCGGGGGTTGAGGTCCCGGGGGAAGTCTGCCCTGGCATCATCTGCCATTGGGTTGCGGGGATAGGATTGGGGTCCTCCTCGACCTCGAAAGATTCGGGGGAGGAGTGGCCAGGACTGGCAGCCGATGGGGCCGTTGGCATCGCCATAGTACCCTGAGCGAAGGTTGCGCCTGACATCAAGCAGAAGATTCAGCACGTCGTGGAGAAAAGGGCTTGTCGCATTTCAATTCCGCGCCCCGCCTTCTGGGGGACAACACTCGGGCAGATGGTCGTTCGTCTCCCTGGTGGTGGTAGGCGATGTTGACGTTGGAAGAGATCGAAAAGCCGCAGGCCAAAAAACGCAGGAAAGGCAAAACCCCCACCGAGGACGGAGGATTACCTACTTGTCTTAACGCCCCTGCTCGCTCGGCTCCGCCTGCGACGGGATGACGGTCGATTGATCAACAACGGACTTTGGACACTTGGGCTTTTGGGCTTTTGAAATTGGATTTAGTTAAGATGACTGGCAGAAAGAGAGCACCGTGATAATGGGCGCGTGGCGCAGAAAAAAGAAGAGTTGTAGAGAAGAAACTTCGCAGGGCGAAAAAGAGGGGACCTATGGATATTAGTATGCTCCCTTAGCACAAGTGAATTAGCACGGAGTAGTTTAAATAGGCTGAGCGCTTTCGTTGGAGGCAGAGGCCGCGGTAGAACTACTGGTCCAAAGGACGACGGGCCTAGGCAGGTCTTCAGGTCAGGTATCAAGGTATCAAGGGATCAAGGGAAGGGATCCAAGTATCGAGGTACCTGACTGTGCATTGCTCCCGTAAGAGTAGCCGGCCGGGCGATCATCACTCCAACATCGGAGGAGGATATCGATCGAGCATTCTATTCCTCGGTGAAGGCCATCTCGAGGACAGTGTAAGATGTCAGCTGCGCCCATGCCTCCTTTTCTCTTCGGGTTGTTGGGAATAACTTGGGAATAGCAATGCCTCCTGAGGTATTTGTCTGCGGGATCGAAGGCCGTAGATCTATCTACTTATTACTATGTGCTGACTTCTAAGGCATATCTCACACACAATAATACAATACTACTGTATGAAGTATTTATATCTCATTGTATCCATTTTTGTATCCTTGTCTACTATAGGATCTATTATTGTATTAGGAGGTACTAGGCCTGCTTTGATCAAAGCGCCTCTCCCTCTCCTATTATGACGGAGTACATCCTCACGGTCTTACGGAGTATAGTCACCAACAACCTACCTTACCTACCTTACGTGCCCCTATTATGATCAAGGACCTCGACGCCTTCAAATCTGCATCCGTAAAGTCTTCTTCCATCAGCTGGACAGGAACGACGTTCTCTGCAGGACCCAGTATTTGCCCACCCCGGCTTCCAAGCTGCCAACCAGCTCTTATAGATCCTTTCCTAGCGCAGCCCCAGATGCATCTTGGAAACACATGCTCGATTTATCCAGTTACACCTCTCCCTCTTGACACTCGTCTTCCCCCCTCCCCCTCTTTCAGTTCATTCATTTCCCAAAGTTGCACCTCAGTTGCACATCCCAAGACTCCCATTATATCAGACCAGTCCTGTTGAGCTGAGATACGCTCGACAGACGTCATAAACCCCAACCAACGGACGGACTTTATAAGCCTTCCTTGAAATATAGACTGCTTTTCAAACGCCGTCCCCACCCCTCGCCCAATCATCCATTATCAAACAGAAAAAACTGTCCAAAACTTATCTATCTGGACCATCATGTCCACGAAACCCATCTTCGTGGCTACGCATCCGAGAGCGTGTAGCACCGCTTTCGAGAGGGTGAGCACTGAGCACCGAGGCTTGCCATATTTCCCTGCCCCGCCTGTTCAACGACTAAGTTCTTCCGTTAGGTGTTCATGACTCGTCGAGATATCCTCAACTGTGTCCACGAGCCCTTTGGAGACGCCTTTTACTTTGGGCCTGAGAGGCTCAGTGCAAGATACGAGAACGATGAGAAGGCTCGCGAGGAGAGTGGCTTTGCGGCCAGCACTTATAAAACCATCTTCGAGAGGATTGAACGAGAGGGCAAAGAGGTTCGAAATTAACTCTTCTTCCTCCACCATGGGTCTGCTCCCTCAGCCACTCCGACATTCCCACGAGCCGCATTCGAATGGAACAAACCCGGCCTGAAAAAGGGGAGCCAAGCAAGTGCTTGGATTGACTAAATCTTCGCAAATATCACTACCGGAAAGCCCCTTCAGTTTGTATTCTAATCGCTCGGGGTCAAATATTCTACAGTACTTCGTTTTCAGCCCCACTGCTGTTAAGCTCTCTGGCTTCTATCCAGACTTTGATTTTACCCAGACGACTTCAAGTTCCAAGCAAGCGCTGTTACCGTGTTACCGGCACCAATAACTTGAAGGTTGGAGGTCTGGGAAGCTTACACTGCACAGGGAAAACGCCTCTTCATCAAGGATATCACCCACTACCTCGTCCCTCCGGAGGGCAAGCCCGCAAGCATCGCACCTTCCCTCGGCGGAAAGAAGGTCAAGAAAGGAGTCGGCACAGACGGGAACACCAACGGCTCGCACCAGGCTCCCTACCCGTACGACACCGCCGCTGAGCCCGGCAACCCCACTGTCGTACCCGCCGCGATCCTGAAGCAGTTCCACTTCACGTTCCTAATCCGGCACCCGCGCTACAGCATCCCCTCGTACTGGCGGTGCACCATCCCGCCGCTCGACAAGGTCACCGGCTTCTACGACTTCATGCCCTCGGAAGCCGGCTACGACGAGCTGCGCCGCGTCTTCGACTTCCTGCGCGCCGAGAAGCAGATCGGCCCGGCTCTCGCGGGCCAGCACGGCCGATTGGAAGACGGCGAGGTCAGCATCACCGTCATCGATGCGGATGACCTGCTGGATAACCCGGAAGGCATCATCGAAGCGTACTGCAAGGAAGTCGGCATCGATTACAGCCCGGCGATGCTGAACTGGGACTCCGAAGAGGACCATAAGAGAGCCCGAGAAGCCTTCGAGAAGTGGAGGGGCTTCCACGATGATGCGATCAACAGCACCTCACTCAAGCCGAGGAGCGCCGCCAATGTAAGTTCGCTTCCCCCTTTCCTTCTATTTTCGCTTGTCCACGGTTCGAGATAGGGATCGGACGCCAGCTGAGCTGACCTCGTCCCCCCCTAAAGAAAAAGAAACCCAAGACAGTAGAAGTCGAGGACCAGGAATGGATCGACAAGTATGGGGAGCGGGCTCAGAAGATCATGCGGGAATGCGTCAATGCCAATCTCCCGGACTACGAGTATCTGAAGTCGTTTGCTATCAAGGCTTGAACAATGTGTGTGGTAGGTAAGGGGACATTGCGAAAGGCAGGTATGGGAAAAGAATTATATAAATGCTGGGATAGTTAGTGGGTTGGAAGACTGTACGGTGGGATGGGATACCTTGCCTACTGTGCGTAAGTAACAAGGGCCGCGAAATCGGGTTATGGGAAATAATAAACGCGAGGATCAAACTGTACGGTGGCAATACCGTACCTACCTAGGTAACAAGGGCAGCGAATTATGCTTGTTCATTTTTCTAATAGGATTGCTATTCACAATATGTTATACATCTATCCCAAGCCATCCCAAGCCATGAGGTGAGAAAACCCCTCCCTGGGACTATATAAGTCTATTTTTACAATAGTGATCTTCTCCGGCTCAGTTGTCACTTTGCTCACTCTGCTCACTCTCCTTACTTTGCTTCATCTGCTGCTTCCTTTGCCTGGCTGCGATCCTCTTCGCCTTCTGCCTTTCGGCCTTGGCCTTCAAGAGTTCCTGCACTTCCTGCAGGTGCTGTTCTTCGGTGATGCCGCGCTCAGCAAGGTATTTCGCATGCTTCTCAGCCTTTGTTGCGAAGTAGAGCGCTTGCTTTTCAGCCTTCTCTTTCTCCAGTCTTTCTTTCTCGGCTTGCTCGCGTTCGGCCTTGAGCTGCTCGCTCTCGGTCTGGGTCTGTTGGCTCTCGACCTTGGCCTGCTCCTTCTCCGCCTCAGCCGCGGCTTGTTTAGCCAGTTTCGCCGCTTGTCTCTCGGCCTTGGCTCTCAGAAGCTCCTGCAGTTCCACCTGGTACTCTGCTTCGGTGATTCCGCGATCGGCGAGATACTTCGCATGCTTTTCGGCTTTGGTCGCTAAGTGGAGCTTATGCTTCTCGGCCTTTATCCTCTCCTTCTCCTCTTCTTGCAGCCTCTTCTCCTCCTCTTGCTTCGCTCTCTCTTCTTCTCTCTTCTTCTGCCTTTCAAGCTGTGCCAGCACCTTGGGGTCCTTCATGCGCTCCTCCTCGGCCAGCTTCGCCCTCTCGGAGGAAGGCAACCGGTTGTTGTTCCAAGCCTCCAATTTATCATGGATCACGTTCTCGCTCCAGGTCTCTGCAAACTGTGCATCCATCAAGTCACTCCATTTGACTTCCACCGTTGGCACCTTAACTCCTTCTTCGCCCTCCGCTTTCAATTTCAGCCCGATCTTCTCTCCTTCGGGGGTTCCTATCTTCGCTAGCACTGAAGCTATATCAGCAACGCTGTTGGCCTTCTGATCGGATATCTTCCGCCCTCTTTCCTTTCTTGTTAAGATCTTCCCATCGTCGTCCGTCAGGAGGGAGTCATCCCAGGATAATTCATGCAGTCGTCGATATTCCCGCAGTTTCTGGAAGGCGGCGAGTCCGATCGATCCAGCCCCCTCAGGGAACTGGATTAACGCTAGGGGGGCCCAAAGGTCTTTTCGTAGAGCCCGAGGGACGGTTTTCTTGCCGTTGAAAGGCAATTGGCGGAGGGAGGCATTGTTCTTTTTGTTTCAGGTCAGAATCGAAATTTTATCCAGTAATAGAGGTTGAGCTATGATGTAGTACCTTTAATGATTTGGTTAAGGAGTAGACGATTTGATTCGTCTGGAATTGGTGGAAGACATAAATTTGTTGGCCGTGTTCTGGCTTTGAAGCACGGGAGACAGTTGTCGTGGAGGCATGGCGCACTTTGTTGGCATTGCCTATTGCATGCCTTGCGAGGTCTGAGGTCGTCCGAACGCTCATTGTGTGAAAGGAGCGTCGAAGGAGGTATGTATTATCAATGGCCCCTTGATGTCCGTCGTCGACTTGAACTTGGAGATTTTCGAGCTCGAGCTCGGTCAATCCGGGGCTAGAGCAGATGCGACCTAGCGCCTCGCTTAGCAGGGGCTCTCCTGGTTTTCGACTTGCTCCGTGATCTGCCTCAGGCGCTCAGCCTCGTCCAGCGCTGGAACATGCGAGAAGGTGCCACCGCCATTGAGGTCATTCGAATAAACTCACCCCATTAGAGTTGACGTTAAGTGAATAATTACATAAATATCTTGTGTCGGCGTTGTCGCCCCATTCTTTCTGATCATTTACAAACTCAATTCAACTGTCGTTTGATCAGTTAATCAGTTAATCGTTCACGCATTTCTTATTGCTTATTGCTAGTAAAGCAATCAATTGAGCGGTCTCCCCGCTGTACGACTACTGAGCACAACACGACATACACAGATCCCACGATTGATTAATACAATTTAATCTTTACCACCGACAATATGTCGACCTCGAGTATGAATTTCACGGACAGGGCAAGCAAGTCCCTGTCCGATGCCATGGCTGTGGCAGAACAATATGCTCATCCGCAATTGCTACCCCTCCATCTGGCACTCTGCCTCCTCGACCCTCCTCCCGATGAATCAAAAGACCAACAAGCAACCGTCAATGCATCCCACGGTTCTGCATCACAATCATTATTCCGCCAGGTCGTTGAACGCGCCCATGGCGACCCTCAATCTTTCCAGAGAGCCCTTCAGAAGGGTGTCGTCCGATTACCAAGTCAAAACCCTCCGCCCGAACAAATTGCCATGGCGCCCGCTTTCTTGAAGGTCTTGCGGGCCGCACAGGAGTTACAACGGACTCAGAAGGATTCCTATATTGCTGTTGATCATCTGATAATGGCTCTGGCACAGGATGCTTCGGTTCAAGCAGCTTTGAAGGAAGGGAACATCCCTAACCCCAAGGTCTTACAAGATGCAGTTCAGCAAATTCGGGGCACTCGTAGAGTGGACTCGAAGACGGCAGATGCGGAGGAGGAGCACGAGAACCTCAAGAAGTTTACAGTCGATATGACCGCGCTGGCCAGAGAGGGAAAGATGGACCCTGTCATTGGCAGAGAAGAGGAGATTAGACGAGTTGTCCGAATTCTGTCGAGACGGACGAAGAACAATCCCGTTTTGATCGGAGACCCTGGTGTAGGAAAGACCACTGTCGTCGAAGGTCTTGCCCAGCGAATCGTCAATTTGGATGTACCGGACAATCTGGCAGCCTGCAAGTTATTGTCCTTGGATGTCAGCTCGATTGTTGCGGGCAGCAAATACCGAGGAGAATTCGAGGAGAGAATGAAGGGAATATTGAAGGAGATTGAGGAAACCAAGGAGATGATTGTCCTCTTCGTCGATGAGATGCACCTTCTTATGGGAGCTGGCTCGAGTGGTGAAGGTGGTATGGACGCGGCCAATATGCTGAAGCCCATGTTGGCACGTGGTCAGCTTCATTGCATCGGCGCGACGACTCTTGCAGAGTACCGGAAGTACATCGAAAAGGACGCGGCCTTTGAGCGTCGTTTCCAACAAGTCCTTGTCAAAGAGCCCACTGTCTCAGAGACGATCTCAATCCTGAGAGGCTTGAAGGAAAGATTTGAAGTGCATCACGGAGTCAACATTTCGGACGGCGCCATCGTAGCTGCGGCTGAATTGGCGGCTCGATATCTTACTCAAAGACGGCTTCCAGATTCGGCAGTTGATCTCATCGATGAAGCCGCGGCGGCAGTCAGGGTTGCCCGAGAATCACAACCTGAGATTCTTGATTCCTTGGATCGAAAACTCCGACAGCTCAAGATCGAAATCCACGCATTGTCAAGAGAGAAGGATGAGGCCTCTCAAGCGCGCCTCGAACAAGCCAAGAAAGATGCAAGTGATGTCGAGGAAGAGCTTAGACCTTTACGCGAGAAGTACGAGAGCGAGCGAGCCAGAGGCAAGGCAATTCAAGAGGCAAAAGTCAAGCTTGATCAATTGAGAGTCAAGAAGGATGAAGCTACTCGAATGGGCGATGATAGCCGTGCTGCAGATTTGCAATACTATGCTATCCCAGAGCAAGAGGCATACATCAAGAGCTTAGAGCAGGAAAAGAAGGCCGCTGATGCTGCCCTGAGCGAACACCCGGATTCAGGCGGATCCCTAATCACCGATGTTGTTGGACCTGATCAAATCAACGAGATCGTTGCTCGTGCAACTGGTATTCCAGTCACGAGGCTCAAGACTTCCGAGAAGGACAAGCTCCTACATATGGAGAAGGTTCTTGGTAAGATCGTTGTTGGCCAGAAGGAAGCTGTGCAAGCAGTCTCGAACGCTATTCGACTTCAACGATCTGGGCTCAGCAATCCAAACCAACCCCCAAGCTTCTTATTCTGTGGACCCTCTGGTACCGGAAAGACACTCCTTACCAAGGCTCTTGCGGAGTTCCTCTTCGATGATCCAAAAGCTATGATTCGACTTGATATGTCCGAGTATCAAGAACGACATTCCCTCAGTCGCATGATTGGTGCACCCCCAGGATACGTCGGGCACGACGCAGGTGGACAGCTCACAGAGGCCCTTCGCCGGAGACCATTCTCAATCCTCCTTTTTGATGAGGTGGAGAAGGCTGCCAAAGAAGTCCTCACCGTCCTCCTGCAGCTTATGGATGATGGCCGGATTACCGATGGCCAAGGACGCGTTGTTGATGCCCGCAACTGTATCGTTGTTATGACATCCAATCTAGGCGCCGAATACCTACAACGCCCCAATGCAGCAAATGGCAAGATCGATGAGACTACTAAGAAGATGGTGGAACAAGCCTTGCAAGACTATTTCCTCCCTGAATTCTTGAACCGTATCAGCAAGACTGTCATATTCAACCGCCTTACAAAGGCCGAGATCCGCAGGATTGTCGATGTACGCCTTACAGAGATCCAAAAGCGTCTGAGCTCAAACGGCAAGAATATCACAATCGATTGCTCTCCTGCTGTCAAAGATTATCTCGGAGCTGCCGGTTACTCACCTGTCTACGGTGCGAGACCACTGGCAAGGCTGATCGAGAAAGAGGTCTTGAACAGACTTGCGGTCTTGTTACTGAGAGGCAGTATCAAAGATGGCGAGGTTGCAAGAGTGGTAATGGAGGATAACAGAATCGCTGTGCTTCCAAACCACCAAGGAGAATCCGAGGAGGAATCTAGTGAAGACGAAATGGAGATTGATGATGTAGCTGAGGAGTTGGGAGGAGATGATATGGAACTTGCTCTTTACGAATAAGGAGATGATGATTTGTTATGAACGCATTGAGCGAGCGGTTTTTTTTCCTCTCTTTTTTGTATGTTCTGCAACAGCATGCATTGGGAGCCTACCTGGCTGGATGATATTGGGAACAGCAGACTGGTCTATATGAAAGACGGATGTATATAAGGGGAGAGTAGTAATCGTACATGAACGAGGTACGATTTGATGAACATGAGTATTAATTTTAATTCATGATGTGATCCCAAAACCGATGTGACTTAGATAACAATCAATTAGGTGTTATATTGACTACAGATAAAGGTAAGAAAGAATCAAGAGGCTCTGTTGAAGCTCTTGGATATTCCGTATGGGCGCCATGGAGTAGACCCAATTAGAAGTAGCCCCTGAGCAGACACCACAACAGCAGCTTCCAAGAATTCTCGAAACAGGTTTATTTACTCAGTAAGTCTCTTAACCTTCTTCTCTTCCAGCTCCCGCATCCTATCAAACCTATCCTCCAAGTCGACATGGACTCTCAATTCCTTCTCGCCCATAACTCTCCAAGTGCGCCGCAGCTCCGCGAACTCCACCAGCCCATCCAGCTTTTCGAAACCTATGACGTAGAGCTCCTTTGCCCATGGGCAGGCTCGCAGTGCTCTATGCCAGATCTCTTTGGCATGTGGTCGGAACTGCGGTGTTTGCAGAACGTACAGGATGTAGAACCTCCAGAGACCGGCGGAAGATTTGGATGAGGGTGAAGAGAGGGCGTGCTCGAAGGCGGAGCGCACAGAGTGGATGGTCCCGTAGTTGATTTCGTAGTAGATAGCGAAGAGACGGGAGGTGAGTGTGTCATTCTCGGGGGTTAGAATTTTCGAGACGAGGATCATCCGGACGCGGTTATCGATCCGCATACGGGATTCGTTGAAGACGTAGAGTGAGAGGAAGATGGTATTTCGTGGGAAGAGGGTGAGGAAGTTGGTGAGATGTTCTCGGATAAGGGCTGGCCGGAAGGGACCGATGCGAGCGTGGTGGTATAGAAGACGAGAAGCAGATTGCAGGAACAGCTCGTGAGAGGTTGTGCTACCTAGGTTGCGGTCTATAAGGGTCTGGGAGAACTTGGTATAGCTGGAAAGTGCAGCGTCGATGTTGCCTTGATTGCTTGATATTCTGTCGGCAGCTAGATCTGGGGAGAGATATTCGAGGAGTGCTAGACATTCGGCATAGAGAACAGCATGGTGTAAGTGACCAGACGAGATGTAGAAATCTCGATTTGATGAGATATGCTGCCTTGTTCTTAGGAGGATTGCAGGAGTAGCAGTAACAGTCTCACCGAGAGTGCAGTCTGCGATAGAGAGGAGCCGGCTCAGCGCAGCACTATGGTCCGACTCCTCAAGTGAAGCCCAAATCCAACTCTTCCAGAGAATGATTGAATCTCTGCCTTTATCTTCAGACATCGATTTGCTCATGTTAAGAGCAGCAGAGAAAACACCATTAGAAACCTCCTTGTTCCCTCTTGACCATTCTATCATGGCATAGGCGTTGTACAGTCTAAGACTCGAGGGGTGTTGCTTAAGCAGGCCCTTCGAGATCTTCTTGATCGTTTCAGGTTCATTTCGCCATTCAAACGACAGATAATACTCAGCTAGATCTTCATGTGGATGCACCGGTATGAGTTGCTTGAGGGTATTTCGAATCCAGCTATAAGTCAGGGGCCCGTTATCTCCAGCATAGTTATCTTGCCAGACTGGGAGGCTCTTGAACCAAGTTACACCAAACATAGACTCTGGAGAGGCCGGAAAGTTTGATGACGGAGTCTTGAGGATATATGACATGTCTGCTTTTGTATCGTCCTTGGGACTATGAGACGTCGACAAGTATTTGCGAATGATCCACGCAGGGTCTGCCTCTAGTAGTTCTCCTCCAATGAAAGGGTCAGTTAATATTTCCGACGTCTCTTTGTCGCCTGTACCCAAGGGTGGTAGGCGGCAGAACAGCAGGAACGCGTTAAGGAGTGACTTCCGCAAATTTTCCGATTGAGATGGCAAGTATATAAGGAAATCTTCAATGTCTGAGACCAAGATCACCCGAAAGGGGTCGTCCTCTACTACCTCGTCCATCGTCCTAGCAGGAAGGCGTGATGCGTTCGATCTTAAACGTTCGGCCTTTGCCCAGCTTTCAAACAAATCTTCGTTATCCAACAGATCTCGTGTTTCATCGGTCAAGGCATCAGGAGGTTCGGCGGTACTTGAATTTGTCACGAAGTGAAGCCAGCCTTGAGCTCCATCTTCACCAATCCGTGGCACCTCGCTATCCCAAAACTCCTTGAAACTTGCGACTTTCTCTTCGTGCGAACCTGATGACGGAGAAGCAAAGAAGTTGAACTCAAGTAGGCCTTGCCAGATGGCTATGGCCAACTCCGAATACCCTGACTCTCGTGTAAATATTGTGAACCTGAGCAAGACGTAGAGAAGTTGCTTATAGAAAGAATCAAGGGTATCTGCTTTCGCAGAACTGATAGTCCCTAGCAAAAGCTTTATCCTCTTCACGAAGACTTCTCGTACTTCTTCCCATCGAAAATTTGTAAACGTGGCTTGTTTGAAATTCACATAGCTCTTCCATAATACAAGACTGTCAATATTCTCTTTTGAAATCTGCTCCCACCTTTCTGCTTGGGCCTTTACCTCCCAGACCTTTGAGCCTTCGGTCATTAAGCCAAGCAGGAGTTTTTCCCTGTCGTGTAATGATCTAGCTTTTTCCAAAGCCTTCTCATACATATGGATCTTGATGTCTGCGGTACTTCGGATCTCAGCGTTAGTGACCCGGCGGCGGCCATCTTCCTGAATGAGAGTGTCTTGATGCTCAATTAATGCGAGCCATGCATCAATATCGTGAGGAGATTGTTCAACTTTCCTCGATAATTGAATGGTCTTCTGCTTGACGGCGTCATCTAGTTTTACTGTTCGTTCTGGTCCTGATGACTCGCTCTCAGTGGCATATTGAAACGTATCATCCGTAGGCTCGTCTTTCAGCTTTGATTTACCATGTATGGATCGATAATTTGTTTCATCATCTTCGGAGTCAGAGGTATTCGCGACCTCCGCTCTCTTCCGTTTCCTTCCCCTCGTTGTCAGAGAGATGAAATCCAATTCGCCCTCAGTAGAGCGCTCAACTAAGAGTTCTGGGCGTATCTTCAAAAGTCGAGGCCTTTCTTTCTCAAGCTTCGAGAAAATGTACTTGTCCCGTGAGTATAATTTTGAATCCCTCGGGTTGACCAAGACAATGCCTTTCTCGTCTCCATAGTCTCTGTCAATCTTCATGCCAGACGGGGCTCCTAAAACACCACCCGCCCCAACCCGGTGAAAAGGCGGCACACTGTACTTATGGATGCTCCCATAGATCAGGTTCTTCACATCGCCCTTCCTGTCAATTACCCAAAGGGATTCATCTCTTGCCGGTCGCGTCTCATGACGAATTCTTTCCCTAGACCTTGATCTGTGTCTTCGATGCCTTGAACTTTCTCGATCATTGGTCCCTGATTGATGCCTTTCCTCCTCGATTTTATCAGTTGGCGCTGGCTTTGCTCTGAAGGATGCGAATTTAGGTACGGTAGTCTTAGGATCAGACATCGTGATAATCTCCGACTTGTATCAATAATCGACAACTGCCAATGAGACGGCCCCCAAAATCGAGATCATCGTCGTCAGCTTCAATGGTCCCTCTTGGGGCGTGAAATTTAGGCTGTCTTGAAGCAAGATGAAAGAGATGACTGACCTATCTGGGGTAGGTATGAATTATATCACGTGACATGGCAGCCTCGTGTGGCGCCCGCGTTTTAGCGGTAAAACAAAAAAAAAGTCTCGATAGCGATAAAGAGGAATTTGAAGCTACTGTATAACTCAACCTCCAAGAAGGGCCTTGTGAATGTCTGTTCTCTTTTGAATTCCACGACAGGCTCACAATGGCGACCAATTTGGCAAGCCAACTCTCCCAAATTGCGGCCAATTCCACAGATACCCTGAACCTTAAAGCACAGAAGGCGGCACATTCAAAGTCGTTAATATTTGAGCCCAGAATCGCTGCGTCGCAAAGTTTTGACACCATATATACATTATGCCATGAGGGTTTTCAGGAGTTATGTCTTCTGGATGGGCGGTTCTTGGAGTTCCAGAGAAATATTTTCAGCGAGCAAAGTCAAGAAGAAGACAGAACCCAGATGACCGCCGAAGAGAACTCTGAGCTCGACAAGAAATTGGAATCATTTTTGGGCTTGGTTGGTGGGCGATTAAGATTGAATCCGGCAATTAAAGCAGTTGAATGGCTGGTCAGGAGGTTCAGGTAAATCTATGATACCCTCCCAAATGTCACACAGGACCATGTCTAATGAGTACTTGCAGAATCCACGAGTATAACACCTCCTTCGTCCTGACAACCTTCCTACCCTACCATACCCTCCCTATATTCCCGACCCTTCTGTCTATCCTTCCTGCCAATATCCCAGCGCATTACAAATTTCTTCACCCATACATACGATCATTAGCTCAACCTCAGAGACACACCATAGTCCACGCCGCAACAAACAACATTCTGTTCGCCTCGACTTTGAATGAATATGTACTTCGCATAAGCAAAGCTCATCAACACTACCCAGCTCTCCTTGCTTTTTGGGCTGGTGTTATGACTGAAGCTACCAGCGGAATGCTGGATAAATCCCGGTCTGGTAGAAAAGGAGTACAACAGCAGAACGAACAAGATGTCATATTGAGACTGTTGCCGGTATTGAACGAAGGACTGGCTATGAAGAAGGTGCCTGATCTTCGTATTGGGTGCTACATGCTACTTTCTGTCATGGCTTCGAAAGGTGGACTGGACGACAAACTTCTCACAGCAATGATGGAGGCCGTAGTGCTCGGCTGGACCTCCGAAACTACCTATCCTGGCCTTGTCTGTTTGTCAGTATTGGCACAGCACAGAGGAGCAAAACAAATCACAGCAAGGCTCACAAAAGAATTGTTGAAGATTCCCGATTTACTTACTCTCATCGTTGAGCTATCTAAAGGGCGACGTGTTGATAAATTGGCAAATGGGCTGTCTCTCGCACTTGTGCATCGGCTTGGGAAAAAAGGAGACATTACAGGACTCCCGATAGTCGTACAGATTATTGAGAAGCAGTTATTGAGCGACGCCCAGGCTTCAGTGATTGTCAAGGCGTTGCTGCTAGTTGCACACCAAATCGATAACAGCAATGCTTCACAAGAAGACCTGCGATCACATCTTGCTTCTTCTCTGGTGACTCTCACACAGCTGCCAGGCCATGTAGGGTCTGTGGTTCGAGGAGCCTTGAAGGAAACAGACATCGACATTGACGAATTAGAGATGAAGCTACACACCACCATCAGAAGAGAGGAGCTTCCCGAGCCATCATCGGGCGACGTGGAAATGGTAGATGCAGATGTCGATACTGAAAGTAATAGACCCAACTTCTCGACACTTCTCCAACAACTTTCGAAAAGGACCACCAACGAGTCTTCATTCTTGTCCCACGAATCCTCCCATATCTACTCGGATCTATGCCAAGCATTTCTAGTCGCTACGACTAGTACTGCAGACCTGGATCTGTTTGATGAGATCCCCCTACTTCGACGCAGTTCTGCACTGGAAGACACTATTTACCTCAGTTTCTATATGAGAACTTGGTGTGGCCCATATCCAGTTATGGCTCGGATGTCAGCCATTCAAATGGCAAACCGCTGCTTGATGAGTGGAAAGGAATCGAACGTAGATATACAAGCGATAATTCCTTACGCAATCGCAGCACTCGGTGATCCCGCCACAAAAGTACGCCGTGCTGCCGCAGAGCTTCTCATTACGATGGATCAATTTTATCCAGCCAAGGTCGAATCCAAGAAAAGTGCAAAGCAACTTCGACAGTGGGCTTTTGATGACATATACGGTGCAGGCGAAGAAACTCAAGGGACTGAGTGGCTTTCACCAGATGTGGTCGTTCGTCTCCTCCGAGACGTGCTCCTACCGGCTTTAGAGGAATGTGTCCTTGACGGAAAGCATATCGAATCGGTGTTCGAGAAATCCATGAATAGTCCCCGCAGCTCAGACAGCCCCAAGAATCAGGAAAAGGGACGACTTTCGCAAGCCGCTCGATTATCGATCTTGTCCTTCTTAGCCAGTCATGTCGTTCATACCCCTACGTATTTGGTCAAGCTAAGATTACTTGCTTCTCTTAATCAAATCCGTAGTATTGCTACCACATCAAGGACAAAAGTTCTACTCCCCGTTCTTCAGAAATGGGCATCACTTAGCCCATCAGAGGCATTGGAACACTGTCAAAATGAGAAAATCGAGCTCAGCGAATTTAATGAACAAGCGGTATTAACCGTTGCTGCAAATGACAAAGAAGGCCTCCAACTTTTGACAAGAATTATCGATGGAGACCTCGCAGCAGACCGGGCTGAACTTATGGGAGCAGTATTCAGAAGACTGCGGGCCATGTGGCCTTCTTTGAAAGGCGAAACTCGACTACAGACTGCCCAAATGCTGCTGGATTCCTCACAGGCTTCACCAGACAATGCAAACTATCATAAGTTAGCTTCTGAGGAGTCAGCTGAGCTACTAAGAACCTCGCCACTCTCCACAGATATACTTCTATCCTTCCTTACGCAACTTCCAACAGCCGCACAGCTCGCTGGCACACCTCCCGCTACCAAAAGGAGACGAACTAGTCATGGTGAAGTTGCTAGAACCCCAATTCAGGATTCGAAGCAACTCTCTGCAGCTATTAGGAAGGTCACATTTGTCTTACAACTCATTGACAGTTCCGATCCAGGCACTCGCCCAGAGCTCCTCAAGGGCCTCTTCAATGCGTTGGCTGAACTGCAACATTTCAAGGCCCAAGTTGCTTCAGAGCTTGCATATCTACAGGGCCTAGTACTGGGTAGTCTTCTCGCCATTTTACAGTCTTTCAAATCAAATCGCAACAGGAAATTAGATCACTCGGCTGTTCGCGCAGATCTACTTGTTGATTGTGTTCAGAAGACTGCAAGTCCGCAAGTACAGAACGCCGCACTGCTTCTCATTGCCTGTCTGGCAGATACTGCACCGGAACTTGTTCTTCATAGCGTCATGCCCATCTTCACATTCATGGGCAATTCGGTGCTGAGGCAGAACGACGATTACTCTGCACACGTCATAAGCCAGACTATCCGCGAAGTCATTCCTCCATTGATCTCGTCACTTCGAAAGGAGAAGGGCAATCCAGTCACTGGTGCGGCCGAACTTTTATTGAGTTTCGTTGCAGCCTACGAACATGTCCCGGCCCACCGTCGGAGAGGCCTCTTCACCTCTCTGGTTCAGACTTTAGGCGCAGAGGACTTCTTGTTCGCGCTATTAGCTATGCTGGTTGACAAATATGGCCCAAATGAAAGTATCAAGACCTTTGCGGTTGAATTGTCAAGCTCATTCAGTGTTGAGATACAACTTCAATCAGCTGTCAAGTACCTCGAACTTGTTGGCGATATTCTCAAACCGAAACCGACCTACTCAAGCGTCTTGCTAAGCACCAATAATGAGGGCATTCAAGACCCTCAAAAATCGGCCTTGAACGAGTTGACACTCTTGCCACATATTCTTTCTCAAAAGCGCTTGATTGCCCAGACAGGGAAATTGCTTGCTCGCGACGATATGGATTCAGCGAGAATTCGCGATCTCTACTCGACTCTATTGGAAAATCTCTTGGCTCTTGCGGACACATTGAAGAACCAAAAGCGTCTGCATAGTGCTTGTGGAGACATTCTGGAGAGTCTACTCGGCCTCCTCTCTACAAGCGAGTTTGTCAAATCTGTAGAAGGCCTACTAGACGGTCCAAATGAGTCATTACGCCGCAAGATACTGCGCTCTTTAGAAGTTCGTATCGATCAAGAAAGTCAATCAGATGCCGTTTCGAGGGCAGCAATGCTTGGTTTTCTGCCGCAACTCACAGCAATTATTCGAGAGTCTCAAGATGTTCTATACAAGCACACAGCGGTGGCTTGTGTTGATAAGATCTCAGAAAAGTACGGGAAGAAAGACCTCGAAGCTGTGGCAGCTGCTGCCCAGACAATTGCGAGCGATCATTGTCTCGGCCAGTCAGATGATCGTCTCCGGGTTATGGCCCTTTTATGCTTAGCCTCGCTAGTGGAGATCCTGCGAGAAGGTATTGTCTCTGTATTGCCCATAGCTATTCCCAAAGCTTTGGAATATATGGAGACGAGCGTGAAAGACAATGTGGAGGCTCAAAAGCTGCACAATGCAGGATATGCGTTCATCAGCTCACTGGTCCATCACGTGCCTTATATGATTTCAGGCGGATATCTAGACAAGCTTCTTTCGATATCCAATGCATCTGCTGAAGCCGATCTTGATGACGAAGCAGACGAAAGCAGGGTCCAATGTCTTCAACTTGCCGCTAAACAGATTGATGCCAAGAGCCTTTTCGGAGCTTTGGAGAAGAACTGGGAGGAAGCCGCTGCAGCAGGGGTTCTGGTAAGAAGCTCCACCTATTCCTTTTCCCTTATTTTCTGGTTTCAGTCCACTAACAATTATAGGCTCTTCGCGAATATCTGGAAGTCCTCAACATTGCCCTTGAAAAACATCCTAGGAGCATTGTCACCAAATACTCATCGGTTCTGGCCAAGATATTCCAGAATGCATTTGATCTTCGCAGACAGTGGGTGGCTGCAGCAGAGGATCATTTGTCCGCCGAGACAATGAAAGAAGTAGAAGCTGAAGTGAACGAGGTCGCCATCAAAATGATTTACAAATTCAATGATTCGACATTCCGACCAATGTTTTCCAATCTCGTCGACTGGGCGTCAAAGTCTCTACCTAAGAAAGATAAATCGGGTAGAATATTACGCCTGCAAAGCTTATATGGCTTCATGATTGTTTTCTTTGACAATCTCAAATCAATTGTTACCAGCTATGCTACCTATTTGCTGGACAACGCTGTGGAAGCACTGAAGACTGTGGATCTAAAAGATGAGGAGTCGAAGGAACTCTGGTCAAGAGTGCTTCGGACCTTGGTCAAATGCTTCGAATATGATCAAGACGACTTTTGGCAGACTCCATCTCACTTCAGTGTCATTGCCCCTGTTTTGAGCGCGCAGTTCGTCCATGCTTCAGGATTACCATTGGTCCAGGAGCTTGTGCCTGCCATTGTTGAGCTTGCTGCTGCTGCGGATTCGTCAGATCACCATAAGGAGCTCAATGGGGCGATTCTCAAACACATGCGATCCGAGAATGCCGGTATCAGATTGGCGGCGGTGAAGTGCGAGCAGGCTTTGACTGATCGGTTAGGCGAAGAATGGCTATCCATGTTGCCGGAGATGTTACCATTTATCAGTGAACTTCAAGAAGATGATGATGAGGTGGTTGAGAAGGAGACCCATCGCTGGATTGTAAAGATTGAAGGAGTTCTTGGAGAGAGTTTAGACTCTATGCTTCAGTAGATTATAAAAGTAGGGTAGGAGGTAATCAAAATAAAGAAGAGTATGCAGATACCAATCAATACCAATACCAATACTAAAAGAATACTGATAGTAATTTTATACTTTTATGATAACGCATATAGATGATTTCCAGATGATGACTACGACCTTGGGCTAAAATTTATGGACATATTCAAAGATCCTAGGTACCTCCAGGTACCTACTAATTCAAGATGGATAGGTAGATTCGCGGGTCATGTGACTCGCGTTTATTACGCGCTTTATAGTCGCGTACCTTCAGTCCTCAGACGCGCCTGGATCTTTCCGGCGACATATATCATTGAGAAGATGTTCAAGCCCTTCAAGCCACCGCTCCTCAGAAAGGTTGAAAAACCTGCTCCGATTGACTTAACAGAATCGGATTTGGATCCCGAAGAACAGCATCGGCCGTCCAAGAAACGCCGGTTGTTGGTTCGCTATGTCGAAGATAGTCCACCAAGGACGCTTCCCGTTGCGTCTGCAGCCGTTAATGCTCCAAGAAAGCCATTGTTGGTTACTAAAAAGGACACCGACTTGAATGAGTCTGCGCCTGTAGTCCCTGAAGGCCCCGAGGGCTACTATTTGGTCTTATGGTATGTCGAGTTCTGCAATTCACGACGTGATAACTAACTGGTGGTATGTAAAGGCGCAAATTTACGATGAAAAAGCATAAGACCTGGGATGGCGATGGTGTTCTTTCGGTTCACGGAGGATATGCACGTCTTCAAGATATATCAGGTCGAGACATGGGAAGGTGCATGTTCAAGGACCCTCTATTACCAGGGAGCACCCTAAGCATCGGCGGCAAAGAAATCGAGGTTGATTCGGTCATAACGAAGGCAGATTTTCTCGCTGGGCGACCCTTCCTCAAGTCCGGAGTCAAACGAACCTCAAGCTCTGAAAATGAGTGCCGTCCAGCACCCCAGGCCCCTTCAACAAAAGTCATGGTAGCTCCGCTCAAAGGTACGGAGCTGAAAATTGGTCAGAAAAAGGGAAAAGAGGATGGCGAATCAGTAATGGAGATTCCCGCAAAAAGTTTCTACTCTGCAACACGCAAGAGTCAAGCTGTGAAAGCCCAATTCAAGAACCCTCTTCTCTCGACTACAGTCATGGCACAAGACAAATCCGGGAAACCAACGCCCCGACACGACCCAGATGCTCCTGGTGCTTTGGTTATGAAGCGACCAAAGTACTGCCCAAAAGGAAAGCAGATTGTGGACGTTGTTTTAGATCCATTCTTAGGGAAGCATCTAATGGAACATCAGCGCGAAGGTGTCAAATTCCTTTATGAATGCGTTATGGGCATGCGTGATTTCAATGGACAAGGTGCTCTCTTGGCAGATGAAATGGGTTTAGGCAAAACATTGCAGACGATTTCTTTGCTGTGGACACTGCTAAAACAGAATCCCATATATGGAACAGAAGGTATAATAAAAAAGGCCTTGATCGTTTGCCCTGTGACTCTGATCGCCAATTGGAAGCAGGAATTCAACAAATGGCTAGGAAGCGAGAGAATCGGAGTATTTGTGGCGGATGGCCAGAAAAACACCAGGCTCACAGACTTCACCCATGGAAAAAGCTACAGCGTAATGATCATCGGGTACGAGAAGTTGAGATCTGTGCAAGATGAGTTGAAGAAAGGAGATGGGATCGATATCGTCATTGCTGATGAAGGCCATCGACTCAAGACAGCTCAAAACAAATCTGCCCAAGCCATTCGTGCCCTCAACACCGATAGAAGGATCATCTTGTCTGGAACGCCTCTGCAGAATGACCTTTCAGAATTCTATGTTATGGTCGACTTTATCAATCCTGGCCTTCTTGGAACGTACAACACTTTCAAGAAAGAATTTGAAGGTCCTATTCTAAAAAGCAGACAGCCTGGCGCATCTAAAAGGGACACCGAGAAGGGTGCCGCGAGAGAAGAGGAACTATCGTCATTGACGAAGCAGTTTATCTTACGGCGCAAGGCTGAAGTTATGGCCAAATATCTGCCACCAAAGACCGAATATGTGCTTTTCTGCAAGCCTACTCAAGCTCAAGTTCAGGTTTATCAACATGTTCTCGAGTCTCCAGTATTTGGCAGTGTTTTAGGCAACTCAGAGGCCTCCCTGCAGCTCATTACCATACTCAAAAAGGTATGCAATGCCCCCAGTCTATTGGCAAATAGGAATCAGGAAACACCCAGCAATTCCAATGTTGCTCAACTACTGGAGATCATACCGAAAGAGCTTCTCCAGAAGAGCCCAGTGATTGCTAGTAGCAAGTTCAGAGTGCTAGATCGATTAATAAAGCACCTCTCTACGAAGACGAAAGAGAAGATTGTTTTGGTCTCTAACTATACTTCTACTCTCGATCTTCTCGGTGTACATCTGTCGTCTTTATCTCTACCATTCCTCCGACTTGACGGCAGTACCCCAGCGGCAAAGCGCCAAGAGTTTGTGAACACATTCAATCGCTCTCCGGCATCCAAGAGCTTCGCATTTCTGCTGTCAGCAAAATCTGGGGGTACGGGCCTTAATCTCATCGGTGCCTCACGGCTCGTACTCTTCGACGTGGACTGGAATCCAGCCACAGATCTACAAGCTATGGCGCGAATTCATCGACATGGCCAGAAGAAACCTGTCAAAATCTACAGATTTTTAACAGCCGGAGGGATGGATGAGAAGATCTATCAACGCCAAGTGACTAAAAGGGGACTAGCCGATAGTGTTGTTGACGGGGAGAAGAACGAAGCAAGTTTCTCAGCAGAAGAGCTTCGAGACTTGTTTCGACTCGATTTGAAGGCCGGATGCCAGACTCATGATCTCCTCGGTTGCGACTGCAAGGGTCTTGGTGCTGACCCTCCGCCACTTTCCAGATTTGCGGAATCTGGCGATGAAAATGCCGATGATGAGACTAGTGAGAGTGGGAATAGTGACAATAGCGATGATGATTTAGATCTTCCTCTCAACCCAGCTCTTCCCATCGTACCAGCAACGAAGGCCAATGTTGCTGCAATAGAAGAGAGAATTCGCGAGACACGGAGGAAACGATCACAGAAATCCAAGGGAAAGATGCAAGCACTGATGCAATATACTCACCTTGATACAACAATCTTCATGAGAGAGACAGCAGATGTGTTTGGGTACGAGCTCGCCGAGGTCAAATCTGTGAGGGAGAAGCTCAACGATGAGGTCCTTGTAGATGTGTTGAAGGACGAGAGATGTAAGGTCGGCTTTGTATTTGCTAAGAACGGATAAGTTTTGGGAATACGGTCATGGGGCGCTTGATAGGAAGCTTGCTATGGCTATCATTTGGTACCTATATATAGACACATTACTCCGTCCCTACTATGCGTAGCATTTTCCGTAGTGCTAAATAAGGCTGAAGTGGTGTAGGCTCAGCCTCGCACAGCCTCCCCCTTGAGCCTCAGAAAGTGGTGTGGTGAACTAGAGCAACGGAAGAAAATCGAAAACTCAACTCAACATAAATTCAATTAAAGGGAACACAACTAAGATACTTTCCATTCTATATTACATCGCATTCCAGAAAATCATATAATGTGGTCCTGTCGACCTACGACCAGTAGAACTATGGCCTCCTTCTCTCCTTTGCGAGTCTGATTGGTTGAGGGGCTCAGCCTTTCCCCACCATCCCCAGAATAGTTAGCCCCTGCCTAACATTGGAGAGCCAGATTTCATTCCCGATTATTGAAGCGTCTCGTGCTTTTAAACTCGAGCAGCCATTCCCTCTCTGACATTCCTCTCTGGACACAATACCTTTCGGGATTCTTGCCAAAATACAAAGGTGCATCTATCATAATCCAACATTCTTTTCAGATCCCATCTTGCGTGCGAGAAATACTAGGGGCGCTGGTCTTCAAGACCAAAGAGGCCGATCCTCGAGATCAAGATGAGTGGAACGGAATACTCATACGATGAACAGGTACGGGACCTCTTTTGTTCCATGCGTGGAAGCCGCGCGCTAACGTTCTCAAGGGACAATTCTTCCCGTTCTTCGTTCTCACCGTCGTGGGGATCGTCACCGTTCCTTTGACATACTCTGTCCTGAAGCCCAGTACAGACCTTGGTGCCACTGCGCCTAGGATAACCACAGACTTCCGACCAGAACATGCAGATCTGATCGATGGCCAAAGAAAAGCGCAGAAGAGGAAGGAGCGGAGGGTGAAGCGCGCCATCACTGTAATTGTCGGGTGGGCGATAATGGCTTTCATGGCCTATCTGATTGTGGTCACTGCGCGAACAGTACCCAAGATTTGGAATCCATATGATATCTTGGGCATATCAAGTGTATGCGCTGCTTAACCCTTATGTGCGAGTTCCTTCCTAACACTGTAACAGTCCGCCACAGAGAAACAAATCAAGTCGCACTATAAGCGTATGTCACTCAAATACCATCCGGATAAGATCAGACCAGACCCGTCGAAGAATGAGACGATCGAAATGCTCAATGACCACTTTGTCGAGATTACAAAGGCATACAAAGCGCTCACCGACGAGGAGGTCCGAAATAATTATATCCAGTATGGCCATCCTGATGGCAAACAGAGCTTCAGCATTGGTATTGCTCTACCCAAAATCATGGTCTCTGATGGTAATGGGAAATACGTGATTCTGGTATATTCAATCATGCTCGGAGTCCTGTTACCCTATCTAGTCGGTACTTGGTGGTACGGAACGCAACGAATGTCCAAGGAGGGGGTCCTGATGGAGAGTGCCAATAGCCTCTTCCGCGAGTACGAGGACAGCATTACGGAAGGAGGGATCATCAGCGCTCTGAGCACTGGTGCTGAATTTCAACACATCTTGAAAGGCGAGAAGGCCGAATCGGGTCTGGGAAAATTAGAATCGAGAATCCTCGCGGAGGGTGTTGCGACTCCCTTCGCTGGTGGATTATCTGTCAAGGACCGGACAAAGCTAGAAGACTTGGATGGTGGTGTTCGACGAAAGGCCCTTGGACTTCTCTGGGCATACCTTGGCCGCGTTGAACTCGACGATCCTGCCCTCAACCAGGCAAAGATCCAGGTTGCGCCAATCGCTCATGCTCTCAATTCTTCATTTACCGCTATTTCTCTGGCATTCGGAACAACTGCGCCCATTCTCGCTTCGTACCTCACGTCCCAGAACTTACTGCAAGCTATACCTCCAGGAGGCTCTCCCCTTCTCCAGCTCCCATATTTCACTCCAGCTATTGCCAAGGCCGTTGAAGGCGACGCGAAGACGCATTTAACTTTGCAGCAATACATGGGTTTACCAGAGGCGTATCGACATAAGCTGTCCGTTGGCGATGGTCTCCTGACCGAGTCACAATACCAGACTGCCATGACTGTGGCCAAAAAGCTACCTCGTCTGCAAGTTGAAAAGGCGTTCTTCAAAGTCACTGGTGAGAAATTCGTCACGCCTAGCTCGCTGGTAACTCTAGTGGTTAAGGGAAGATTCATACCTCCCGGAAGCGCAAACATACCGCAGGTTAATGAGATTGATCTGGAAGATGTGGACCCTGATGAAGATGACCTCGATGCTCTCATGGGCCGGAAAAAGAAGGCAGTCAAGGGCCAGAAAGCTCCCGAAGAAGACAAGCCTGTTCAACCGCCTCTCACCTTCGCTCCTTATTTTGCCCGCGACTACTCGCCTCGGTGGCATGTTTTCCTCACCGACAGCAAACAGGGCAAGATTGCTGTACCGCCTTTCACATTCACAACATTCGACAAGCCAATTTACGATGAGAGTGGCAAGCCTACTTTCAACATGCAGACTCTGAAAGCCCAATTCCAAGCACCTCCCCAGGCGGGTCATTACACTTTCGCTCTGCAGCTGATCTGTGATTCATATGTTGGGTTTGATACCAAGATGGAAGTTACATTGGTTATCGAAGAAGCGAGCAAGGCGGCTGAAATCGAGGCTGAGGATGACATCAGCGAGCCTGATGAAGGTAAATCTCGACAAATCACTCTATCAAGGCCAATAACTGACCAAACATCAGATTCCCTAGCAGGTGCAATGAATGCTCTTAAAACCGGTGGGGCTCCCCCGCCAAAGAAGAAGAAGAAGCCAGTTGAAGAAGAAGAAGAGTCAAGTGAGGAGGAAAGCAACACAGAAGAGGAGGCCGATGATACCAGTGAGACAGATACCGATACCGATGAAGAATAATTCAAATTTTACGTTTTCTTTTATGACGGTTTTGCATCTTTGCGTCTTTGGATTCCCTTTTTTCTGGTGGTAACTGTCGTGGTTTGTAAAATAAGGGGCATGGGACGGCGTCAGATACATAACACATTGTATGGGGGATCTGTTCAGTTGCAAAGTCTGCATGCATTACGCTGGGGCATAGAAACCAGCCAATTTTGGCAGGCTTAGAGATCAAAGAACCAAAAAATATCCATTCAAACCAAAAACCCAGCTAGCTAGCTTATTGCGCGGAGCTCTCTCATCCTTGAACGCCTTTGTTTCCGTGATTAAAAATAAGATAATTCCTTTCAAAAACGAAACCCAGTATCAACAAATCCGGATCCCACATACATTAACACTTCCGCCATCTACCTGTGCTCTCCTTCCGAAATACTCCCTAGCCACCTCCTCGACGAAGGCATGGTCGTTGGGGCTCCAGATATCGAGTCCCATGCGCACCACATCCGCACTATTGATGTAGACGGCGGGCACATCATCATCATCCTCCTCGTCTCTCCCATTCAGCAGAAGACGTTCCCCATCTTCTCTCTCGTCGTCGGAATCCATCACGTCGACGATGTCGCTCAGGGTCGTCAGGATCTGCGTCGTCAGACGGTGGAAGTATGCGATGATGCCCATCTCCTGCCTCGCAGCGCCGTCGGTTTTCAGACTCGTAGATGAGACAGAACGGGTTTTGTTGGACGCGGGATGTTTGGGGGGACCGAGGGAAAGACCCGAGAGGAGGGCTTCGTCTGCTTCTGACTCTTCGTCGGAGTGCAGACGCTGTTCACCCGCTGATGCCCACCACATGAATCCGGAATAGGCGAGTGCGGACCAGGAAAGGGGCTCGACTATGCTGTCTGTATCTGGGATATCGAGCATAGGACCGTCACGAGAGGATACCGACGTGACGCGGGGCCTTTCTGAGGACTGATCGCCGGTGCTGGCGCGCCTCGTGGTCTGAGGACTGGTAGGTGGAGAAACACGATGGGTCAGGCCCCAGCGGAGAGTTCTGTAGCGTCGCAGATCTCTCTGCGTGGCTTTCATCTCGACGCCTTTGGGAGATTCGACTTTTGGCCAGACTTTCTGAGCGGCCTCTTCGGAGTAAGGGGGTGGCATTGTAATGAGGACATCATAGAGCGAAGATTTCATGGCGAGGATGCTGTCTGTTGTGCAGGCTATCCAGCCACGTCCTGTTTCGTCTAGATCTTCCAGGTCTTCTGACACTGGCATCGTAGCGGCGGCTTTGGAGGCTCGGAGATCATCTTCTAACATGGGTATGTCGTGAACGCCGATTGAGAATAGGGGACGAAGTCTTTGGGGAGGGGCTGTAGATGCTAAGAGGCCGCTTACAGCGAGGGGTATATTTGAAAGAACAGAAAGGTCATATACTGCAAGAAGTTATTATTGACCGTCTTCTAGGCAAGGGAAAGGCCTGCCTACCAAAATTACATGTCTCTTCCACGGGTGCGTGTGTAGTGATCAGAATTCTTTTGCGTAAGAGCGCTGCCCGGTGTATAGGAAATATCAACGGGCCAAAGGTTTCAAGGAGACGTGGCAAGCTCCAGGCTGGATGGTATGCAGATAGATTGTGCCCAGGAGGTAACAGTGCTGTGCCATCTGATGCCGAGCGATTTCTAGCTTGGCTTTTGGGTCTTTTGGTTGTCGTCCGTATCGATTTGAATGTGATGCTCGCAGGAGAATCGGGTGGGGAAATATTCTCCACGTCAGGGGCAGAGCCATCATGGGCTTTATGCTCCTCCCAGAAATCTTCGAGAACCTGTGTCTTTGACTCGTCTGCAATGAGCTGACTACGGATGGTCAGTATCATGCCAGAACTATTAGGGATCGTCCGAAGTACTTGGCCATCTCCTTCAGTTTTCCTGCATGCTTCCAACTCCTCCCAAGCCGCCCGTAGCTCAAGGGAACCAGAATGCCGACAGCAATCATGCGCGCATTTCTCGACTCCTCCGCCGCGGGGGCATTGACGAATGCGCTGAGACCAGCATTATCTTCATGGACGAAGTAGATCAAATCCTCCTTGACCGTATGCAATCCAGAGGGCAGGCTCTTATACTCGACAACCCCCTCGAGTTCGATAGCGGGTAACGAGCGCTTCCACGCGATGGTATAACCCGCCCGGGTGTCGAAATAGATAAGAAACAGGGCGCAGATGGGAGGGAGATGATCGGGCTGGTTACTGGGAAGGTCGAGAGTCATTGGCCATTGGCCTCGTCGGACAGTGGCCATGGAGGATGACAGTCGGAGTCGATTGGCATGTCAAAGCTACAATGCTACTTTCGCAGAGGAGAAGAGGCTGCGACGTTGGAGTTGATTGATGGACCGAGTGATGCCGAGTGCGAGTGGTTGGTTGGTTGGTCCCTGCTTTGGGTTCAGCCACAGGAGGCGCAGAGAGAGAGCTTTAAGCTGTATGGCTCAGCAAGGCTGACAAGGCTTCCCCCACTTATTCCCCCTTTTTCTCCTTTTTGCTTTCATCTTGACGGTTGCCCTCCTTTCTTCTTTTCCTCTATCATTGCTGAAAGCAGTGAGGCAGAAGGACAAATGATATTAGATACCGGCACCAATAGTAATCATTAATTCAAGATCTTCAAGCTGCGCATTGTAACTCTCCTAAGGTACCTCAGGTATGAAAGCGATGCGGCCTGAGGAACGCTACATCCATGTCAGGACCGGCTCACCGCCTCAATCAAGGCTAAACTGTTTCCGGACGGCAGAAAAAGAGAAAAGTTGCATCTGCAGAGAAAACTTCCAGCGGGTGAAAAATATATTGGAGAATTCCGTTTTCAGGACAATTCAAGATGGCGCCTCCAACAAAGCGAAAGCTAGCCGATGACTTCGTCCTCACTATATCTGACAATGAGGAAGACTCGGTGCCCAACCTCGACGAAGAAATACCGGCATCCCCGCCTCCATCCAACAAAAAGCGCAAGCACAACGATGATTCCTCCAATGCCACATCGAAGAAGAACAAAAAAGCCAAGAAGGGAAAGAAGGCTGGAGCGGAAGCGGTAGAGGATGAGAATGAGGGAATTTGGGGTGCGAAAGACGAGGATGATGGAGCTATGGACTCTGAGTTCGAGTTTGCTATGGAGGACGATAAAGACGACAGGATGGAGGAATTTGAGGGTTGGGGATTCGAGAGTGCGAAAAAGGGCCTCAGTAATGGTGGGGATAAGAAAGCCGTCGACATTGACGAAATCATTGCGAGGAGAAGACAGAAACAGAATGCTGGAAAAAAGGAAGAATCCGAAGAGGCGGAGGAGGAAGCCGGAAGTGAAGCTGAGAACTCGGGCGATGATCTGGAAGGTATCCAGGATGATGGTGACGAGTTTATGGCTGAAGATGGATTTGGGATGGGTGTTGCTTCCGATGAAGAGGAGTCTGGCGATGAGAACCAGGTCGAGGACTCAGATGAGGAGGAGGAGGAGGGCCAAGAGAACGACCAGGACGACCAGGACAATTCAGACAGTGATTCAGTTGCATCACCTGTTCCTCACCCAGAGGACCTAGCTTCAGAAAGCGAATCCGACGAAGGGGATAAAGATGAGGACCCAGAAGAGGCAGCCCGCCGAGAAGCCTTCTTTGCTCCTGAAGAGAAGCCTGCCAAGGGTGCTAAATCAACTATCGCCTCGTCTTTCCAGAGCATGTCACTGTCGAGGCCCATTCTACGAGGGCTCGCTGCCGTCGGGTTCACTCAGCCAACTCCAATCCAGGCCAAGACGATACCTGTCGCTTTACTCGGAAAGGATGTTGTCGGTGGTGCAGTGACCGGTTCTGGAAAAACCGCTGCATTTATTGTCCCAGTACTTGAGCGTCTATTATACCGGCCTAAGAAAGTCCCAACGAGCAGAGTCGCCATTCTGATGCCAACGCGTGAGTTGGCAATCCAATGTCACGCCGTTGCAACGAAACTAGCCAGCCATACCGATATCAAGTTTTGTTTGGCGGTGGGAGGTCTCAGTCTCAAAGTCCAGGAAGCGGAATTAAGACTGCGGCCGGATGTCATTATTGCAACTCCTGGTCGTTTCATTGACCACATGCGCAATTCAGCAAGCTTTACGGTGGACACACTCGAGATTCTAGTCCTCGATGAAGCTGACAGGATGCTTGAGGCTGGATTTGCGGATGAGCTGAACGAGATCTTGACTACAATCCCTAAGTCTAGACAGACGATGTTGTTCTCAGCGACCATGACCTCTTCCGTCGATAACCTCATTCGTGTGGGTCTCAATAGACCTGTGAGACTGCTCGTCGATTCTCAAAAGCAAACTGTTGGTACCCTGGTGCAAGAGTTTATCCGTCTACGGCCGGGAAGGGAGACGAAACGAATGGGCTATCTTCTTTATCTCTGCTCAAATGTTTACACTGATCGAGTCATCGTGTTCTTCCGACAAAAGAAGGAAGCACACAGAGCTCGTGTAATTTTCGGACTTTCCGGTCTCAAAGCCACCGAATTGCATGGTAGCATGAGCCAAGAGCAAGTAAGTACCTCTTATGATCTTGATCAAGTGCACATATTAACGTCCATAGCGTATCACAAGTGTAGAAGCTTTCCGTGATGGCAAAGCATCCTTTTTGCTCGCCACCGACCTAGCGTCTCGAGGTCTCGATATCAAGGGCGTTGACACAGTCATCAACTACGAAGCACCCCAATCCCACGAGATCTATCTCCACCGAGTCGGACGAACCGCAAGAGCAGGACGGTCCGGTCGTGCCTGCACCTTAGCAGCAGAGCCCGATCGCAAAGTCGTCAAGGCAGCGGTGAAGAGCGGACGAACGCAAGGCGCCAAGATCGTCAGTCGAGTAATCGAAGCAGCAGAAGCCGACAAGTGGGCCGACAAGGTCACGGCTATGGAAGATGAGATCGAGGAGATCCTGAAAGAGGAGAAGGAGGACAAGCAGCTGGCGCAGGCGGAGATGCAGGTCAGAAGGGGAGAGAACATCATCGCGCACGAGGACGAGATCAAGGGACGGCCCAAGAGGACGTGGTTCGAAAGCGAGAAGGAGAAGAGAGCTGCGAAGAAGTTGGGCAGGGCCGAGTTGAACGGCGTGGAGAGCATACTAAAGAAGAAACCAGGAAAGTTGAGCAACAAGGACAAGAAGAAACTGGATGACCACGACATGAGGGTCGAAGGGAAAGTGTGGAAGAAGGGCAGGGCTGAACGCGACGGCAAGGGCGTCTTGGAGGGCAAGAAGAAAGAGAAGAAAGCCAAAGGCGGTAAGCCTGCTGGCAAGGGAAAGCCTGGTAAGAAACGGTAGTCAGTCATGACAAAGTACCTACTTGCTTGACACTTAAAAATCCGTTTATACCCAGTTGAGCCCTACCATTTCATCATAGAAAATTGTAAAAACTCGTTGCAAACTTCTCCTCCGTAGTAGTGATAAGGTTGAAATGTACCTACTACTAGAATCTCAGTCAAGCTCCCCCCTTTCAGCCATATATTTTGACCAGCAGCCAAATAACTTCATGATACTCTACACAAACAGATTGGACACCACGATCACCCTAAAGTGGAGAAGGAGAGAACCAGTTCTATATAAGTGGAAGCAATTAGCACAGAGTGAAGCCGCAAAGTTTATTTTAAGAAGAGGAGGGGGGGAGGGGCTCAGAACCACAATTAGCCTACGGACCAAAACGAACCTGTATCGTATGAAAGAATAGCTGAGACGTCAGGATATCTAATATCCCAGCTATCACACGAAACATTCACACAATGCAAATCCATATTTTCATTTCACGACCCATTGAGTGGAAAAGCTTTGGTGATTTCATTAAAGTTACAAGCTCCTTGATGGATGGATTTCTGACTTCTTGTGGAGCAGAAGAAGCGACATGGACGGAATAGGTAGGTTGGTAGGCCATGACCAAGTAACGAATCCCGAATTGTTTAATGTATCCCCATCTGATAAAGAGCATTGAGAGTGAAATATCAAGAAGGCAATAGCAAAGAAAGAAAGAAAGGAAAGTTTCGTGAGGAGATGTGTGCTTGGAGGGCTCCCGTCATTAATGAAAATGAAAATGGAAATGAAAAAGAAATGAAATAAACTCGTCCCCCGTGAGCCCTGTCGGTATGTAACTGAACAAGGCACCGGATCCTCCCAAGTGAAGCTTTATCTGAATTTTGGGATACATTTTTCAGATGTATCGGTATCCGTTCAAAGGCTGGGAGGAAAGTGAGAAAAGTGAGAAAAGTAAAAGTCGATAAGAGCAAGAGGCAGGCTCCTGGTCATGGTGGAAGCCGCTCTTGAGGTAAGCAAAGACGCTTATGCTCCAGTACGCACAACCAAATTCCGGTTTTCAATTGCACCCAACCCGCGGTATTCGAAATAGCGCTTCACGTGAAACCTGGATGCTCCGTGACGACTGAAATTTCCTTGGTAAAGATCACGAGGTCAAGAAAGTTCGCCTGTCCACGAGCGATGGTGCTTCGTGCAACTCGGGCCAGTCTGGCTTCCTTATCGAACCAGTATTTTGTGAGGAATTCGGTGAACCAGGGTAAGGTGGTGTCATCCTTGAAGTTAACAGGTAACTGAATGACAAGTTGATGCATGAGGTGCGCGCCGCCCACTTTGTAAGTTGGATCTTCGTTGGGGTTCAACCAAGAATACCCATCTTTACCTCTAAACATATGTCAGCCATTGTTTTATCAAGGATTTGAGATGGAGACTCACGCATAAGAAGGAGATAAACACTGAATCAGACGGTCGAGAATACTGCGACCGACTCCTTTGCGAGTGTACTCGTGGTGCACGTAGAATTGCAGGTCTGCAGTTGTTCTAGATCGACCAGTGCGTAGACCAGAGAATCCGTAACCGTAAGTCTGGGCAACACCAAAACCGATGACATTTTCAAATTTCGGCAAGAGAGATTTCGATTGGATGATGCTGTTCCTTGGCGATTTGAAAGATGGAACACATCCTCGGATCGCAACAACGCAGGGGAGCTTCTCACTCTTGCAAGTGTTGATCAACGCCGCAATGTTATCTTCTGAAACTTCAACCTGGTCTTCTGGGATGATCGAATTCTTTATGTCTATGGATGTTATCAGTATTTAATCACTAGTTGGAAGGAGCCAGCTGTAAAATATGTGTAGTAACCGGGTCATACTATAGCCCCAGTCTCTACTCAAGTTTCTACTTGTAGTCTGGAACTCACTCGGAAGGGGAGAACTTACAATAGTTGTAGACAGCTTTGATGCCCGACACATCAGAAAGAGTAGCTGGCCTAGTAATTATAAGCATATGGTCTGAAATGAAGGAAAGCAAGTTCTACCTCAAGTAGATATCAATAGCAGGTGCATAAGGGTGCGGCGCAAACTCCATTTCTGCGATCTCCCTATATCTTGCTTCGGTCTGAACATTCATCATTTTGACGTTTTTAGTTCGTTTCTTCATTGCCTTTATGAAGTTAAAAGAGTCTAACTCAGCGGTTTGGAGCAGACGCTTCTGGCCCTTTTCTGAATTCTTTATGTCTATATCAAGATTAGAGACATACATACTTAGATCAAATGGGGATGATGTGCAAACTCACCTGGTATACTATCAGGCTGAATGACCTCTTCACCTAGATACTTCCCATTAACTGGAAGCTTTCCAAGCCTGAACCCCTCAGCGCTAATGTCGACCGTAACAGAGGGACCGCATGGTATGCCTGGTGCCCAATCTTCCCGAATATATTTTGGCATAAAGCTGATGTCAAAGATGGGACGATCGACCTCCCAATTGCAGGGAGGCGGCATCCATTTGTTCTGGAAATCCAGCAACTCCTCGGTGGCAGGAATGCCTTGCGTAGCACGTACGTTCTCCTTCTTCTTTCCTCTGATTCCTTCATCGCTGACTTGACCATAGAGGCTATCTTCGGACTCCACACGAGGGGCCAAGCCCGTAGATATGGCAAGAGATCCCTCGGTCAAGGGTAAGGTGTTAGAGTGGGTTAGGACAGATCCCATGAACTCGTCCACGATTGCTTTGTGAAGTTCCCCAGCCTTATGCATTTGCCCAAGCTTTAGCAAAGAAGGATCGTCCCATCCAACTGAAGATGTAGGAAAGATATCATTAGAATTGCCATTATTTTGATTGACAATAGCTTTTTCAGCGGAGGTCTTGCTCTGTCCCAGAACCTTGGCCATGGCTGTTGAAGAAGGCTCGAGGCTGCTACGAGGAACCTTGAAGGCTCCCTGGCTGCTGTATGGTTGATGAGGTGCAGCCCAAGGAGTCTTACTGCTCTGGATGGCCATGTTATTTCGAGGGAGTGCCATTAGATGGCCTCGGTTCAAGGTGGTAGATGTATCAACTCGACTTCCCCCAGCACTCTTCTCATGATCTAGAGTCGAGGGCTGAGTTCGCTGCTCGGGTTGCCGGACTGCCTCCTTGTGAGCTGGGTTAGTACTGGCTGCATGGTATCGCCTTCCTTTGGACAGAGATTCCTTCTCTTTCCTCGACAAAAATGTGGTAAAATCTTCATGACGACTAACAGAATGTGAGTGCCAAGTAACACCAAGAGCCGACTGAGACTGAGAAGTCTGGAACTTATTCTGAGAAGTCGATTCTGAAGTAAATTTGCTTGAAACTTCTTGTGCCCTTGATGCAAGTTCCTTGGTCTTTGCCTGAGCAGCAACCTTGTTGTTCAGAAAACTCATAAAAGCATCTTCCTGTGAGCCATTTATCGTGAAGGACGATCTAATTGGGAGCACAGCCGACTGCTGGCTAATTTCATTTTGCTTAGATGGGGAGAGGTGTTGTGTTTGTTGTAGGATGCCACTAGGGCCAGCATTGCCGCTTGTGCAAGGAATGCTCATGGTCTCGTTATGGCGAACAGTTATTGAGTTTGAAGATAGCTTTGCTTGATTCTGAGGAATTTGTCTATCTTCTGTATTTTCTAAGTTAGAGAGTTGAGGTGGCCCGTTGAATCGAGTACTTTGATTGACGGGTTGGAGATGGGGTGGCAAATTCAATGGGGTCTCTTGTCCAGTAACTCGAAGGTGAGGAGCAACGGATGAGAGATCGTTGGTGGGGGCTGGTGGTTGCTGTTTACCTGCAGTGGCTACTGTAACTCTAGTCGAATTCTTCCAGCCTACCAAGACGTCAGCAATTTTGTTGGGCGAGCAGACATCTCCTAAGGGGACCTTACTAGTCTTAGACTGCGAAGCAGACACTCCACTTGGCACAGTCTCATTATTGTGTCCGGAGGGGGCTGCAGTAGGTGTTTTGATAGGAGCGTATTGCTTGTTCTCGTTGCCAGGCGCCCAAATAGAATCTTGAAGGGTCCCAGAAGGCATCGCAGCGAAATCGTCAACGGTAAGAAGCAGTTCTATCTGCTCGTCAGTCAAGCCAGTTATCTCAATGCTGCAGTAGCGTTAACATTTGATCCAGAATCTTGCTGAAGATAGATCATACATAGAAGCCTTGCTGTTCGGGATCCTGTCATTGATAGGTAGGTAGGTGTCTCTCTTCTTCACATTAGGGGCGGAAGGATTGTACGCGTTCTTTGGGGGAGACATTGGAAGAACAACCCCTGCTTGAGAGAATTTGTGAAGTCAAGTTGATGGAAAATGGTGGTTGAGTACAGGGAGGAAATTGAAAGGTGAAAAGACTGGGAACGCGAAAGCAAGACCTCAACTTACACAAGATCCCAAGACAGTCTCCCATCAACCGCGTTAAACTAGGCGAAATTACGCGGACCAATCTAGTAATTAGATCTAAAGAAGAAGACGCAGAAGAACTGCCGCCTGCTGTCGTTATTTCTGATTCACTATGAGAAACTGGCTGCTGAGGGTGAACAAGCGGCAGTTGCTAGTAAGACGGCCCAGAAGAGAAACAGGAAGACCAAAGAAGCATAGAACTAGATGCTCACAGTAGTACAATCCACTTCAAGTGCATCGTCTATACATACCTATCTGGACATAGATGGTATGGGATGCGCTGTATCGCTTGTGTTTTTGGATGTTGGATAGGTAAGGTCTCGCAACCAGATGCCCTGGAGTTTCCCGTTATAAGCTAAGGGGGACTGTACTTTATCCCGCAACTCTAGATAAAAGTGGTAATTATCATTTTGACCAAGAGGGGTAACATCTTCTGGACCTACTTATATCAAAGAAGATACATAAATGTAGTTGTCTGGTGTAGAACTTAGGGGTAGTCACGTGATCAATAAACCACCCTCATGAACCCAGTTGTGAGGTGCTCTAATGATCCTTTTTAGACCCAAACTTCCAAACTTTTTTTCTTTTCAGCCAACGGCAAAATGTTATCGATATTACGGAAAGCCAGATTAAAGGATAAGGAGATGAGGATTCTAATGCTGTAAGAAATCCTGAAGTGTCTTGTAGGCTATTACTGATCATTCTCATAGTGGCCTTGACAATGCTGGGAAGACGACTATAGTCAAGAAAATTATGGGTGAAGACGTCAATACTGTCAGCCCCACTCTGGGCTTCAATATCAAGACGATTGACCATGAAGGGGAGGTTCAATAATCGATTGCAGATGATCTTTATGCTGACTTTGTTCAAAGATACAAGCTCAACATATGTAAATCTAGCCAGCTCAATCGAGGTGCACACCTTCACTGATCCATCTTAGGGGATGTTGGCGGCCAGAAGACACTTCGTTCATACTGGAGGAATTATTTTGAAAAGACTGATGCATTAATCTGGGTCGTTGATGCCACAGACAGGTTGCGGGTTGAGGATTGCCGGAAGGAATTGCACGACCTGCTACAGGAAGAGGTTCACTGCCCATATCCTGCTTACCAAGCCTCTCTGCTAACGTCTTACACAGCGACTCTCAGGCGCAAGTCTGCTTGTGTTCGCCAACAAGACCGACGTGCCTGGGTGTATGGACCAATTTGAGATCCAAGAGGTAAGCAGGGGAAGTGCGAGGTTGTTGAAAAGCCGGAAGCGCTAACCGTGTGTTTACTTGCAGGGTCTTCAGCTGGACGCAATTCAGACACACACATGGCACATCATCCGCTGCAGCGCGATGACGGGCCACAATCTCGAACAAGGTCTCAACTGGGTGGTAGAGGATGCTAAGAAAAGGCTATTTTTGTACTAGAAATACACCGGACTGCATTTCAACCGTTCCTGTCCCAAAGTTCCAAGTCTCTGGCTCTTTCTTTAAGTTAGATTCCCGGCAGTGGTCAGACGAGGGGACAGGGAACCCGCGTGTCTATAGGCGCGCGATGTGGATCTAGTTCTGTAAACAAAGAGAGCGCCAATCCCAGAACGTTGGGCGAAAGCTGGACACCAATACACGTAACTTAGTGATAATCGATATCCTTCCCCCTATGCCAATATCAACCGTGAACGGTCCTGCTGGCGAACCCCCTGCAGCACACAGTCGTGGAGAGACTCACCAATACTAAAGGCTGGCCGCAGAACGGGTCAAACAGCTTGAGACCTCCCTGGCCCGCAAGCGAAAGCTTCTACGAAAGCACGGAGTATTGATGGTGACCCATGAATCCAGGTAGAATCCCTACCACGCTCGAATCAGTCAGTCCTGTGCCCTACCCCGCGGCGGCGCACGTATTTGTACCTTGCTGGCCCTGTTTCGTGTTTGTGCGTGTGCTTTCGAGTGTCCAGTAAACATCGTTGGCCGCCAGTATGTCTTCCTCGGCTGTGGACGGTTCTGAGGATGTGAACGACTTCCTGCAGCGTATCAAGGAATTGAACGACAAAAGAGATCAGGAAGATGAGGAACGGAATAGGAAGCTCGAGGAAGAGATTTTGCAGGGCAAAAAAGAACGACAGGCACGCCGAGCTGGTAAGTTGATTCAATTTCACGGCAAGGTGCTGTTGGGACAATTCCCTTTGCTTTTGGATCCTTGGCTGATCACTGAATTCAGAACGAGCCAGATCAATCTCCCCCACAAAGTCTTCTCCTGCGAACACCCCAACTTCCTCCAAAATACCTGCGGCACAAACTAGTAATTTGTCACAGGTGTTACCTCCACCAACAATTGATCCTCAAGCAGGCATTGAGCCACATCGCGATACACAAATGGAGGAAGTTATGGAGGGGTCAGGCTTCTCGACACCACCCACAAAGGAAGACCCTCCACCGATTAATGGTGAGCGAGATGTTGCGGACTCAGCGCCGAAGCGGGACTATTCAATAAGAGCGTCGCCATCGAGTGCGATGCCTCCGAGAAGCTCAACCCTAAGCTGGCAACGCCGCCCAAATTCTCAATCATCCGACCTTTCACGAAGTCGACCATTATCAATGGTAGCTACAGAGAATGCCGCGCGATCTCCGAAGGCAACTCCTACACCAGAGCCTTCATCAGCATCTACCTCGGAGCAAAGTCTCTCACGCGAACAAATTGCGCAATCGCTGGCATCCAAGGACCCGGCCTGGTTCCGACAGACTGCGGATAGGGGATTACATTCGCCAGCATACAGACGAAACCAGGTTGAGGACGAAGATAGGTCAGATCACGGATCGTATACTGCTCGAGTACAAATGCCTGGAATGTCCCGCGAAGTTTCCGAGTCCGAGAAGACCCAAAATCCCCCCATAGATGGATCTTCTACCCCCCGAAGGAACAGTGCTACTCCCCAAAATGCCCCTATAGATGGATCTTCTACCCCCCGAAGGAACAGTGCTACTCCCTCCTTTGGCATTGGCTCGAAAAGCCCGCAAACAAATTCTTTAGGTGGCCTTGGAACCCCAATTCCATTATCCAGCGCGCAAAAGCTTGACCCCCCGAATACAGATTCTATGTCAGAAACTCGTGGTTTGGCAATGTCTCCATCGCAGGGTCGTATTTCTCCCGAAAGATCGGATAGACCTACTACTTCTCCAACCAAAGGAATGGGCGGGTTTGTACAAAGCGCCATGATGAAAAGGTCAGACAGCGTGAGCAAGAGATGGAGCGTACAATCACCTGTTGGTCTAAGCCGACGCAACTCCGTGGCAAGCAATCGAAACAGCAATGATGCTAAAGTCCCCATTGGTTTTGGTAGTGTTGTGAATGCTTCAGCGAGTGCGTCTAGGCCTAGCAGTCTGAGTAGAGACAACTCCCCGCGGCCTTCCTCTAGGCCGACATCAAGTCAAAGCAACGCAACGATCACCACTTCAGGCTCTATGAGGAGAAACACGACAACTTCTACAAACAGTGATGCATTCGTCAAGCCCTCGTTGCCTAGCTCACGATCGCAGATCCCCTCAGACGTCAAAGCCGGGCAAGAAAATGCTCCTGGTGACCAATCCTCTCGTAATGAGACGACGCCGCCTATCACCCCTTCTAAAACCATGGATCCTAGGAGATGGAGTCCCACGAAATCCAGCTGGCTTGAGAGTGCTCTAAATAAGCCCGAATCTCCGAAGCCAAAAGTTGCTCCTCAACAACCTGCGTGGATGTCAGAAATCAGTAAGATCAGGAAAAAGAATAGCGTCGATCTCACCCATGATCCCACAGTCGGCCACAAGCATGAAGTTAATATTGGCGGCTTGATGAGGTCACCTGCGCCTGGCGGGCTCGCAGGACCGTCAAGTATAGCAGGCCTTCCAGCTGGGGGTTCTTCTGGTGCGATATCCAAAGACCATTCTGAAAGCGTCAGCTCACCCGAGAGCGAATTAACTCCCAGCAAGCCAGATGTAGCTGAGCACACAAGCCCAACACCCACTCCGGAAATCGAGTCCTCTCCTGCCAATAGCAAACCGAAAGTTGACAGACCAAAACCTGAAACACCACCCAAGAAGGATTTTAGGGCGATCCTGAAGCCTCGTCAGCTTCCTGCTGATAATGATGGAAAAGAGGAACCCGAATTTAAGAGTGTTTTTGGTCAGCTTCGGCGGACCAAAACCCAGAACTACGTTGCACCCGATGAACTAAAGGATAACATAGCTCGGGGAAAGGCTGCCCTCAATAGTACTGGTGGCCCGAAAAAGTCAGAGCCTAGGGATGAATTCAAGGATGCTATTCTGAAGAAGAAAGAGGACTTCAGAAAGGCTCAGCTGGAAGGGAAAGGTGTTCCAAGGCCTACTACTAGAGGAGGCACTGAAGCACCTCTTCCTGAAGCCCTCGCAAAAAGACAGACTCTGGGGAGATCAAACTCAACTGTGAACGAAACGGATATTCGAGAATTTTCAAGTTCAGCATTCCCTCCGAAGGAAAGTAGCGCCTCCGGCCGTCTCCAAGGTAAAGAGGCTATTGGCGGTAAGCTCGCCGGTCGTTTGAATCCAGCCCTTGCTGGGCTGTTGGCCCGAGGACCTCCTTCAATAGCTAGCGATACGTCGCGATCATCGAGCCCTACCTCTTCTTCTCAACGTACTGTCAGCATGAGTACGGCTACGACAAATCCGGAGACTCCAGAAACTGGCCCACAGCTCACTCACATGACCAAGGGACGTGCCCGCGGGCCTCGTAGGAAGGCGCCCTCTAAAGTTTCTGCCGCTGCCATTACATCTAAAGGGGCGTCAGATGCAAACTCGCCCTTGGGATCAAAACCCGAGTCTCCCATTAGATCACGTGTTTCTGTACCTGTGAAGACTCTGGAGTCGACGGAGCCTGTCCTGGAAACCTCATCCCAAGCCAACATCGAAAATCCGGTAACTGAACATTCAACTCCACGGAAACTTGATATGAAATCGCGATCACAATTTCTTCATGAGGCAGCCAATAAGAGTAATGAGGGAGAACCGTTGTTGGACTCCTCCAAACCTTCTCCTGCGAAAATCAATACCCGCGAAACGCCTGCGAAGTTAGAGCAGAAGGAACCGGAACAGACTACTAAATCAACCGACTGGGCCAAGCCAATACCCCCTACGAAATCTTCGTCTCTAATGTCAAGAGATACTGAAAGAAGTCCAAATAACAAGCCTTTACCGCTGTTGCCCAGAACATCCAACACAACTGAGATGTCACCCGAAGCTACACCTCCTCTCCAATCAAGAACACTAGCGTCTTGGAACGGAACCAATCAATCTGAGAATTCCAAGAGCGGGGGGCAAGGGTCGTTGGGATCAGTTAAGAACGTGGCAGCATTATGGGATCGTCCTTCAGCATCACAACCAGCAGCAAACCCTCCACGCGCCCGCTCTCCGATCAAATTGCCCACACAGGATGATGAAAAGGCTGCTATGATAGACGCTGGACTACGGTCTCCAAGTCCAGTCAAATCAAATGCACCAATTGGCCTGGGTATTCAAAGTATAGGAGACTTGGCATCAGCGCGACCACTTCCAACACCACCAGTAAAACACCCGCGTTCTCCTTCCCCAAACGCAAGGCCCGCACCTTCCGTTTCACGCATGGAATCAGATCTGCCACCTTTACCTCGGGCATCAGAAGCCTCCAAATTACTTTCAGATTTCTTTGTTCGGCACGACTCGCCCCCTGAATTTCTTGCAGATACTGCGGCAATTCTGGCTGCGCGCCCAGAGCAAGGCACAGATGTCAAGACATTGCGGGCAAGTCTCTACCAGTTTTCAGGCGATGGCAAAAAACAGCCTGTGCCCACTCATCAAGAGCGGCTCTTATTCGAAGGAAACATGTACATTTGTGTTCATGTATTCGGTAATGTGACTGGGAAGAAGGTAACAGAAGTATATTTCTGGGCTGGAGATGAGGTCCCTGCTTCGGTAGTTGAAGGGGCCGATATCTTCGCTCAAAGAGAAGCTAAGAGTGCTGGCGGAAGACTTGTCAAGATCCAACAGGGCAAGGAAACCCCAGAATTCTTCCAAGCACTTGGAGGTATCATAATAATTCGAAGAGGTACATCGAACAAATATGATTCTCTGGCGCCGCATATACTTTGTGGGCGAAAGCAGTTTGGCCAGATCGCGTTTGACGAGGTAGACTACTCGCCTGCCAGTCTCTGCTCTGGATTTCCCTACCTCATTTCGACCCAATCTGGCAAATGCTATCTGTGGAAAGGAAAGGGCAGTGGTGTCGATGAGCTTAGTTGTGCTAGACTTATTGGGATGGACTTTGGCTTGACAGGCGACATTGAGGAGGTAGAAGATGGCAGTGAACCTGCATCATTTCTGGAAGTCTTTGGGGACGGGGCTCAAATACCAAAATCCGCAGACCATTGGAGGCTGAAGCCGAACTACAACAAGTACTGTGGGCGACTCTTCTGTGCATATTCTTCTGCAAAATCACAGGTAAGTAAGCGATCTACGACCCAGTCAACCCAGTCCTAGTTGTAGGGATCCTAATTTTGAATGTACCAGATCGTTGAAATCTCCCCCTTCTGTCAGCGCGATATCTCTTCATCGAACATCTATATCTTAGATGCCTTCTTTGAAATTTATATCATCGTCGGGTCACGGGCCCAATCTCAATATGCCGCCTTTCATAGTGCCTTGATGTTCGCACAAGAATACGGCATCCTCGCTGCGGGTATGGAAGACCGGCCTCATGTCCCAGTTACTACGATCGTACTGGAAGGTATACCGAAGGATCTAAAGAGCGTGTTCCGAAAATGGAGGGATGGGTTAACGCCAACGATAACGCAACCGGCCAGTGGTGTGCAAAGAGGAAGAAGCTTGAGAGTTGTGTCACTGACGGCTGCCTTGGAAGCCATGCGGCAAATGTAAAATCCCGTGATTTACTGAGACGTCGCTCTTGAAGGCTGTGGGCCAAGATATTGAGTTTAATGATTGACGCCCCAGAGTGCTTTTTGTTGTTGAATCGCTTCTGTAAATGATAGGGATGGGGTTCATGAGACGGGCGCTGGTTTTGCTGAGTTGTGTGGTTATGCATACCTTAGAAATCATAATGAATTATTGACCATGTCGCTCATGAGGAACGTCTTTTTCATTCGAAGCAAATCAATGACTGGTTGATATACCTTACCTACCTACCTAAGGTACCTTACCTTACTTATTACTGTAGGTTCGTACCTACATCCATACGGTACCTTAGGCACATCAATCATTATTCATAGATGCTAGGCACATGCTTTTCTTTGTAATATATATGAGTGTTCTAATTGGTGTGCTCGTAAATGTTACCCCTGGCACGGATTGATTGGCTACATAGCCAAGGTACGCAGCCGATTGATTACTGTCCGGCGTCAGCCTCTCAGCCTTACGTACTTTTAGACCATGCAACGTCGATCTTGATTCTTCTACACAGTAGTAATACGGGAATACCGACTTCCTGAATCCAAGTATATATCTCCCCTTTCTACTCATGTAGCTGCTCTCTCCATCTCGAGAACTAGCAGCTCTCAGATATATCTTCTTGCTTTGAATTCGTGAGGTAGGATACGATGGTAGTCACCGAGCCTCCACGACGACGGAGACGATGCGGGCCCAAGGTAAAATCAGGCTGCCAGACGTGCAAGTAAATGAACTCCCGCCCTACTCCCATCTTACAACTCTTAACAAATTGCAGGATTCGACGTGTGAAATGCGACGAAGCCAAACCATCTTGCCAAAGATGCACGAGTACCGGGCGAAAATGCGACGGGTACGCTCAAGATATATTGATTGCTAGACCCCAAGATGCCCAAGATCGCGCCATTATACACAGGATTTCTACATCTATGCCCGGAAATAGGGAGGAGAGACGCGGGTTTAGTTACTTTCTGCATAACACGACGGTCGAGTTATCCGGATATTTCGATACCTCGTTCTGGCAGCAATTGTTAGTCCAGGCTTCGACAGCGGAGCCAGCGTTAAGGCATGCTGTTATTGGGATTGGATCTCTGCATGAAGCTTTTACGAATAGGCGGTTGGATTACTCTCCGGATAGTATCGAGCGGGGATTCGCGATAAACCAGTATACCAAGGCCATTGGACATCTAAGAAGGTCTCTGGCAACTGGCAAACAGGAGCCTTTGACAGCTTTGATGTCGTGCATACTTTTTGTGTGCTTTGACAGTATAAGAGGCCATTTCAAATCAGCTATGGTAAGACTCAATCTTCAATCTACTCTACTCCAGATACAAGCCTAAACACTTTTCCTTAGCTGCATTTGCAAAGCGGTCTCAGAATTCTTCGTGATTTCAAATCGAAGTTGGCGGGCGATAGTATAGCTAATAGCCTTGGTCATCTTTTAATAAGACTCAGCATCCAAGCCGTCTTATACATCGACACCAGGGAGGCTTCAGACCAGAAAGCATTTGCCGCTGAGTTGATGGAAGTCAACATGCCGGAGACCCATATTCCCGAATCGTTCGAGTCATTAGAGGAAGCTCGAGACGGCATGTGCCAAGCTGCTAATGCCCTCTTCCAAATGTTCTATATGTGCGATGGAGATCTGCCCTACGTTTACCAGCATGAAGCCCTTCCTCTGTACGAAAAAAACACATCCCGACTCGCCAAATGGAACACAGCCTTCGAGACGCTGATGCAGGCCAAGAGTCGAAGTTTCACCAGTAAGCAGATCCGAGGAGCTGCATTACTGAAGATCCAACATACCACCGCTACGATCATGGCAGATGCAGCCTTGCCAGATATGAATGATTCCCGTTCCGTAGCCGAAATTTCCAACACACCCGACAACTTCTTGAAATACACCGGAGATTTCCAGACGATAGTGAACCTTTCGCGGTCCCTCATTTTAGCCTCGGAAGCAGATGCAAAGAGTGGGAAGTCAGCTCTTACCTTTTCCACGGATTTGGGACTGATAGCACCGTTATATTACGTTTGTATTAAATGTCCTGACCGTTCTATCCGTACAGCAGCAATAGAGCTGCTAATGCGCGATCCCCGGAGAGAAGGGATGTGGGACAGCGTAGCTACGGAAAAGCTGATCCGGGGGTTTTGGGAGATCAAAGCAAAGCACCCGGCTCTGCAGATAGGGAATGAAACCACTCCATCCATTCCGTTCAAGGGGCTCGATCTGGTATTCATGGATGGCATGAAGTGGGAATGGAAATGGAAACAGCCGGTGACGGAAAGTAGAGCGGACACCCCTGGTGATCTCTGCTGGACTGATGGCTCGTTCTTCCCCGCTGGAACAAACGTGTGGTAGGTAGGCACATGATACGGAAAGGATCATGAAACATCCATGTTGACGACCAGAACCGCCTCTTGAGTCTTTGGGACTACATTCTCTAAGATACGACGCTGGATTTTGAAGGAGGACTAGAAGAACAATTCATTGATTTAGAGCTACGTCTCTTTCTTTGGGATAAAAGGGTAAACGAAGGTTAGTTCTCCAATGCCCAACTCAAAAGGGATCCTCCAAAGAGCAACAAACACATACTGACAAGAATAGATCAGTGGGCGTTCCGGCTCGTTGTATGTAAGAGCAATGGAAGAGGCAAGGGAACTCCTCTTCTTCTATAACTTAATATAATATAAAATATCACTTGAGACCTTCAGTAAAAGTTATTCCAACCCCGTAGGTCTGTTGAGGTTCCATCTTGATATGGGGTGGTAGTGGGGCACACACTTGACTAGTCCCGATTAGAGGAACCCCTAGGCGGATAGATAGGTTTTCTGAATATCTGATTCCATCTTGAATTGATAGGCCTGCCTGCCTGCAGTCTATACCTTCATCATCTTTATCTGACTAATATGTCATAGTTGTAGGGCGATCGCCAATGGGATGGATAATCCTTCGATTCATATCCCTTTGGAGGGTAAGAGGACTAGGATGCGCACAGCGTACAGCGTACAAGATAATAATCATCTCTTCAAATCCTTAGTCTTCATTTCCCCTCCACCTTGGCCGGTTTTCCCCTTCCTTTGCCCATCGACTCCGTACCCTTCCACGCCCATCTCCGCCAGCGCCTTTTCTATCATCTGCACAGCTTCTGGACAGGCATCGCTGCCAACCCTCCAACTCCTGAGCGCAACGCCTCGAGAATCAAGGATATCTTTCGCGCGAATCCATCTTCGTTTCCAGAGATCCAGCTTCTTACTCATGGGGGCATTGGTCGGACGATATGCCCCGTCACCAAGATCTTCAGTGCTGCTGCGTGATAATTGCTTTGAGCTGCTCGAAGCAACTGGGGCTGCAGAGCCTCTACGAGGCGGTAGAGCGGGCGGTCTTTCCGGAGATGAAGAGGCAAGGGCTTCAGAACTCTGCGAAGATCGAATGGATTCCCCCGGAAGATAAGAGCTAACTGGGGGAAGTGCATTGTAGGCTTCAGAGACTTTGTGTCGGGCAATTGAGACGTATCCCTCATTTGGATCTTTAAGGTCGGAGGAACTTGTCGCTTGTGATAGAGGGTGAGAAGCAGCACCATCTTTTTGACTACGGCGCGGTTTTGGAGGCGGAGGTGGTGAACGTTTCTCTGTTGCTTCGGGGGCATCGGGCGTGCCGGCCACCGTCATGCTGCGGAGTGCTAATGGCTTTGAGGGCCGAGGTGGGGGTCGAGGTGGTGGTGCTCGGTCATTATCAGGGGCCGATTTTCGCCTCGGGATATCAAGGGACTGGAAATCAGAAGAAGAACGAGGCATGACACGACCGCGAGACTCAGGAGTACTCGCTTGCTCGGGTTCATCGTCAAAATCGATCAGTTTCCCCATAGTTGGACCATCACTCGTTTTAGGGGTAGCTTCGGACTTGACCCTCGGAGGAAGCTTAGGCCTTTGCTCAGTTGTCTGAGATCTATTGGACACTTGTGACGCCGTGCTATCTCCAAATTGAGCATTGGTATCTCTTCTGCGGCGCTCGCCGCTCAATGGCCCCCATGTAGAATCAAAGAAACCTGGAGTTTGAGGGGTTGTGACATCTCTTATGAAAACAGCCAGGATTTTGCCCGGATTGGCTAAGACCACATCAGTGTATACCTCCAGGTCAGCTTCGCCGCTGTCCCCAATGAGGATGAACTTGCGCTGTGGAAAATCTCGCATGATTCTCTCCAGGGTCCCTTTCTTCCTCTCAGCGACAGGTTCGAATATGCCCTGCAACATTCCACTGTATTGCTTGAGATGATAGGATCCTGGAGGCAGTCCCGCTACCCGGAAGAAGCTCATAAGGACAGGAAACAGCTGCCATGGCGAATTGGAAACGTAGTGTAATCCTACGCCCATATCGTACATCTTGTTGTACCATTCCCTGACGCCGTCGATAGTGAGATCCCCAAGCTCGCGAATAAATGCATTCCTAAAAATCTCACGAGCTCCACTGCCAATGGAAGAATGTTTGATGGTATCATCAACATCACTGATTACACTGACGCCCTTCGGTTGCATGATCTTGATCTCTTCAGTCGCGGAGAGGCCTTCCGAGGCCAACACTCTGACATGAGTTGGTATGAAATCGAGGGCGGCTCGCATGTTAAAATGCCCAGCCTCATTACTTGTTATCGTCCTAGAAACAGACGTCTTCTCGTCGTAGAAGAATACAGTTATAGGTATAGACACTAACGGGTTCGTAAGAAATGGCTTCAAACGACTCATCAAGTGTGCATTTGCAGCAGCTAATTCTGCTTGTGACATATCAGAGGGCTGATTCCAAGATGGGCGTTTCTGGAGATTTCCTGGCCCAGGTGGATCGTCAGACGGGGTCCCACTTCTGCCACGATCTCCATATATGCTTTCAGCATCTGACCTATCTCTTGGATTCTCACTATAACCGCCCTGAGCAGCAACGTTTCCCTCTCCTTCACCCTTCTTCAGGATCTGCTCTGCTTCTAGTGCAATCCTCTCCTGTTCAAGTCTAGCTTCATGCTCTCTCTGCCTTGATCGTAAAGATGAAGATGCATCCAAACCATTTTCTGTATTTGGTGATTTAGCAGGAGCTGGTATCCCGCTCAGCTGTCGTGCGAGCCCAATAAGCAAACGATTCTTCCGGTTCAAAGGACCCCGATGAGGTGAGTATACCCATCCTCGAACGTCCACATCAACTATAGCCCTGTCATCTTCAAACTTCCGCCATTCCCTGTCCCAGTATTCTGCATCTCCAGGACCGTCGTCGGAACTGCTGCCCTGCGCTCGTCGGGCGTCTGGATTCGGTGTCTCCTTGATATGTCTTTTTGCATAGGAAGGGAACAAAAGAAGCTGCTCATCTCCATGAGAGACAATGGCTACATCCGGAAAAGCACCTGGTATCCCGTTTGGATCATCGTCCAAGTCTGCATTGCCCGAGCCCCAGTTTTGCGTGTAGGATTGTTGATATGACTGTCTGAGCTCATTCGCAGCTTTCAAATAGCCAGCCAACTTCCTTCTCCGTGCCCCACGTTCTCGACCCTCGCCATATCTGGCTTCATCACTACCACCAAAGCCGGGCATGGAACCAGACATGGTCACCTTTGCTCGCTTCGCACGCTTAGCAATCTCATTGTTTTTGTAAAACCCTCCGAATAGTCTATTACCCCGCCTGCGGAGGATGTCAAGGATCCTTGACCCGGCAGCCTTCTTCTCTCGGCGTCGCGTTTGGTGTTTTACTATGTAGCTGTAGATTCGAGACTGGGCTCGGTGCTTGTAGTATGGGAAGGTATCGAGGCGGAAGTTTGCAAGTCTATCGCGCGCGGTTTGTCGGGAACGAGGGAATATATAGCGGAGTAGGCTTTGGCGATGGTGAGGATGGCCAGCTCTCGGGCGTATGGGCGGAGGAGCCACCTTCGCTGGGTGTATCGAATTCGATGTTAGGTAGGTAGGGGTCTAGGTAGTCGGGGCGAGGACTCGAGGAGTCGAGGTTGCGCGCTGTGTCATGGCTTGCGACACTTTAGTTGAGGGCCTTGCCACTGGAAATAGAAGCTGGGAGCCAACACTCCATTGAACTCGAACAGCAGTAGAATTCCAGCACAATTGTGAAGAACTCGAGTGTGTCAAGCTGCGCAAGAAAACTGTAGCTTCACTTCCATTTCTTTGGTGCACCGCTTCCGAGCCTCTGACGTATAATTATATTTAGCCCACGGAGTCCTTCGGTCCCCTATTTTACCCATTCTTCTGGACCACGCCCGAATATGAGATATTCACAACAGACAGGAGGAGAGTAGAGCAGAGTGCTGTGAGACTCGTAGTCTCTCAATGCAATTGAATTTGTTTACTAGATACACTGGATTCATGGGCCATATAAAAACACCTCCTTCGCCAGTCGCCATGAGCCGCTCCTTTCCTGGTGCTCAGTCGAGCTGTCTATGAACGCGAACGCTGGATGATCTATGAAAATAAGAGCCTCAAAGAGGCCTTAAAATGGCATTCACGGCTTCTTAGCAGATTTTTCTTTCTTTTTTTTGGCACGAAACTCTCCCAGGGATAAATCAATGGGAGTAGACAGAGCCGAGATATTACTTAGCCAAATGATGGGTCGGTCCTGAGACTGAAAGTTTTGTTTTTTGTCAGTAGCCCAGCAAACGGCGGGTGGTGCGCGCGGCTGCAGGGGGAATTGGAGGGTATCATGCCGACGAAAATACGCTGAGCAATCCTGTCGTTAGATGCCGGTCAACGAAAGGATGAAGAGGAAGAGGCGGGGTTCTTTCGCACAGAAATTAACCTGTTGCTATTAACCTGCAGCAGCCACAGAGGTATTTTGTCTCTTGGCGGGCGCTGCCGTCGAGTCCTACACACAGTCAGCACTGTCAGAAAATTTCGAGCTGAGGCGGAAGGATCCAGTTCAGATTTGGTCCATCGTGATGTTAGTTAGTCACATACTTCAGTTGCGCTGCGCTTTTTGCTGGATTTCTTCTTTTGTGATCGAGTAGGTTTGACTTCTCCTTCTGAGAACACGTCGTCGGGAAGATCACAGCTATTTGGAAACCTTAGTCAAATTCTCAAGTAGAGAAAACGGGAACTCCGACTGCAGACTTACTTCCGAGTATGAATGATATTCAAGGAGTTGAGCTCGTGATTGTACTTTTCCCAACCCGTGCAAACTTTCTTGAAGTCAGACACCTGCCACGAGAGGTCCAGCGATTTGGCACCTAAGCATATTAGCAGATGGGCGGTAGGGGTATGGGCGGCTGGGTCTTCCGATTCCAGGGGTCGATGTAAAGCAAATTCAAGTGTCCGAAAATATCAGGACGTTGAGGAACAAGACCACTTACCTTCATACAGTTCCAACCCGATATAGTGTGTTGTTGTGTAAACCATCGTGACCTTTTCATCGCTATTATGTTTCTGGTCTCCATTAACTGCCTCATCCTTGACGACGTACTCCATACTACCGCTCTTCGCTTTTTCGATCTCCTCTTCCGTAGTGCATCGGTGGACTCGTTCAAACCCCTTATTAAAAGGATGCGCAAGGAAAATGGACTCGTGCAACTCAAGGTTTACCACGAGAAGTCGGACTTTCGATTCGACGCAGCCAGACCATATCTTTTGTGCCTCCTTGGTGGTACTGGCTGATATAACAGAGATGTAATACTTGTAACCATCTGTGAAAAAAGTGTGCTTTGCAAATAAGCTCTTCCATGGGAGCTTCCCCTCCATGATTTGGTCTGTGATAACTCTACCACGTTGCAGTTCCCTCTGTATGATCTCCTTTGTAGACATCGTGATATTATGAGTAGCACACATCGACGGATACGCAGGGGTTATTATGGGCATAAGGTGGAAGGAATCGCTTTTGTATATCTAAATGATATTAGTAGGCCACAGCTAGTAGGATGGCTTACTTACTCGAGGATTCCAGACTCGAACTTTCAGAGGGCCACTCTCGATAGGTTTGAGTAATACCGGCATTGGCCATTGCCACTTCTCCATTATGCGGAAGAATTTCAAGACGATCGTTGAGCTCGTGGCTTTGGGGTAAAGCTGGCAGACCCGAGCAACAAGCATAGCCCAAGCTACACCACCAGGAAACCCCATGATGTTAGCATATATCGCGCGTCTTTGGGCCCAAAGCTTGATTCCTCGGAGAGCAGTTCTAAAGACAGACTGTTGAGGTACTAGCTCTAGGATTTCATCTGTAACGCGGGTACCATTCAGTGAACGGAGTTCTGGATCATCCAGACCCCGCAAGAGATTCGTATCCAAGAGCGTCAGATCAGGCGGAACTTTGTTAAGCATCAGTCGAGAGAAGATCAAGTCGATACTGATACCGGAGTATTCGAATTTGATGATAGGGACGAACGCATCTTCGACGGGGGTGAGGTCTGTAATAGCTCCTTCAGGTGCCATCTTAACAAGGAGATCCGGGAAGAGCTTGAAATAGTCATCTCGTGTGACATTTTTTGGGACGACGACAAGTGTATCAATATCTGAACCGGGCCCAAAGACACCTAATCGAAAGCTACCATATGTGAATATCTTGCCACCGGCAGAGTTGACTAGATTTTCAGCAAGGTTTTGAGATCTGCAAACTTGCTTCACAAATTCCTCGGTGATCGCTTGGAGAGACCGGAGGACTACTGATCTGAGAGCAAAACGTTAGTAAAGGCGCAGGTGCGAGAGAGACAAGTATGATAGAATAGAGTCTGCTCGGGCAAGGTGGAGGGTCTCAAGCCTTCATACTCACCTCTTGTTGGTATCTGCGGCGCTCTCGTAGTTGTTCTGTCGCTTCAACTCCTCGATAAGAGCGTTGCTTGCTTGATTTTCAGCTTCCGTTGGCATTGCCATCGACAGCGGAGCTGTCACACCCAGCGGCTTCACACCAGGAGTCGCCATGGTGATGGTCAAGCCGGAGTCAGTGTTGAAGGGTGGATGGCTGGCGGCGATGGAAAATGGATCGCTCAATCTAGGTACCTTCTATCGCCGAAGTTAGCTAAAAATAGACTAGCGTCGTTTGTCGCGACTTCGTCCTTACAGGTTACAGCTTTCTTCTTGTCTTGATAGTAAAGTGAACTACCAACGACCTGTGAAAATAGAATTCCAATTCTCTTCGGATTGCGCTCTGAGATTTTAGGTGCTTCTAAACTGAACTATTGCGTGAGAGAAACAGATAAGGAAATGTCGAAAGTAGAGTGGGATGGGAACGCAGAAACTTATGATGATCCAGACGAGAGGAGGGTTCTCCTTCAGGCGTTGGACTCTTTCTAGTGAGTTGCCATCTCCTTTAAGTGCCTCCCTGTAACTGCTATCCTTTACCGGAAGTCGATGTCGATCCTTAAATGCTGCATGCTCCAGGTGGGGTTGAGAATCATGGGGGAAACGGCTATGATGAGCCACCAAGTCTCGTCCTGCCTACTCTCTTCGTTTTCTTCAATAATTTATACAACGCAACGTCAAGGGCATTGCTGAAGTTTCATGTAGTCAATACTCAAAAACTGCACATTACAACACGACTCATCTTCGGAGGCAGTCGTTTTACGCCTTGCCACAGGCGCATAGCGAATTGTTAGCAGCTCCGCCATTCTCATATCTTGACACCCTCAATGCCGTAGATGATGGGATAGACAAGAATTCAGAGCTAGCCTTAGCCATCCTATCCTCGGGGCTTCAAGCCTTTGGAATTCCACATCCAAACACGGGCGACAGCAAAGACTCCGAATGGTTTGGCATGGCAACCGCTAATGACCTAGAAAAAGCAAGAAGCACTCTGCGGCAATTCTATCGAGATTGGTCCGAGGAAGGGGCTGCTGAACGAGAGGCATGCAATGGTCCAGTGATCAAGGCTCTTCAGAAAGAACGTTCGGTTCGCTCTGGGTCATCCATGCGTGTTCTGGTCCCAGGAGCGGGGCTTGGTAGACTTGTATTCGACCTCTGCTGTGCAGGATTTGACGCCGAGGGGAATGAAATTAGCTATCATCAGCTTCTTGCCAGTTCCTATATCCTAAATATCTGTCCGAAAGCCAAAGAACACACTCTGTTTCCTTGGGTGCATTCGTTCTCAAATCACAGAAATCGTGCAAATCATCTCAAATCAGTTCTCGTGCCTGATGTACATCCTGCAACCACTTTAGGCGGGGTCGAACATCCTGGAGAGATGAGTATGAGTGCATCGGACTTCTTATGCTTATATGGCAATGAGGAACATCGAGATACTTTCGACGCCGTGGCCACGGTCTTCTTCCTCGATACAGCCCCAAACATCATACGGTATATCGAGACAATTCGAAATTGTCTCCGAACAGGCGGGTTACTGATTAACGTGGGACCATTACTTTGGCATTTCGAGAACAACGCCCCAGGCTCGCACGGCCGTGAAACAGACTCATCGGCGCAAGACGGTAACAGGGGTAAGTTTACCCTAATCAATTAATGGCCTCTAATAACTCGATATTGCAGGAATCGCAGAGCCTGGAAGTGTAGAGCTCACCGACGACGAAGTGGTGGCATTGGTGGAAAAATTGGGCTTCGTTGTTGAAAAGAGGGAATCGGGAATTTCCGCACCGTACATACAAGATGCAGAGAGTATGCTGCAAAATACTTACAAAGCTAGTCACTGGATAGCAAGGAAAAAATGATTTAAAAGCTACTGCTGGTCATATACCAAAGCAGTTTGAGTTCCATGTCTTGGTATCATCTCGTCAAAGCTTTGCCTTTTCAGCGTCGCCCTCTCTCGTAGCATCAGCCATGCCTCCGCGAGACCACACTTCGCCACCATCAACAGTGATTGTTGCTCCGTTAATATGAGAACCTGCTCTACTAGAAAGGAAGACCACGAGTCCTGCAATGTCCTCCGGCTTGCCTAATCTTTTATTCGGGTTCTTTGCCGCCCAAGTATCCGCACCTCCCGTCAGATGAATCAACTCACTAGCCATTTTTGATGGAAAGAACCCAGGGGCAATGGCATTAGTCAAGATGTGTCGTGGACCCAATTCAACGGCCAGATTTCTTGCAAGATGAATGACTGCAGCTTTGGAGGCTGAGTATCCAAACGTGGCATTCTTTCCCAGAGGACCAATTCCAATACCTGCTATGGATGCCGTGATGATAACTCTTGATGGATCCTCAACTGTAGCATTCTTCTGCAGCATCGGCGCAAACCTACATGCTCGTTAGCCTGGTCTTTCAGAGTCCCATTTACCATCTAAAAGAACAAGAGGCTTACAATCGAATAGTATTAAAAACACTCTTGACGTTCAAATCCATGACCTTGGCGAACGCCGCATCAGGATGTGTATCAAATGACTCTCCCCATGTAGCACCGGCATTCGCGAACAAGACATCTACATGGTCTGTGGTCTTGGCTACTTCTTTAACCAAGTGCTCCACGCCCTCAAACTTCGAACTGTCGGCAGGGACGGAAATCGCTCTCGCGCCGGGAGCAAGGTTGGGGAGCGCATTGAGAGCTTTGACGGCAGCCTCGCAGGCAGCGGCTTTGCGGGATGTGATATAAACTTTTGAAGCACCTGCTTGCAGGAATCTGTACTTTATATTAGAACCGCCGTGATAGGAACCATAGCTAGGGGAAGAGACATACCCAGATGCTGCGTGCAGCCCCAGACCTCTTGATCCTCCGGTGACGACTACTACCTTGCCCTTGAGGGAAAAAATATTGGGGAAATCTTTAAGCTCAGTGTCGTATTTAGACATTGTGAGATAAATTCAGAAATCAAAATGCGTCTAAGCCGTAGTTAAGGAATTCTATGAGATATGATTCAAACAATGGATAGGTAACTCGATTTGAAAAGAGATGAAGCTTGTTGACCCGAGCTTTGTGGGGTAGAAACAAGCTTAAACAGCCGGGTAAGAGCCGGGCCGAGGCATGTCAGGCTTACCCCACACTTTGAACCTTCAGCTTAACGATGGTCTGCTCTTCCTCCTGTGCCGTTCTATTTTGAAAAACTGCGAAATTAAGTTGAAGAGTGTAGACATCTAGTCTTAGGATTTTAAGATCATCCTGCAAATTTTGGAATTCGTGAGCCTCAAAGTGTATCCATCGTGTTGGCGGTTGTGTGGTCCTATCCATTCTTATTTAGTACTGTATCCACATGAAAGTGACAACATTATTTTGGATAAATTCGCCCTTTCCCCCTACTCAAGCCTCTTCAAGATCAGCCCCATACAACATTCCAAAATGTACTTTTAAATTGTATTATTATCCAGGAATCATCCACTTTCCCGTCACATAGGGGGATTTCTTTGTTCAAGATTCCCCGAACAGACTGACGAATCCTCTAAACAACACACTTCCCCGCCCAGCAGTTAATGTAGCATTGCGTTGTCCATCTTTGCCATAGACTATAATGGTCCCTGGAGTTCCCAAATCCTCGTAGGTGATGATCACGCTCTTTTCTCTCTTATCCGTAACCATAGTAATTGTTGCCGTCCCATTCTGAACCGCATTGTAGTATTCGAATTGAGATGCTGGGACATTATAGCTTGGGAACGCCTGGATTTCGAGATACGGCTCCCATTTAGTCCATCTCTGATTGCCTTGGTATATGTCGCCCGTAGGAATAATGGCACCTTCGCGAACGTATACTGGGACGTATTCCCACTCCAGAGAAACGGGGTGCGTAGTCCCGCCCTGGTACACATCGGTCTTGTTGATGTATTCAAGGTATGAAGAGCCACTAGGAAAATATACGTCCCGAGTACCTCCCTCGGTGACAATAGGAGCGACGAGGAATTCCTCTCCGAAGGCATACGAGTCAGTAGTGGTGTAGACCTTGGGATCATGCGGGTACTCTAGGAAAAGGGCCCGGATGATAGGTACACCAGTCTGAGTAGCGTGGTACGTATAAGATTTAATGTATGGCAGGAGCGAAGCATGAAGGTTTGCAGTCTGCTTGAGAACAGACACAAGGCGACTCGTATAGGGTGGATACCAGGGGGTATGGTTTGTCCCAATCATGATTTCATAAGTCGGAGAAAATGTGCTGAAATGCATCCATCTAGCCCAGAGTTCCTCTTCAGGATCATTCACCCCACGGATATACCCTCCGCAATCCACTGCCCACTGCGAGAAGCCAATCAAGCCAGCACGGATCCCAGAGGCCACGGAATAAGCTAGACCAGTGAAATTCGAGTGTGAGTCGCCATTCCAAACGGCTGTTCGTGAACGAGATCTGTCTACCGCGGAGCGGGCAAAATTGTAGAAGTTTGATTCACCCCATTTGGAGACCATGTTTTCGTAACAGAGTTGCTCAAAGAGGCTCATCTGAATGTTTTGTTCATAGACTAGGGGTATTCAGCGAGGCTAAAACAGGGTAATTAATTTCAAAATAGGCACATACCTGGCATTTCCTCTTCCTCTCCACGGTCGATCTTGTAGCCCTTAACACCGAGATCGGTAAAAGCTGAGAGACGGTCCAGAAAGTAGCTATATGCAGCTGGAATTGAGAGGTTGAGGGCAGGCCCAAGAAACGTCTCGGCGCTGTAGCCTGGGAAAAGCCAGTCATTGGCCACCGAGTCATTATACAATTCTGTGTTCAAAAAAGCTCGGTTCGCAACCCAGACCTATTGGTGTCAGTCACGCCCGAAAGTATGTGAGAAACTGATACCTGAAAATCAAACCCGTGGTCTGACAGGTTTGCAATGAACTGGCCTGGAGTTGGGTAGAATGTGGGATCAAGATCGAAGTTGCCAAACGACATATTTCCAGTTCCATATGGCCCTACTAGTATAAGTAGGTAAATCAGGTATAGACAAAGAAAAGACGTACGATCAGCAAACATTGAAGTTGCCCTAATTTCATTGTAGTATAGATGGTTTATAACGTCGTAGTAGTTCTCTTGAGCATTGCTGACACCATCGTGGAAATCCTCTTCGAAATTATCAGACCAGAACGTGGGACCGAAAGCAGAATCGGGGGGCATCTCGATTCGTGATGACAAGGCAGTGTACTCTTGCAGGATTGATTTATAGTTTCCAGGCGATTTGGAAGGATGATGTAGTAAACTAAGCTGCTCGTATTGAAAATGAATTGAGCTTGTCCGGAGGTTGTGAAATCAAATGAGCCCATCTCAAGGGTGTCTGCATAGACACCGTAGCCAGCATTGGTGATGAAGAAAGGTGCTCGAGCGTTAGACCAATTGACACCCTCCGAGTCTCCAAGACCTTTGAGATCAAACTCGACATTGGTGTTCGTGATCTGGTCGAAGAATGGATATTCCCAGACACCGTAGAATAGACCGTCATTAGGAACGGTAAACCTTGCCCCAGTATAAGAAGAATTCGTGTCCACTTGGACTTTTACGACGTTGGGACTAACCCTCCTGTAGGTGACCTGGCCACCATGGTTGGCAATGGCTCCAGAAGAAGAGGCGACAATTGGACTGATTGATGAATTTGAAGAGCCTGTCAAGACAGCACTATTGTTGACGACTAATTGATTTCCATTATTAATAATGATAGAGAAAGGTTTTTGAGATGTTGCTACACTCAGATGGATGAGGCTAAGAGCGGCCAACAGCCTCAAAAGTCTGTCCATAATTTTCGAGCTTGCTTTGACTTTCAGATAATACAATATGGACATCTTCTCCATTATAAGTGAAGCAGATGCCAGAGACGAGGCCTTGCCGGTCCCCAGCATGTCGGAGAAAATTGAATTCCATGAGGCTAAGTCCAAAAACATCCAGCTACAGATCCTGGAGAAACATGGATGAAGAGTGACATGCGTGTGCACTCATGCACCCCGCTTAATATAACTGCCGATCAAGAAGATTTTCCCCCAATCAAATGGTTTGGATAGATACGTACGTTTTGACTGGCATGAAATTCATTTCAGCGACACTTCCCACGTCCCTACACGGGTAGAAGGGATGAGTCGGTACGTATTAGAGCGAGGCTGATGCGGGGATGACGGTGCAGAGAAAGAATTCTGGGTTGACCATGGAGTTGGATGGAAAGTTTGATTCCGATCCTCTCTCTAAGCTCTAGCAGAAGGATAAAGGATGTGGAATCAAATACTAGAGCAGTCTCAGTAACGGAACAGGTTGCAGTTCGAAATGATACATTGAAACTTCTTGGCTCTCTCAAGATACTAAAAGAGTAGCGGGAATTGGCAGGTCGAACTTTCTCCTCGTGACATATCCCTGGTTAATCCTGTAATGATTCTATATGATCCAAGGGTATAATTTCTGCGTAGGGAGAGATCGTAAGGAGAGATCGTAAACTTCTAGACTTCGAGATTGTTTCTATGCTGGAGGACAAGAACTTGATATATAATACACGGTGCTATCGGTCTAGCCGTCTATACCTGTAGATTAGTCTTACTGTCCCTCCACCTTCGCCTTTACGAGCTTTCTGGCCTCTTCATTCTTGACCACTGTATCGTTGTAATCCGGGCGTGGGATTTCTACACTCTCAGTAAGGCGTCCATAGGTGATACCTCCAAGCCTACTGATGGGTCTCAGGACCTACAAAAGTCAGTGGACTAATTTCGATTCAACAAATGGTACCCACATTTGGATCAATGAGGTTCTTCTGCTCATTGATAGCATCCTCTCTAACCCAGAATCTCGTTCCCTCAATGATGGCCAGAACCCCAGTCTTTTTCCCGGGTGTTGCTTTGCTCTCGAACTCTCTGGTGCTCTCTAATTTTCCTTCAACGGAGAAGATTGCCTCCTTGACCCGGGTAGCCTTGACCGTAGAACTAGGCGCAGGTGTAAGCCCACTCAGGCTCCACTCACTCTCTCCGTAAGGGGTGTTGATTGACGTCGCATTAGCAGCTTCAATGAAGTGCTCAGAGATGATATTAATGACACACTCTCCTGTTTCAATCAAATTCTTCATGGTGTCCTTCGCATTATCTAACCCTCCAGCAAATCCGAGGATAAATAAAGGCGGATCGTGGTTGATCATTTGGAAATAGCTGAATGGTGCCAAATTGGTACTGGAGCCATCGGTTGACCTCGTGCTCACGAAACCAATAGGTCGAGGGACGATCGCAGAAATCAAAAGTTTGTAATTCCACACAGCGGGTCGCCCTTCCTCGTAAGGATCTATCTCGACGTGAGGGACCTTAAGGCTCTCGCCACCGTCGTTTGCCCCGTCTCCATATTTCCAATCCGGGTTGACGGTTTGCTTGACGTTGAATGATAGGCTCTTGTCCCAAGGCTGTCGGCTCGCTTCAACCTTTTTGAAATCTGGATGAGGGTTGCGCTTGATAGCCTTCTCAGCATCCATCCGATCCTGGGGAGTGCTGGAGGTCAAAGATTGAGACGCCATAGTTCGAACGTAAACAGCGCTGAGGAATAAACGCGCGGGTCTGGAGACGTATTAGTATTTGACCACAATTCTACAAAGTCGACTGAAGACATGGGCTCACTGGGGCGATTTGATTATATGGCGAGCTGTAAACAACATAAGGACTGATAGACAAAGTCTTCAAGGTATGAGCTTCGTCGTCGTTGTTCTTCTCTGCGGAGCTCACAGGACGACTCGGTGCTAGCTCCACTGTGCTCGGCCCGAGGATTCTTATCAAAGCGATAAGGAAAGGGGGGTAAGGTGGGGTATATCATCTTTCCATTATAGCATTATACTCTCCATGAAAATAGAAAACATTGCTAATGATCTATTTAACTATACAGCTTGAATTGGAAGAAAGGTCAACACTTGCTTATTTCTTGACGACAGGTCCCTCCTAAACTTTACTTCGTACGGTAGGCACAGTCGCCAGATTGCCCACAAGGATTGGTAGTAAGTAATTGGTAATAGTGCACCCAAAGATAAGGATCACGAGGGAAGCTGGATTGAATATTCAACTGACAGGTGGAACTTCTTCAGTCCGACTTCACTCGTCAAATACGTCCAAAATGGCTGGTGTTGAGACATATAAAATTGGCGACTGGGAGTTACAATCTGGGCAATCAATTCCCGATGCCCAGATTGCATATAAAACCTTTGGAGACTCAAAGTCTCCAGCAATCATTTATCCAACCTGGTTCAGTGGATGTAAGTTGAGTTTCCTTCCTCCACGACCTGTACTTACCGCTTGAAGCCATCGCCGACAATGAGTGGCTTATCGGAGAAGAGCGCACGCTGAACCCAAAGAAGTACTTTATCATTATCACCGCTTTATTTGGAAATGGGCAATCGACCTCTCCGTCAAATTCTAATATCAGGCCCTTCCCTAAGGTCACTTTCTTCGACAATGTTCGCGCCCAGCACAAGCTCGTAACTGAGCACCTTGGCATCAAGCATGCTCGTGCTGTTCTCGGGTGGAGTATGGGCGCAGGACAGACGTACCAATGGGCCACCAGTTACCCGGATTTTATGGACATCTGTGTACCCTTCTGTGGTGCTGCAAAGACCTCACTCCACAACCAAGTCTTCCTGGAGGGAGTGAAATCTGCTCTCCTTGCTGCAAAGAAGCACTCATCAGCAGGTGTATGCGCAGATGGAATTCTTCCCCAAGGTGATGAATATCGAACCTGGACTGCCGAAGAGAAAGAGGTTGGCTTGAAGGCTTTCGGCAGAGTGTATGCTGGATGGGGCTTCAGCCAGGCATTCTATCGTGCGAAGGTTTATGAGACTGTGCTTGGCTTTAAAGATCTTGAAGATTTTATGAAAAATTTCTGGGAGACCTGGGCTCTTTCTAAAGGTAACTCTCAATGATTGGCATTGGCTCATCATCTGACGTTATCTAGACCCCGAGAATTTGCTGGCGATGTTGTACACCTGGCAAGCTGGTGATTGCTCCAAACAAGAACCATATAACGGCGATTTCAGAGCTGCAATGCAAGCAATCAAAGCAAAGACACTAGTGCTCCCCGGCCAGACCGACCTTTACTTCCCGTAAGTTTGTCCAATACAAGTTGAAGATAACCTGCTGATACGTCTCATTCCAGTCCCGAAGATTCAGAAATCGAAGTTGCAAATATGAAACCAGGAATTGGAAAAATGGTCCCATTCCCCAGCATCTGGGGCCATTGGGCCGGTGGACCGGGAGATAGTAAGGAAGATGTGAAATGGCTTGATGCCAAGCTTCAAGAGGTTGGTCTGTGAGAGCCTGAAATGAAGTTGGTAGATATCCCAGCAGTTTTATGACGTATCAAACCAGTAGAGAATTGTTTGTAGCCCCCACCCCCATTTGAGGTTCAGAAATATCATCACAGCAAAGCGCACGTGAGATACAGCAAAGAGATACCTATACTGCACGGGCTTGAATTCTGTCCTGAATCGAGAACTACAGGGACACGTTAATTAGGCTCAATGTAGCGCTTGCTGATGTAATTGCATTCGCCCGTTAATGATGATAAACAATCATGTGGACGCTATAGCTGTATGCAGCAGCTGAGTGATATGAAGAACGATGTGATGATGGAAACTGCAGTAAGAACAGAAACTCGGATTTCTAGAGGTAAGTAAAGGACCTGGGTATCTGAGAATTTTGGGAGGTCACGTGCATAGTCGACATGGAACCCAACGTGCCAACACGACTTTGTCCAACCACATTTCAAGAGCACATCTTTTGAGACAACAAACAAAATGGCAAAGGAAGGTGTTACTGTTACTGATCCCTCCACTCGACCTATTGAGCTCTCCTTCCCTCTTCCAAAGGCCCCCGAAACCAGGATCCATCTTTACCTTACGATTCAAGCAACCTCGTTGCTATTGTTTCTGACAACAGCTTTGAATGGAGACACATCAACAGCTGCGCCTTTAGGCTCATTCGTCTATGCTCTTCCAGATGTAAGTTGCAGGTTCCATAACTTAAGTCATCAATTTAATCTAGAGCTAACCTCCGAGCAGAGAATAAACCCGGGCCAAGCGCTCTCGACACCCCTCTACACCTACGAATCCTCAGTGGAGTTCACGACCCGTCTTGCAAAATTATTGGCGCGCAAAACCCAGAGGCCGGTCTATGTTGGGAACTCTATAAGCTTTGCGAGTGCTGGGATGGGGGGCACTGTTGAGGAGGAGATGGAAGGTTTCAGGAAGGTCGTAGAGGTAGTGATGGATCAGGTCAGGAAGAGTGGCGAGGGGCAGCCTGTCAATGGAGCAGATGACAGGTGATTACAAGATCACATTGCAGAACTGAGGTGACATCAGATGGCGACACAAACGTAGGGGTTTTCTCAGCAGCAAAACCTCTTAAGGTCCGTGCGATCATACCTTGCCCGTTAGACGGGGACGTTTTTGTCCCCTAATAACACTGTCTGCCAGGTAAGCCTGCAGATAGAGTAAGGTCCTCCTGGAAAAGGCAAGATGAGAAACTGAGAACTACTTTGGCTACAGTGACTGCCATCAGTGGTTTGTCGAGGAAGCAATTGCTTGGCGTGATGGTCTTTCAGGCTCAAAGAGATCCTTCGGCAGTCATCTCTACGGAGTCTGCCTCCGCCAGCTCGCTTCCACTAAAGTAGGACAAAACATTGGGATGATTACAGGGTTCAGAGTTGGCTTGAGACCTCGGAAGACGAGATTGCCTATTCGTTGAACGTGAGGATAGCAACGGGAATAGATCAGACAGATAGTGGACGATGCTTCCTACGAACATAGCAATACGAACCGTGTGGCTTGAACTGAGTTGCTTGAAAGACGCCCTATCCATGGCCGCGATATTGCAAGTTGCCAGAAATGGATAGGCCGAGATTTTTCTTGGAAGCGTGTACCCCCGTGTATCACTCTTGCAATTTTACCATGTACAACTTGAAGACGATGAACTGCCTACTAGAATGTTCTTTGTGGGCGACAACTGACTGGATCTAGAGGCCGTTGATTCGGCATGTATGAGTCTTGGACTTGAACTGGCCTGTCGCATCAAAGACATGGAGCGCCTCAAAAGCTTCTCGGCCTTCGTCCAATTCTAGAGGAAATGCAAATATGCCGTCGATCTCAGACGCATTAGGACAGACAGCCGTCATGTGGACGGTTGACTCTGATAATGAAGTCAATCAGGACCGGTTGTCTAACATCACCAAGTCGTTCTCCCTGACCGGTAGAGGCCCCTTGACCGAGCTGAGGTTGTGCACCCAGCACGGCTGCTTCTGCCATCCGCTCACCACCACCATATACGGTCAAAGGCAGTCAGCGGGTTGCAGCCGCTGTTAGATTGACCCGTATATTGATCTTCTCTTGATCTGTGTCGAGCTGCGCGATACGATATATAGAAATAGGGTGGTGTGCGACAGTCCCAGTCCTCTAGGCGACGGCAAGTAGCAGTGCGAGCAAAATGAGCTTGTTCTGGAATATGATCAATTCTCGAAGCTGTTTCTTCCAGAAGCCACATTGCCATCTTGACTTCCAGGGTTGGTTCGCGCCATAAAAGGAGGCCTAGAACAGATATTTGCCGTCCGATATGAGGAGGTCGGTCACCTGGAGGAGGGCCGTCGGACTCGTACTTATTTGCCCAGTACAATCCACCCTGACCATTGTGGCAAATTCGCCCAGCCCCACGGAACTCGACAATATAAAGACGCAGAACCGTATTACTCGAATCTCTTGAGGCGTGGTGGTATTCTATGAAGATCGTTGTATGATTGGGATATAAATGGGACTTCCCGCCGCATGCCTTGGACCCTGAAGGTTGGAAAACTCAAAAATCCCGCCTCAGCCCAAGCGAAACGTTTGCGACAGAATAGTGCAAGGCGAGAGAACCCTCCCCACCCGCACTCAACTACTCCAACCTGCATTTCCGCCATTTATTCCTCAATCTCCCATATTCTCGACCTCCAGGGAGGCGGAACGCGCACTCTATAGGGCGTGCAAATTCCCAGCAGCTATTAATCCTGCATCCTGACGCCTTTCCCGTCGAGCGAACCGCTTAAGCAAACAACCCCACGATTCCCAGTCCCTCTGCGGAGTCCTTCATTCGATATTCGTCAAGCAAGATCCCCATAGCTCTTTTCCGTTCTATCTGCGACTCGTAAGTAGATATCCTGGTTCTGCCGGCAGACGTACCTACGTCCGCCGATATGCTGTCTATCCATCGTCATTGATCGAGCCTGGGCTAACTACCTCGGTCCTCTCCAGATGTCGAAATACGACGTCTAACGTCCCACAAACCGTCTTGTGCGACCACATACGGCTGTTCCTTTACCTGGGCAGCGTACCTGCATATCGGGATTTCTTGATCACCAGGCAAGAAAGGTTGGCACTGCTCCAGGAGCAGCCAAATGACGGCCATGGCCTGGCAGCCGGAAGAAGAGCCATTGAGGCAACTCTCAAGTTGCTTGAAAGACTCCCTGAGTGGTCACAATAAGACTGCGCAGAAACAGGCGGAAATTGTGAGTGGATTCTGTCAAGATCCGTTCGTTGGGGCATTTTTATACTACGAGAACTCATGCTGATTCTTTCTCAACGTTGTGTCACAGATGCTTGCCCAGGCAAAATCTTCACCTGACATTAATAACTATCTCACATATCTATTCTCAAGTTCCCAGGTTCCCCCCGGCTTGGCTTATACCCCGGAGGAGTACCATGCTGTTCGATCAGCGGCGGCTATTATGCTGAAAAACAACATAAGAACGGGTTACAAGTCAATACCGGCAGAAAGCCTAGCTCTCGTCCGTTCTTCCGTCCCTCTAGCATTACAGGATAAAAACCAGTCAATTCGAAGCTACGCTGGAAATGTCATTACGGAGATTGTCAGTCGCGGAGGGATTCTTGGCTGGCCTCAACTACTGCCAGAGTTATTAGCGTTGGTTGGGAATGAGAATGGGACGGTTACACCAGAAGCACAGGAGGGAGCGATGGCTGCTCTGGCAAAAGTCTGCGAGGATAATAAAAAGATGCTCGACAGGGACTACCAAGGACAACGGCCCCTAGCTTTCATTATTCCCAAACTTATCGAGTTCACTGTCAGCGAAAAGCCAAAAATTCGATCTTTAGCTCTAGGTAGCATCAACGTTTTCATTCCACAGAAGCCGCAGGCCCTGCTCGTCTCCCTGGACGACCTCCTGAATCGGCTGTTCCAGCTTGCCCATGATCCCTCGTCCGATGTCCGCCGACAAGTGTGCCGAGCATTTGTCCAAATCGTTGAGATTCGCCCTGATAAGATCCTGCCTCATATCGCTGATCTAGTTGATTATATGATTGCGCAGCAACGGAAGATTGAGGATGAAGACTTGGCTTGCGATGCAGCGGAATTTTGGCTTACGGTTGGCGAGCACGGTGAATTATGGAAGTCACTGGGTCCCTACCTCAACAAAATCATCCCTGTTCTTCTGGAGAGTATGGTCTACAGTGATGAAGATATTGCGATGCTGGAAGGTGGGGGGAATGACGCCGACGAAGAGGACCGCGCGGAGGACATCAAGCCCCAGTTCGCGAAGAGCAAGAGCATTCGGACCCTGGCCAACGGCGAAGAGAGTGTCGAAAATAGCATGAACGGTTATGAAAAGCTCAATGGCATGGACGATGATGTTGACGAGGGAGAAATCGAAGAGTACGATGATGACGATGATGGGAACCCCGAGGACCGGTGGAATTTGCGAAAATGTTCTGCTGCAGCCCTGGACGTTTTCGCAACCGACTTTAAAGGGCCAGTCTTTGATGCTATTCTCCCATATCTGATGACGAACCTGAAGCACGAAGAATGGCCTTACCGTGAAGCTGCTGTACTTGCACTTGGAGCTGTTGCGGAAGGATGTCTCCCAGTTGTAACACCACATCTGCCAGAGCTCGTCCCCTATCTGATCTTCTTACTCAAGGATCCCGAGCCACTTGTCCGACAGATTACCTGTTGGACTCTGGGGAGGTACTCGGCGTGGGGTGCAGGTCTCACAGATCCTGCGTTGCGAGCACAATACTTCGAACCTATGATGGAAGGCATCCTCCTCAAGATGCTGGATCACAACAAGAGGGTGCAAGAGGCTGGAGCCTCGGCATTTGCTCATCTCGAGGAGAAGGCAGGGGCTGGACTAACACCATACTGCGAGCCCATCATCCGCCAATTTGTCCGGTGTTTCGAGAAGTACAAGGATAGGAACATGTTCATCCTATACGACTGCGTGCAAACCCTGGCAGAGCACGTCGGCCACGGTCTTGCCCAGCCTCAACTTATTGACCTACTGATGCCGGCCCTCATCCACCGGTGGAACAAGGTCACGGATCAGTCACGAGAGCTATTTCCGCTCCTGGAGTGTCTATCATACGTAGCCGCAGCTCTAGCAGAATCGTTCGCGCCGTTCGCGCCTCCGGTCTTCACCAGGTGCATCAAAATTATCCATCAAAATCTGGAAGAGTACTTGGCGGCTGTCACGAATCCAATTTTAGATTCTCCCGACAAGGACTTTCTCGTAACGAGCTTGGACCTCCTAAGCGCTATCATCCAGGCACTTGACGAGAAACAGTCCGCGGCACTCGTATCCGGTTCACAACCCCGACTTTTTGACCTCCTCCAATTCTGCATGGAGGACCCTGAGAATGATGTACGCCAATCCTCGTACGCATTGCTTGGAGACTGCGCAAAATACGTCTTCCCGCAACTAGAACCCTTCCTCCCGGTCTTGTTCCCCATCCTGATCAAACAACTGGACCTGGATACGATCCTGGATGAGCAGATCCAGACCGGGTTCAGCGTGGTGAACAATGCCTGCTGGTCCTCGGGCGAAATCGCAATTCAGAATGGTAAACAGATGGCGCCGTACGTGGGCGAGCTCATGCAGAGGTTCCTAGAGATCCTTGGCAACCCCGAGGTACCCAGGTCGGTCCTCGAAAATGCGGCCATCGCCCTGGGCCGGCTGGGGCTACAGAACGCTGACATCATGTCACCTCACCTGGCGACGTTCTCAGAGCAATTCTTGAAGTCGATCAGCACGGTTGATTACACCCTGGAGAAGGCGACGGCCTGCAAGGGATTCGTGCTTTGTGTCATCGCCAATCCTCAGGCGATGGAGAAAGACCTGGCACGCTTATTCACAACCATTGCTCGATATAAGATGACCGAGGAGACCAAGACGCCTCTCACAGCCGACCTTCACCAGATCTTCCAACACGTAAGTTCGCATCCTTGCAATAATAAAAGTACAAGACGACTAACCAGACTCCCAGACACTCGACGTCTACAAATCCCTCATCCCCGATATCAACGCATACCTCAGCACGCACGTCGCAGCAGCGGACGTAGAAGCGCTGCGGATGACGTACAGCATGTAAATAGACAAGAAATGACACATTTTTTCTTTCCCTCGACACAAACACAGCACGGCACAGTCAAACGATAGGGGGCGTAAGGGCAGGCAGAAAGGAAAGAAGGAAAGAAGGGAGCTCAGAATTCAATCACCATATAAGCGGGCAGCGCTCTGCTATATGCTTGACTATATTCACGACGGCATGATTAATATGGGTTGGGTTGGGGGTTTCGGGGGGGAGGGAGGGCGGCGAGTTAAGTCAGTCAGTCAGTCAGGCAGGCATGTGTGCGAGAACGTAAAGGAAAGAAGGAAGTGAAGGAAGTAAAGGAAAGAAGAGAAGAAAATCAAGAAGAAAGAAGAACGCATAGCGAAAAAATTTTCCGGCATATCTGGATCGAAAGTCAAAAAAACCTCACACACATCACACTTGACATTACATTACATTACTTTACTTTACTTTACTTTACATAGAGATCATTTTCCTCCTCTGATATTTTTCTTTTTTCTTTTTCCTTTTGGGGGCTTTTGAGATCGATTTTTATGTGGAGTGGATGTTCTAGATGCGCAAAGCAAGTCAAGTCAAGTCAAGCAAAGCAAGCAAGCGTTTGATAAAACGCGATTGATTGAATCTCTGGTTATAGATAGTTTAGCATAGTTATAGTTATAGTATAGATAGTAGCTAGGTCTTTTAGATTGCTGAAAGGAGTGTCTTTTGCATAGGGCATAGGCAGGCATAGGTAGCGTTATATGGTATTTCGGGTGGTAGTGGTAGGTAGTGGTAGTAGGTAGTAGGTAGTAGGTAGAAAGTTGGAATTGAAGTTTTCATTGATTATTGCTACATAACATTTGATATTTGATATTTAATATCTATTATGATTCCTCCCCTCCCCTCCCCTCCCCTTTGATCTAGATCTAGATATATACAATTCCTTCCTTTCTTCCTTACTTACTTACTCTTATAAAGTAAGCTACCTACCTCTCTCCTACTCTGTACGTATATATATATATATATATATATATATCAGGTAGGTACTTGAAGAGATCATGATACTATGTATACTATGTATAGCAAAGCAAGGTAAGGTAAGGTAAGGCAAGGCAAGGTGTTTATGTGAAAAATAGGGTGGGATGGGGGGAGAAAAGGGGGGAGAAAAGAGGAGGAGGGGGGGGGGGAAGGGAGTGGGGGAATATAAATATAAATAGATCAATCAATCAATCAATCAATCAACAGATACCTTATGTACCTATGTATGTACTTACTTATCTATCTACTTGTTCAAAGATATAAAAATTGAGAATAGGATGGGAGAGAGAGATGTGGAGAGAGGTGGGGATGGGAAGGGTGGGGGGAAAAAGGGGGGGGGGGGAATATAAATAGATCAATCAATCAATCAATCAATCAATCAACAGATACGTTATGTACCTATGTATGTATGTACTTACTTGTCTATCTACTTATTCAAAGATATAAATATAGCATACCTTACCTTACCTACCTAACCTTATCTCATCCCATTCACGGCGGTACAGGCCCAGAAAACCGAGTACCTACCTACCTTTAAATGACCAAGATATAAAAAAAAAGAGCCGATACCTACCTATCTACCTACCTACCCTATCTGGATACATAGATACATTAATCAATCAAGCATCCATCCATCCATCCATCCATCGTTACATGCGGGGAGATAGATCCCTCCCATCCATCCATCTCATCCATCCAAACACTGTTCGCAGAAGAAGCAAATTTCTATTTTTAAAAGAGACACGACGCAACGCAATGCAATGCAGCCACAAACGAGCGCGTGCGTGCGTTCTTTGGCATGGGACTTTGATCAGATGCAGAAACAGGCAGGTTGCTGATGATTGGCGGAGCCCGGCTGATGATCTGGGATGATGGTGTGCACTGTGTGGTGTGGTATTGTTGTTGTCTAGGGTGAGGAGGCTTGGCTGTGCAGGATCGATCGGATCGATCGATTGATGGATGGATGGATGAGTGAGATGTGGGATGTGGTATTATTGACATATTGGATATATTGGACATATTATGGTCCATGGGCGGAGTTGGAGAGAGACGAAAATAGATTTAAGCTCGGATGCCAAGGAATCTCACCGCTTTCGTTGGCGAGGTGTGGCTGGGGGGAGTGCAACGGTGTAACGTATAGAGCATGTGAGCTGTAATTGGTAGGCATATGATTCCGCTGGGAAAACTCACTTGAGTTATTTGGGTTATTTATTTTTTGTTTATTTTTGTTTATTTTTTCTTCTTTTTTGGATGAGTGTATAGTAGAGATAAGGAGAGAGCAAGATCTTACTTACCTAGAGTTGAAGCTTGGTTAATCGCGCACTCTACCTTATATCCGCATGAAGCCCCCCCCTTTTTATTCCCCTTTGACTCTCAAGACCTTATAACGCTTAGCCCTTCACAATTCACCCTTCGGCCTTAGCCCGGGACCCGAGACCCAAGACGGCGCCGCTACTCGATGCTCGGTGCCGTCAATGACGCATAGTGCAGGTCGCCAAGAGGCCAACTGCGTTTCAAGGTCCGCGGTCCCTTGCAAGGACAGGCCAGAGGGAGGGACTCGGCCGTTAGGCAAAAGGTAAAGTACAACGTAGGGCGCTTGGCATCTACAGGTCGATCCCCGACCGACTGGGTCTATGGATCTATGGATGATGGATCTACTGCGTCTATCGAATCCCTCTTTGCTGCAAGCGGAAGGAGGGTGTGCGAGAGAGAGGGTAGAGGGTAGAGGGTGGAGGGTGGAGGGTGGAGGGTGGAGGGTTCAGGGGGCAGAAGATGAGCGGTTAAGTTGAATCAGGGTATTCGAATAGAATATATCCCGTTGCAGCCAGAGCAGATGCGCCATGTATTGGGCATGTACCGTGTGCTGTGCTGTATTGGGTGCGAGTGACAGATGATGTCGATAAAATCATATAAAAACCGCAAGGCTGGCAATGGCATATACTCCGAACGTCGAACCTTGTAAGTCAGCGCTTAGTCATGCCCGCGGCCGCGTCGGCTTCTCAGGAGTCAGGGCTCACGTAGCACAGGGCGACAGAAGTCACAGAACGTGACAAAGCCCGGACCAGCTAGCCACGGAGCGGATTAGGCCGAGAGGTAAGGTAAGGTAACTGGCTTAGGGAATCAGAGGCGAGGCGAGCTCAGTCTTACTCTATAGTCTCTCCCCTCTCACCGCCTTCTGCCCCCCCAGTCTTAACTCCGTACGGAGTCCGGAGCCTTTTATTCTCCCTCGGCCGACGAGCCTTGTCCGGGTAGGCGGCCTGATCAGGCAGCGAGGAGTCTTGATAGTTGAGTCTCGAGACAATTGACCATGGAGAATAAGAGGAAGGCTGACTCGAGACCCAAGTCTACTATAAGCAGTATAGAGTACAGTCAGCACCCAACACTCAGCACTCACTACTCACGTCAGAATTAGTATTGTCATCTCTCTTTCTTTCCTTCTGTCTCTGTCTCTCTCTCCCCTTCGACCAGACAGGTACATATATCCCGGATGCGAAGGAGGGCTGTAGCCGCCAAGGCGTCGAGGTACAGTAATACTCCGTAGTATTACTCCGTAGTAGCCTCGCTCCCAATTCTTCCGACGTGCCAATACCAACCAATAATGCCAGCATCTCCATCTGTCAGTTGATAGTCTCAAGGGGGAGCGGACCTCAGCGGATGTTGGCGGCCCGAAAGAAACGCAAATCAAGCGGCATGGGAGTCCATGGCCTGATCATGATATCAGGAGTCAGGCCTGGCGGCCAGCGGCGACGAGCCTGACGAGGAAACGCTCGGCGGTACGCTCCAAGCAATCAGCATCGCACAAGCAGGCACACGATCCGGCGAGTAGTGTCGCGCACTCCCTCCATAGGCTGTCTGGCTGCTCCGCCCTCTGGACGTTATGTATAATGTATGCTACGTTGTATCCGAGCAGCGCTGCGTCGAGGAAGCGAGGCGAGGCGTGGTACTGTAGAGACAGTAGGGGCAACCTAGCAGCCTGGCGTCCAAGGCACCAAATCCACCGTGCCTAAAAGCCGGGGCGCGGAGTTAAGAGCCCACTGCTCACTGCTCATTGCTCAGTGCTGGCCTTCTCGAAGCTCCGGCTCCTTTCGTTCTCTTTCCAGAGGCGGCCTAAATATAGGTAGCCTTGCATGCGTGCCCCCCGGTTCTCGGCGCGAGATGTGTACGGGGGCTGCCACGCTTGCCCAGATGTGGCAATCCAGTCGCTCAGTAGTGCTCCAACTTCGCATTGACGCCGGCCTTGGGCGTCGCCTTCCCTTGCTACGGAGTGGGGATACGGAGTGGGTAGTTGAAGGGAAACTGGAGAACCAAGGGAAAAGCAAGGAGGAAAATGAATAAGAGGGAAAAGGCGAGAAAAGCTCGAGAGGGGATCAAAAATAGAAGGAGAGAGATCGGGTGAGGCATATCCAGCGGTGGTGGTGCTCACCCTATGCCGCCATCCTTACCTATGTAGGTACGTTGTTGTAAGAGCAAGGCACAAAGCGCGCTCCTGATTCCATACTCCGTGCAGACTACTCCGTACACTGCGGTGTTACGGAGTATTTTTCTGCCCTCGCAGCCAACATCTGAGTCAGCGCACCCTCTGCGCATGGATCCGCCATCGAATCGCGCACGCGGATTGTCATGCCCCAAAGGCGGTGAGGAGCGACCAGGCGGCCTGCCGTCTTCCTGCGGCCCTACTGAACCCAATGACGACACAGGGTCCATGGTGCGAACGGAACGTCTGGAGGCGCGGCTTGGATCAATATTTACCCAATGAAACCCGGCCATATTATCAGATTCAAAACAACGCATCCGGGAGCGAGCGGCCAGGGGAGGTTGGGGGTCGCCTAAGTTCCGAACTAACGTCGATCCATGCAAAAGATCAATGCAAAAAAAAAATAAAATTTTGGACGCTGTCGCGCTGCTCACCACCAGAGCACCGGCAGGCGAGGGGAGGGGCGCATTGGCGATTGAGGACAGGAGCGCGTGACCAAAAGATTCTACATACCTATTTATAGTAATATCAACTTTGCCATGTAGAGGAGGAGGGAGAGGACATACCCAGTACCGTCAATCATGCCCCCCCTATCACGCACAAGAAAGGACTCTCCTTCCGACCCGTGAGCAACAAGGCATGGCTATGGCTGGCTGTGGCTTGTCTGGGTATCTCTAATTCTCCGAGGCAGTTTCATTGGGCCTAGCGAGAAACTTCGCCGGGCTGGCACCCCGGGTTAGGGAAGATCTGAGTTCCGAGCGCAAAACATGTGCCTGGCATTACTACAGTATATCCTGACCGGCTGGTTGGCTGCTGTATGATTTGACTGCTCGGGGTTGAACATTCTTGAGTCTTGACGTAGTAGTGTCGAGTAGCGACTTGAGTCTTGACAAAAAAGACAAGGGCCTTGTCTGGGCCGAGGATCTGCCGCCGGGGAGGAAGAAGTGGAGGGATTCGGGGGGCCGCAATGGGACAAGAGGGGCTCGGGAGCTGGAGCGAGGCCTCCTCTTTGGCTGCTCTGAGTAAGAGGCGCTGCTAACAAGAGTAATAGTCGGTTCCCGTGCACAGCCCTCGCAGCCTCGCCGAACGTCTCCGCGGTCCACCAGGGGGGAAGGTCGTTGCAGGGACTGGAATGGAGCGGTTGGATTAGCATTAGCACTGGACGGGATGCGTGGGACGGAGAGCCTGGAGGATACTTGTTGATCAATGATGACCATTGCCACGAGGCTCGAGCATCCATCCTTTGGGAGCCGAAGCGCCAGCGTTCATGTCTTCCCAGATACGCTGGCAATGCAGGGCCTAGCCAAGCACGAACGCGCCCAATCCTTTGTGTCTCTAGAACGACTCGGAAACAGAAGAATGCGGGTTTCCTCAGTACAGTACAGTAGTGCCGGCTCCCAAGCAGTCAGTGGCTACTGTAGCAAGGGTGTATACGTGGGCCCTGGCTACCTCCTGGCTTGACCTGACTGGCTCGCCGTGGTATTTTTGGCACCATCCACATGCACATCTCGATGTTTCCACATCCACAGCCAGTGTCATCGATCCCCACCGATCCCTGCGTGGTACCGTGTACCTTATTCCGAGCTCAGGCTCTCGGCGCGCAAGTCGCTCGGCTCAGCCTCTGGGCGGGCGGGGGTAAGGAAGCGGTGCGAAGGGAATAAGAGGATTCTGGCGGTGCCTCGAGGCGGGAATATCGTGTCATCCTTACGATCTGATGATATGTCAGGTATGCATAGCATAGAAGAGTCCCGCTGGTGAGGATCGCTGCAGAGGATGTCGTTGAGTGCGCGCAGCAGGAAGACATGGAAGGATTGGTCTGAGCGGGCGGGGGAGTCGGGGGACAGGTCTGTATCCTGGCCATCGCCCCGGTCCGGCACTGCTGGATCTGTCATGGTGTCATGGTACATGTACAGTAGTAGTCCCATGGTGTAGTAGCATCATCATCATCTGTGTTGCGCAGTGCAGGTCGCTCGCAGTTCTTACCTCGGTGGGCGGTAGCGGGCAGCGGGCAGAGATCCAGAGGACCAGAGAGAGGGCGCCAGGCCCGGTGCAGTCTAGCAGCCAGTAGTCGGAGTGGAGTCTCACTGCTGCCCTGCCACACCACTACTCCCGGCGGAGGGAGGAGACCTATGATATGATATTATCATCATTGACATCCATGACATCTTTCCCCTGGCCCAGCCACATATTATTATTATTATTGTTGTTGTTGTTGTTGTTGTTCTTGTTGTCAGGCAGGACGGGTAAGGAGGAGGAGTCATCGTCGTCCTCTGTGTGTTCTCATCTCACCAGTGACCTCTCAGATTCTCTCCCTTCGCAGTGCCCGACTCGCCCATCAGTCCTCTGCCTCGCGCAGTCCTCTACAACAACCCTCCCCCTGCCGTGCCCACCCGGCCCAGGAACCCATGATCCACTACGGCCGCAACCCCCGTTCCCGACGGCCGACGAGGTGATGGAGCGGGATTATTTGTGTCGGGTCTGATTCAGGTCAGGGCCGGCATGACAGATTTATGAACGGTCGATTCTGGTGCCCACGGCTCTGGTTGATGGTTTACGGTTTACGGCTTATGTCTGATGTCTTATTTCTTATTTTTAGCGGGAAATAGTAGAGTAAAGAAGTAAGGTACCGTATTACTCCTTCGGGTGCATTTACGTCTTATTTTATTGTATTTATAACCCGTCATGTCGTCCACTCGAGCCCTGCCCTACCGCGCCAAGAGGTCATTCCCAGGCGACGCCATTCCCCGTCGGGACAAGGGCCGCCAAGACGCGTCCCCCCCTCTCTCCTCCCCTCCGCTCGCCCTCCGCGCTGCCTCCGCGCACCCAGGGAACCAGGAACCTAGGCACGACCGACCGCAGAGCAGGAACATGACCTCCCTCGCCCCTAGCTCCGTTGGCCGCCTTCTAACGCTTCGACCACGCTGCGCTAATCCACAAACCGCGTCTGCGCCTTCCCTCTTCCGGCGTTTCTGCCAACCCGCCCCGGCCACAGCACCGCTGCACCGTTCCAGTATTAGAATGCCAGCATCGCCAGCCCGATACTGACTTTTCAACTTCAGACTCCTCGAAACCTCTTCTTCTTCTCTCTTCTCTCTCTCCTCCTCTTCCCTCACACTCTCGCTTTCTCCTTTCTAGGAAGCCCTCGTTGGCTCCTGTCATTCGCTTTGCGTTGCCTTGCGTTGTGTTGCCCCCCCGGCCTGCCTGGAGTTGTCTGCGTAGCCCTCCCTCTACACACACATCTCAGCCTCAGGACCCGCAAGCCCTCCGACGGATCTGTCTCTGGCAGTCCTGACTCTTGACTCTGGTCTCTCGTCTCTGCATCTCTCTGCATCTCCGGTCTCAACTCAACTCAACTCTCAACTCACCTCAAGACCCGAGACCTGACGACTCCCGTGTGACGTTCCATACCAGACAGACGCTCGCTGCAGACTCCTCTCTGTGCTCCGCTTCTCTTACACCCCTCCCAGCCCCCCCCAGTGTCGAACGCGCCATTTCTTCGTGCCTTGTCTGACAATTGCCCCCCCCAATCGAAGATCCCTCATTCTGCGTTCGCCTCCGTCTCTTCGGCCACCCCGCCGACCCCCTTCCGGCCCTTTCGTTCTCAGCAAGACCCCGGTCACTTCCTGCAGCCTTACCAACCTATAACCACCGCTCGCTTTGGGGTTCGCAGCTTACACATCCCCCCCGGCTGCATCGGGGTCTATTTGATCTCACTGCCGGTCCTATCTAACTAATATCTCCTCTTCTTCCATATCTACTCGTCGTCCCGGCCACCACCGGTGCTCGACCACCTTTAGGATCAGGAGCCTTGTCGGAGGCTTTCACTCGTTCAAGCCTCGCCGTCTTCTCTCTTGTTCCTCACCCCGCCTCAGTCTCGATGGCCGGCCCAGGAGGTGGTCCTCCCCGAAGGAGGTATGTACGATGTGGGGACGGCTGATCATCCTGCAATCACTGACCCCTCTTCTCTAGTCATACCAAGTCCCGCAAAGGTTGTGAGACGTGCAAGCGAAGGCATATCCGCTGTGATGAGAATTTCCCTCAGTGGTAGGTGCACGCCCTGGCCGACAGCCCCTCTTCGCTTGGAGGGGCTATATCCGCCTTGAAGGAACAGGTGCTGATCCCCCTCATAGTCGAAACTGCACGAAGCACAACTGTCGTTGCCCATACATGGACATGCCGGTACAGGAAGAGCGCCCTCCCACTCCCGAGAAGGCAGACTTGCTATGGACCCCAGAGATCGAGGCTGAGATTGAACGCTGGCAACGAACTGGGAACTTTCCCTTCCCGGATCTCTACTTCTACCCAGCACCTTCTCCTCAGTTCTTCTCGTTCGAGGAACTTCGCTTGATACACCATGTCGCCTCCGTGTCGAGTGAACTGGGCAATCACGATGCAAGCAATTTCACAATCTGGACACGTCAGATCCCACTGTAAGTATTCGGCCTCTGTGAGCAACGACTCGGCGAGGCTGACAAGATACACAGCTTTCTCAAGATTGGAACCGATTACGCCTTTGTCATGCACGCTTTGCTAGCCCTCTCGGCTACCCACTTGGCCTGGTTGACAGATTGTCCGCTTACTGCTAACATGGCCTACGAACACCGAGGAATTGCTCTCAAGGGCCTGCATGAGGCCATCGGCTCCTTCTCAAGGCAGAACTCTGACGCTGTCTTGGCTGCTTCTCTTCTCCTATCCTGGCAAGCAACTGAGTGGTATGTCAGATCCTTCAAGCTCGCTGACAAATGCTGACTCGGTTACAGGCGTGGTTGGACTCAACTGATGCATGGGACGTCATCTGTATGTCGAGAAAGGCGGTCTCCTTGTCCCTAGAGATGTGGCTAACGTCGTCTTAGGTCATTGATGCTATGCAGCCTTGGAAGATTGAGTCCCAGTTCGGTGATTTCATTGCTGAGCAGAGCACATTCCCTACAGCCCCGCCATCCCCCGCTCCTGGCTCGAAGAAGCTCAGCAGCCCAAGGAAAGCAGATTTGGACTCGCTTCAACGTGCATATGCCCAGCTCCAGAAAGTCGAGGTGCACCTCAAGGAAAATAATGAGGATGTCAAAGCCATTCAACAATTGATGACTTTTGTCCGAAGCGTCCGGAAGGTATCGCCAAGTCATACCGCTGCTCAGCGATTCGAGATGCTCAACCCGCTGCGGGCTTGGTTGTTTTGGCTGCCGGTCATGTTCCTCCAGCAAACCCGAGGCTCTCCCTCTGCCCTCATTATTCTGGCTCATTACTACACGGTGGCCTTGGTCGTTGAGCCGTTGTTCCCTGAGGTTGGTGCGGCCTACTTTGGTAGCTTGTCGTTGGGACCCATCGAAGAGATTGCCCGAAGACTGTTCTCGATCAATGTCTCCCAAACCTCTGACGCTGACCTTCAGACACCACTCAATCTCATGGAGTACCCTATAGATATGGTGTCTAAATTCAGAAGCCGCATGGGCTGGGTTCAGCCTGAGCGAACAGCGTCCTTCCCTACCTTCCGTGGCAACATGTACCTGATGGAGGACAACTATGCCAACACAATGTCCCCCTACGGAAATCCTGCCTTTACCTACAGTCAGGAGCACATGATGACGATGCCTCCGGAGTCCATGCCCACCTCGGCGGTCAGTCCATTAAACTTGGACCCATATGCCAACCACTACCTCGGCATTCCTTCGCCTAGTGGATTCGGTGGATACCATAGTCCGGCATCATCGAACTTCGGCGAAGGATCTGTCGTTTACAGTGAACAAGGGGATGACTATGGCCTTTATGAGCCGCAGGGCACCAGTTCGAACTTTGGAGGGTTTGTGCTTCCAACCGTGTGGATATAGGACCGGACGAACCGATTTAACATTACGCCCAGGGCCACCCCGGTTTTCAAGTACGAGCCTCACTCCCACGGGGAACAAGTTGAGTATTCGCATCAGACTCCCGCTTTCAAATACGAGCCACAATCCCACGAGGAACAAGTAGAGCACATGCGCCGGCATCTACCGCCGATGCAGCCCCTTCCCAGCTATCCACCACGCACATCCACGCCAGCTGATCCCAAGGGGAAAGGCCGTCAGTCTTAATTTCTCAACCTCGTCTTACACGATTACGATTTACACCGCTGAATCCGCGCGTCGACAGATCTATGTATCTGATTTAATCCCACCTAATACCTGTTTCGAATAGTTTAACGACTTACGACCTCATGATTTCGCTACGATATTTGTATAAATACTAGCACCACGATCCTTATACCCACGGTCCTTATATACATCTGCATATTGCATGGATACGGAGTTTTCTGGCAATTTTTGAACATTGGGCTTGCACTTAAAAATGGTTTTGGTTGGCGCACATATCTGTCATCTCTGCGCGAGCCCCAGGGGCGAAGCCATTGTCGTTGCTCAGCGGTCTGGCTGGCATGCGCGCAGATGCTTCTCTCCTTTCCTCTCTTGTCGCGTATACACGTGTGCAGCGGTCTTGTGTAAGGTAATGCGAAGGAATGTCGTTGAAGCAACAGAGATGTACTACAGAATTGAATGAAAAAGTATAAACTCTGATTTGATTGTCTTGCCTCGTAGAATTTGATCCCTGACCAATATACGATACGTGGCCGTGACTATTAAACAAAGTCTTTGTCTTAGAACCCTCTTAAAGCCCCTTCTATGAGGCTGTCATCCATCTTCAGGGTCTACGTAAGATCACGTGCTGGTTGCCAGGGGAGGTGTCGCTTACCTAAGCGTGGATCCAAGTATCGCGTCTGGAGAAGCTTTTGAAGCTCCAGTAGGTTGAATGCAATACGAGGAATCCGTGGCGTCTTCTCTTCAACTCAAAATTAATCTTGCCTACCCCAAACGATCGACAGGATGAGTGGCGGATGGAATACCAGTCGGTAGCTCCCATATCACTGCCCTGCTGCTTACTGACATTGTCACAGTCGAATCCGATGCGGTCGGTACCCTGAGACGACCGAGCTTACAGTCCACCGCTGACATCTCTTAGGGTGTCTTCACCTTTTTACTCGACAATCTCGGGGCCAAGGACGTTCAGTTTGAGGAGCTCATTGCCCTGGATGCGGACTATCTACGCCAGCTGAGTCCCGTCTACGGCGTGATCTTCCTCTTCAAATACCCCACAGGCGAGAAGCCCAATGCGGACGGCACCCCTAAGGATGGACAATACGACTACGCGGCTGCCGAGAGCCTCTTCTTCGCGGCACAGACCATACAGAATGCGTGCGCCACACAAGCACTCCTTTCGGTGCTGCTGAACAAAGACGGCGACGTCGACGTGGGGACACAGTTACGGGAATTTAAGGAATTCACAGCGGGTTTCCCAGCGGAGTTCAGGGGCGAGGCTCTCAGCAACTCGGAGCTGATCAGAGATGTGCACAACAGCTTCGCGAGGAGCAGCCCGTTTGTCGACGAGACGCAGCGGACGGCCACGGACGACGACGACGTGTATCACTTCATTGCCTATACACCCATCAACGGCATCCTGTACGAGCTGGACGGGTTGCAGCCTGCACCGATTGCGCATGGTGCGAGCACGTTCGAGGAGTTTCCAGAGAAGGTGATCCCGGTCTTGCAGAGGCGGATCGGGCGCTACCCCGCGCACGAGATCCGATTCAATCTGTTGGCGATGGTTAGAGATTTGCGGATCCGGGCGAGGGAGATTGGCGACCAGGAGATGCTGATGCGGGAGGAGATGAAGCGGAACGACTGGCAGTTTGAGAATGCCCTCCGGAGGCATAACTTCGTGGGGTTTGCGGGGGAAGTGCTGAAGTGTGTCATTGCCGAGAAGCTGAAGGAGGGACCAGACGCCTATGCCAAGTGGGTAGATGATGCCAAGAAGAAGACAAAGCAGCGGTCCGAAGACCAGCAGAAGAAGGGAATCTCAGCAGATGAGGATCAGGAAATGCTTGGCTGATTCCCGGAAACCCGATGCGTTGCGCTGGTGGAAGAGACCGGTGCGAAAGGATTTGCAGCGGTATGACATATTTTCGGTGTTCTTCAATTGGGGGATTATATGCATGGGCCGGCGGCGTTGGTCGTTGGTCGTTGGTCGCTGGTCTGTCTTGGAACCTGAGCAATGAAGATAAGATGACGAGATAAGCGGATCAAACAAGCAATAGATTTACCATATGTCTATTCTGCAATGCAACAGGAGGAGAACGGAAAATGCGGAATCAGAGGTCTCCTCGCAGGATCCTGGAGGACATAGAAGCAGAGTTTTTTTTATATACCTATAGCATAGCCTACTTGCACTGCACGGCGTCTTTTGAAACCCATCCTTGGGAGGGCTCAGGCCACGCAGACGCCGCGGCTGTTTCTCACTTCATACACATCCCACCCCGATGCTTCCCACGTAGCCATATCTCCTGTGACAATTGATATTCATTCTGCATTGCGATACTCAAACAGCGAAGACAGGGCGAGACATATCTCGGACAAGACAAGACAGGCTGACGCACGTCGAAAACCGGACCAACCCCTGTCGCTTCACAGAACGTAGCGACCGGCAAGGCATTCCCAGGCTGCTTCGTTCGAATCAGCTCACCACCGCCCCAACGGTCAACTCTCTCAACATCCAGACTTCGACGACGTCAACAACACCCTTACAGCGAAAACCTCCCCCCCAAAATACCTTCACCGTGCATAGACAGATACCCGCCTCGCTGGCCGAGAAACGCCGCACGGCTCGCATTTTTTGCATATCAGCTGAACCACACAGTGCCGGCGCCAGCAGAGGCGCGATAAGGAAGGACGGGCACCATGGCGGACGACTCTTCTCTGCGAGCCATGCTGCAGCAGCAACAACAACCGCAACCGCAACCGCAACCGCAACCGCTACAGCACCCGGCGGGCCTGACAACCATGACCACGAGCACAACGGCGACGGTCGTCTCGCCGGCGGCAACGCTCGCGGCGGTCGCAGCAGCGAGCATGCAGATGGGGGCGGGCGACGACGTGGTGCGGGCGCAGCAGCGGGCGGACTCGACGATCAACGGGGTGGTGATCGGGCTGGTGAGCTCGTTCGGCAGCGCCCTGCTGATCGGCCTGATCTTCCTGGTGGTGTACTTCTTCCGCTACACGAGCAGCGGGCGCATCCTGCTGGACCGGCTGGGGCGGCCGGGCGAGTACGATGACGAGCAGGCGTTTGCGAGGGAGGAGGCCGAGGCCCTCGAGGAGATGGATGACCTGCAGAGGACCGAGTACTTTAGAGCCAAAGGTATATCTATATCTATCTTTGTCCTCACCCCGGCAGCATATGGTTCTGGTGGAGGGGAGGAGGCGGTTATACAGTCAGTGGCTAACGCAAAGGTCCTACAGCATTCGTCCAGGCCAATCCGCCCGACTCGTTACCGACCGATATTTCCCTGTCACAGTACCTAGCGATTCAAGAGAAGGGCGTCTCGGCGTGGGAGTTCGAGCCGGAGCTCGAGATTGCGAATTGTTTTGTGGAGGGGCGTACGGAGATTGAGTTTTTTGATTCGGAATGTTCTGTTCTCAGCAACCTACCGCTCCCCAAGCAGAATGAAGTCTACTACTGGGAGTCGAAGATCTACGATAAGCCCGAGTCCACGCTGATCAGCATCGGGGTCGCTACGAAGCCATATCCTCTGTTCAGATTACCTGGTATGTTGGGAGGTCTGGTGTGGGATGATGGGTGGTGCTAATGAGGTATCTAGGCTGGCATAAGTATTCCGTGGCGTATATCTCTTCTGGGCATCGAAGATATAATCAACCCTTCAACGGCCCAGCATACGGGCCACAGTTCGTACAGGGGGATGTTATCGGTGTTGGATACCGACCCCGAACCGGCACGATATTCTTCACACGGAACGGCAAGAAGTTAGAAGATGTAGCTCACGGTCTCAAGTCCCAGAATCTCTTCCCAGCAGTGGGTGCCAATGGGCCCTGCACCGTCCACGTTAATTTCGGACAATCAGGCTTCGTCTTCATTGAAGCAAACGTCAAGAAGTGGGGGCTAGCACCTATGACGGGCAGTCTCGCTCCCCCTCCCCCCTACGGGAGCGAACAAGGCAGTATCCTCTTAGAAGCAGGCCGCGAAGGGGCTCCGAGCAGTCATGGCAACTACCCCGACATGAGGCACGGCCGCACACGCAGCGGCAACTTCAGAAACCACCCCCCTACGAGTCCCGGCCCCGTCCGCTCCCCGACCGACATCTCCCTCGCCCACCTCGCCCACATCCCGTCCAACGAAGAGTTCGGCGAGTCGAGCAGCGCTGCTGCGGCTGCTGAAGCAGTCTCCCACATGGGCCTCAGGATCCAGGACCACACGCAGCCACCACCAGGATATACGAGCCCGCGGCACTCAGACGACGGCCACGAGACCAACGAGACTGCAGCCCTAATCCCCCGCCGAACCACCCCGCCTCCCATCCCCAGCTACAGCGATGCCGTAGCCGCAGACCGCGCACGCGAGCGTAGCAACAGCCAAGGAGCGCACGACGACGAAGGGTCCCACTCATGACGATCCTCTCCCTCCTCACTCATCTCCTAAACGAAAAACGAGAACCACACAAATCCTCCACCACCACCACTACCATCCAAGGATACAAACACATCCCATCAACTATTTTCCTCAATCCTCTCATTTCATCATCTCTTCCCTTTGTTTCTGTTTGCGTTTTTGATCAGCTTTTGCTTAGCGAGAAAGAAGAAGAACCCTTCAGCTTCTTTGCTTTTTGAATCAAATGAAATCCAATCAACTCAAATGCGGTGTGGGGGCAAACGGGGTTGAAAGAAAGGGATGGCTCGGGATGGCAAGGGAAGGGCTGGTTCAGGACCACGGCGTATTTGGAGTTTTCTACTATCTTTTTGCTTGCTTGCTTACAAGGAAGGAGAAGGAGGGGATTTTTGTCGTTTTTTTTTTTTTTTTTGCCGTTCTCTTTTGAATCAATAATCACAATCGCGACGACTCACTCGATCAAGTCAGTCACACACACACACACAACACGTGCCAGTCATACTCTGGCAAGAAAGCGAGCGAGCAGAAGATCTTCGGTACGAGAGAGCGTACGTACATGCTGAACGGAGAATGGATGGGTGGATGGATGGGGATGTATGGAGTAGGTTTGTATGTAAAACATAGAGAGGGCTGTGTGTGGTTTTGTGGGATGCGGAATGTTGTGTGGATGCGCAACGAAGATATACATACATACATACATACATACCTTAGGTACATACCTACGATACCTACATAAAAAACATCCAAGATATAGCGAAAAACACGACGACTGACGAATGAAAAAGCTCGTTTTTCTTCTTCTTCTTCTACTCCTTGCAAGTGCTAGAGTTCGAAAAGATTGATTGATTTTTTTTTGGTTGCACGGCTAGGAAGCTTTTTTTTTAAGATTTGAGATTTCTTTCTTGTACGGGGTTTCTCTCTCTGTTTCTCCATCTACATATCCACAGCCTCCGAATCTTCTTCACGAAGACTGGCGCCACCCTCCACAACTCGGTATATGTTTACAGAATGCATAGCCCACGATGCGCCGCCGGCGTTCCAACTCTTTTGCCCTCTTGGGGCCATATGTCTTGTCGGTCTGAGATACCGCTCGCTATTCATCCTACCTATGGCTCTTGAATACCACGAATATAACTTACCATTCGCAAGCAACCCACGCTTTCTTTCTCATGCACACTCAGTTCCGGATCAATCAATATCATCTAATTGCAAAGAACCCCTAGACTCATGCAACGAAGTTTCCAATTCCATCGTCCCATCCCTCAGAAGCATCGCCGTCGTCGTCCTTTCATCATCATCATCATCACCATGCTCCCCCGACCTCGCTGCTATACCCCACGTCTGTTCATCCAACCCAAGACTTACAGTAACCCGGTGATACCTGCGCTCCGGCGGACCCATCGACAGATCACCCTGTTTATCACAAGTCGCTTCTCTCGGTGTGCCCTGACCGATCGCAGATTTACAATTACTACTAGTACACCGAGCAGCTTTCCATAACTGTTTCTTCTCTCGACGTGCGGAAGATGCGAGGACGGCGGCGCGGCGTCTTCCGTGGCCGCGTCGCGCTTTGCGTATTATTGCTTTCTTCTTGTCTCGCTGCGTGATCCGTGATATGAGCTCGGTAGGGCTTTGGCCGGGTTCCGGATCTTTAGGTGGAAATGGGGGGCTGCTAGTATATGCGTCGGGAAGCAGAATGATAGGGTCTGGGATGACGGCGGTGGGAGCTGCTATGTCGTCGTGCACGGTTTGGATGCTGGTTTCAGGGGCTGCTGCTGCTGCTCCTCTTAGCGAAGGAGACGAGTCGAAAGGCTCGTAGCTCGCTCCCGCTAGGAGGAGTGGGTGTTGGATATCGGATGATGCTTCTTCTTCGCACGCAGTATCATCTGAGATGTTGACTAGAGACGGATCGGATGGTTCCTGATTGTGCGTTCCAGCGTGCTCTAGGTTAGAGCTGACGGGCATTGTGGGGATCCTCGCATATATGATGGAGACGCGGGGTCCGACCTGACCCCACTACTGGAAGTCAGGGGTGAAATCCGGGGAATCTATGGCTTTCCAGGTGACCAGTGGCGGATGGATGACGGAGTAGACCTTTATTGGCTCTTCAAAGGTAGAGAGAGCTCTCGCAAGGATAAAGTGTTGTTGTGGATGATGTGACGTGTGTATTGCCGATTGTACCTAGTTGGGGGTATAGATAGTAAAGGCAAAGCGGGAACTTCAAGAGGAAATGTTATATTGGAAAAGGCGGGGCTACTTAAGAATCAATCTCCCTCTCAAGGTTTGAATTGAAGTCTGGTAGCGAAGAGACTTTAGTTCCCTTAAAGGGGAAGAAGTAGTATCCTTCAGGGTGTAGGGCATGACCACCATCACAATATCGACTGCATATAATAAGATAGAGAATCACTAAGAGACAACTAAGGTCAGTTGTCCAGCTCGCTGGAGATAGGGCACTTCCGCACCATGTCAAATCATCAATGCCTGCTTTGTTTCATAGCAGATATGCAGTTGTCTTCAAGAACCTCTATTTACGCCCGCCCATTGTCGAATGTTACCTTCCAGCCGTAGCATACCTCTCGTACCATATATTCGTGAATCCAAGCCACTCCCGCCATGGTTGACCAGTTAAACGCCAACTCCATGCTCAATGCAGCCTTTCAAAGACGCGCAAACTCCATACCATCCCTTTCCCTGATTTACAAGTACACCGCTTGGCCCATCTTCGAGATGACAAACTCACAGCCTATTTGTTCCTCTTCTTCATATCGAGTCAGCTCTTCCAGTATCTTAGTTCCCATCCCTGGGCCATCATCTAAAGTGTCCTTCACGTGGATGATGACGATCTTGACACCTTTCAAGGGGAATTTGCTTTTGCCGCGAAGAGAAAATCTCGAATCCGCCCCCGCCGTCACACTCTTTGCTTCCGCCGTGTGCGCCTCGCTTCCACCGGCTTCAGTGACCGCGGTCTCGGTCAGTTGTGACCGGGTTCGTGATCGTGGGCTAGGTGAAGAAGTTCGGCCTGAGCGCGTTCGTGGTAAATGTTGCCGGGCTCCCTCTTCTAATGTCGCACTCAATCGCTTTCTTTTCTTGGATGTCGCTCGCTCCTTGGACGTCGCTTGCTCTTTGCCCTTTTTATAAAGCTCGACCTCGTCCGCCAACGCCTTTAGCTCTTCAATCAAGTATCTCGGAGCCAGGTGACCGTATAGTCTGTCGTCAGTTTGGGAGTCGTCGAAGGAGCATTCGATGAGTATACCACCAAGTCGTCCCGACGCAATCTTTGGCGCTGCTTCGATCCAGACTTGCTTATTGCGCGGCCATAGTGAAATTGCATCCGGCTCCACGTCTCCAAATATGAGAACCTCCTTGCCAGTAGCGATATCGCGGATGAAATAAGCTGAGCTATCATAAACACAGATCCGCTCTTGAACATCAGCCATACGCATATCTAGGCTTGGAATATTTGTGACTGACGGCGAGCGTCCGAAGAGTGGCGGGTTCAGCACCTGTGAGCCGGTGCGTTGTCTTGTCTGAGGCGGAGACCCATACGGTGGGGGTGAAGATGCAAGGCCAACATTGGAGCCTCTATGGCTATGTCTTTCTATACAGTGGCCGTGACTGACGCTCAAAGTTTTGACGCCGAGGCCTTCACAGATCTCAATATACCCTTTGTCATCACCTTGGCCGAGTGCGGGAGATCCGCCTTCGACCAATCTCCTGTAAGTCACCAGCCCAGCTCCATTATTTTCGTCGGAGAGATTTGGCCAGATGACGTTATTGAAGATGTGGTCTTTGAAAGCCTCAATGGTGGATGGCAAGCCGGCCAAGACCTTTGGGCGCGAACCTTGCAAGGCGGCAGTGTTGACAACAAAACCAGATATATGATCTAGATGAGGATGCGTGATGAGATAGGTCCCAACAAGCGTACGAGTAATATACGCAGCGTTGGATTTGGCCAAAGAGTGAGGGATCTCCAGGCCTTCAAAGGGTCCATTAATCAGGGTAACCGGTTTGTCGGCATGGTCTGGGGAGGAGTCTGATGGGTGGTTTTCGAGAATTCTCACAATAGATGCAAGGTGGACACCGGCATCTACAGCCAAAACTGATCCTTTCTTCCAGCCAGTGGCCGTCGACCGCACAAGAAATGCAGTAGTGTTATCCTCCAAAGGGCCGCCTCCAGAGCCCTGTGCACAGGATTGTTAGCATTGAGACTCGAGAAGAACATGAAGGCAGCGAATCTGGAGACTGCTGCATAAATGTATATATAAAGAGATGGAAAACGACGTGTATATAGAAGGGTATCGCCCGATGGAGGCGTGCGCACGTGACCATTCCGGGGCCCACAAAGGCAGAGGAAGATGGGGACAAAGGCCTCATCTATTAATAAACTAGCAGCAGGGGCATGCTATTGGCCATGGGAGGAAGCTGTAAGACATGAATGCAACTGGGAAGAGCATGATCCTCGACGAGCGAGACGACAGAGAAGAACACGAACAACGAATAGAAGAAAGACGGGTGATGTATCATACCAGGATAATGACCTGCAAAGCAGGCTGGCCATCCCCTCCGGCCATGGCTCCCGGGGGCGATCAGAGACAGCGGGATAGACAGCGATGCGGACTTGAGGGATGGGATTTTTGCACGGGAGAGACAATGAACGATGTTTCCGATGGTGCTCGATAAATATGCAGCATCCCTTCCGTCGGTGAGCCTCGCCGTCCGCAGCTGCTGTTACGCGGGCGGGCGTTGCGTGCACGTGACTGGGCAGAGCGAGCCGCGACAAAAGGACAAACAAGTCGACGACTTGACTCGAATAAATCGTGGAAGAGTGAGAAAGGAAAAGGGGTAGAAGGGTAGAAGAGCAAGAGGGGGATCTGGAGGGATTCAAATCCTGGTTGTGTTTTGTTGCCCTCGGATATACCTGACTCGAAGAAAGCAACGTTCGAGCCTCCAGGGTCCAGGGAAGGGAATGTGCGAATGCGGTCTCTTCTTTCAACCAAGGCAGAGGCCTCACTAGTCCAGAAGATTGTTAACCTTCACAAAGGATGTGGAAAAATAAAGAAAAGATCGCCCAAGATCGGCACTTTGTAAGTAGGCAAGTAAGCTGGCATCTTTCTTACACGTCCACGTCCCGTCCATATCTATGCAGAAAAGGCAGACCGGTAGCGCAGTTCTTTCCATGCAATTGATTCATCCTTGTCCCTATGTTTTCAGACTCCTCCCTGCACATAGAACACCTGCCCGCGCGCCGTGTAATATGAAAAATCCAATTTCCAGCGAGTTCCAACAATATATACATAATCATATATCATCTATCCATGAATCGTCAAGGTCTCTCCATGTCCTGGCCGATCTAACGGCCTGTCAGATTCATATGCATAATGGCATCGTTCTTCCAGCCATCATCCTCATCATCGCTCGAAGCGTTCTGGACCCTCAATCCTCCCCTCCCCTGCTGGCTGGGCAAGCTCCACAAATCTCCTTCTCGCCCTTCAACAGCTGGTAAGGATACTGGTGGTCTCAAGTCCGGCTTGGGGCCCGCAGGCGGGGGAGGTCCATCAGGAGTCTCGATTGGGCCGAAGCCTGGAATCACAAAATTCTCATTGCCTAGACCGAAATAATGATTTTTCTCGGGGCCAAGCTCATTGCCAGGTAGCTCGAAATGACCCTGTCGGTTATTGGTTGGAGTGTCATCGCTCTTCATTGAAGCAACACCGGTGGGTGATCCGAGTATAGAATCATCATAGTTCTGGGCCGGCATTTCGGAGATGCCCGTGGGTAATGGGGCAAAGTTGTCCTGCGCTTGTACCTGCTGTTCAAGTTCACGCTCTTCAATAATCTGCGGAGCTGGCTCAACGTTACGGAGACTGCTCTCCATCACGCTACCATTTCTCATACTGGTGCGGCGTTCCATGGTCTCAGTGACATCCGACACAGCGGAGTCGGCATCTCTGATACCAAACTGTGCCATGGTACGCATCTTTCGGGTGACCCAGCTTGCGAGAATCTTCCCTCGCTGTTTCTCGCCCAGTCTCGACCTCGGAAAATCCCCTTTGTTGACAAACGCAACAATGTCGACAACGATTTGGTGTTCGTTGAGAATGGCGTTGACGATAACTGGAACTATGGAAGCAAGATAAGCCTTCCTTGCTACTTCCACGAGAACCACTATAAGCCCGCCTGCTTGGAAAACAGCACTATGGGAGTGTTAGCTAGGTAATTATGTCTGAATATGGGTATGAACTCACCAGCCTCCTGGCACGATGTTGCGGTGGCATTTCTCAACAGAATATTCGATATCCATCGGGAAGTGGCTCAGCCCATTAATCTCGAAAGTCTCGCCAATGTTACCCAATACGAAGAGCACTTGCATGTCGACTGGTGCACCATTGGGGCCAATCGGTCTACAAACATTGTGAAGGAAGCCAAGATCGCCGGTCCTGACATATTGAACGTTTGGATCCCCATCAACAGTGCGCCCGTTGAATCTTTCATAATCGAATGCGTCCTTAGAGCCGTAAAATGCTTTCACGCAAGCTTCCGATTCAACCCATATCTCTCCGTATTCACCTTCATGACACAAGGTACGGCTTTCTGGATTGACAATCGCTATCTGGGTTGAGACAGGCACCATTCCAGAATCCTGAACCAAAAGAGCCTTTGGATCCGTATCCGCATCCACAGGATAGATCATACCTCGACGTAGAGCCTTAGTGTCTAGCCACAGCTCGATAGGCTCGATGCACATGTATGATCGAGATGCAATCATAGGGTTGAGAACATGTGAATAGATGGTATTGATAGCTGTGCGATCGAGCCCAGTGGTCGCGAAGTGCATGCGTACTTTTTGGAACACATCCACACGAGGCCTTCCTTCTGCGGATATCATCATATTTTTCATTTCGTGCAGGGTGAATCCCTTGCCGGGCATGATGGCCATAGCATGATCAAGCATTTGAGGTGTTGCATACGTATCCTTGATCTTGTACCTTGATAGAGTTAGGAAGAGCGAGACAGGATTCTGCGCAAACTCAACAGGCGAAACCAGGTAGGTAGGAGCTCCAACGAATATGCCCATGAGACATGTATGTATAAAGCCCAGGCCGCTAGTACTTCGAACACAGCCTAAAACGGGTCTTGAACTCATCATTTGACAAGTTTCTTTCTGCACTTTGCATATACCCATGATGGTATCATGGCCTAGCTGGACAGCAATTCGTCGTTGATCTGGCGTCCAGTATGTCCAAACAAGGACGGGATAACCTGGCTGAATCCAAGCTGGCTGCATGGTGAGACCAAGATCTCTGCACCCACTGTTCTGTTTTGGCGGCTTCGTCGTGTTGTAGATGTTCGGCACCGAGACTTTCATAAGCTGAGCCGACTGCTTTACGTGTTGTGCAACCGGCTTCTGCTTCAACAAGTGATCGACATCTTGGTTGACCAGAACAGCCTTCACTGAAAAGTCTGCTACCATGTGAAGGTATGCAGGAGCATCTTCACTCAAACGATTCTGGTCCAACGGAGCCATCGGAATTGCTGTAGCCCCTAAGCAGAAGCATGCGTGTACGGCATAGATATATTCTTCCGAATGCGTGTACATCAGTATCAAGTGGTCTCCTGCTCGGACTTTGACCTTGTTTTTGAGATACATAGCTACCGCAGCGACCTTGGTATCAAATTTCTTCCATGTTATACCTTTGCCCTCTTTGCCTCTGCCGTCTATTGTGCAGTAGGCCAGTTCTTCCGCCTGTCGGGCAACTCGCCATTGTAACAAGTCAACAATGCTCGAGAAATTATTCAAAGGTGTAGAAGTCCGGTCGTCAATTACCACCTCACGACGGTCAATACCGGAATATTGTTTGTCGCCAGATGACAGAAGATCCTCTCTTGTTTGCGACGCGAGAGGTGACCAAATGCCACCGATGGGATCCACACCAATGGGAAGATTGAGTACTGCTCGCTCGACACCAAATTTAACATGCACGCATGGCAAATTGCCAAGGTCGAATTCTCGCCGACAAAGCATGTTGCCAATTTCCCTCCGGCCGTTCTTCAGGACTTTCGGTAAGGTATTTGGAGCTGTGATCATGACACAATACACTCTGAGATGATGCTCTTGCATTAAGACCTCCATACAACGTTCTGACAGCGATTCGAGCAGGGCAGTGTCTAGCTGGCGAGGAGGCCCTCCGGAAGTCGCTGGCGCTGTAGAAGCAGCTTGCGACTCCAATAATACTATAGGCAAATGCTCCTCGTTGACATAGACATCGAATGCAGAGCAGTCATAAATCTTCGGCACATTTTTCATGATACTCACAATTATGTGCTGCACAAAGAAGTATCGATGTTCGGCAACCTCGTGGCCATGTTCGACCCATTCGACTTTCTGCCTCAGCCGGTCTTCGTACAGACCAAGGACGTAAATCTTCCCTTCAATAACCGTACCCAGTAAGCCGGTCCGTAAAAATTCTGGCTCGACCATTATAGGCGTAGGATTACCTGGCTCGAACTTGTAAGGCCGAGCATGGAAGATTTGCTCCGTATGTTTCGGCAATGCCCAAAATCCGCCAGACAGTGAAGGCGAGTCGACCCAGATTTCTCCTATTGAGTGAGGTGATGCAAGAAGACCGGTTTCAGGATCAACGACCGCCAACGTGGCGTCGGGTATAGGATATCCAAAGGCACCCACTCTCACTGTCGAAGGGTCACTATTGGCTTTTTTGCGTGCTTCTTCACCAATCGCGACCACAACAACCTCGTTCGTCTTGAGCGCCTCACGATCCAGGAGAACTTCGCTCAGCTCCACCCTACCTTGGTCCACCGTCGGTGTAACCGTACTACCGCCAATGAGACTTCCGAACCCATTACTGGCAGGTTTATCTTTCTCTTCCTTCTTCTCTTCTACAGGTTCGGCGTCAGGCCCCATGTTCAATTTCAAGGGACAACCCATTCGTTCTTCTCCGCCTAACCAATCCCTCATGCTAATTACCATGCCACCATGTTCAGGGAGACACAGCATGGGGGCTACTAATTCCCGTGCTCTGGGATTTCGCATTGGTCGAAGCCAGCGGTCTGCAAGTACCTCATGAAACTCGCTGTCCACTGTTAACGTGTCTATCAAGCATAGCTTCACGTGTTGGAAGTTCGGTTCCATCCCCTTTTTGAAGTTCCGAGTCGTCATCGGGTCTTGCTGGTAATTGTAGGCCGCCCTTTTGAGGCCCGGGTAGTCCGCTAACATCAAGGTGGCTCTGTACTTTGTGATCAGATGTGCATAGAGACCTGGGGTTTCCACAGCTTTATTCTCCATCCAAACTGTAGTATGGCCACCGTATACCGTTAGAAGAACGCCAAGAATCATCCCGATGCTTTGTCGTGGATCCAAGTACGAGATAAGAATTTCGCCACGATTACCCCCACCAGCCATAAGCCTGCCATTCTTGTCCCTGAGTTCTGGATTGAAAGTGTCGCCACCAGTGTTTGGCGGTACAGAGGAGATAATTGCACTCAGACAGGCCATTTGATGCATAATTGTGCGATGGCTCATGACAACACCACGTAGATCGCCAGTCGGTGCTCGTGAGAACTCGATGTAAGCCAGATCCGGAACCGTGAGAGGCGGTACTTCGTCCTTCTTCTTGGGGTGAAAACTCCCAAACTCATTGGTCTTCCACCATTCAACCCCTCGGGGCCAATTGAGTTTCTGTGTTGTGATGTCCCGCTGAAATGCTTTCAAATTATTGTCCGTAGTGAGTGCTAAGTGCGCCTGCGTGGAAGTGAGAATGACATTGAGTTTCGTATAGTCTTCAAGATCGTTGATGGGAACCGCTACAACCCCAGCAATAAAACAACCTAGGAGTGCGATGGCGAAGTCGATGATTTCGGTATCCCGGTATATCAGCGCAACTCTGTCTCCACGATATAGAGAACTTTTGTCTCTTATCACTTGGGCAACCTTCTCTGCTCTGCTCGTAAGCTTGTCCCAGGTAATCGAGGAAATCTCCTTTCCCTTGCCATCTAGAACCCAATATGCTGGCGCCTTTGCCGTTGTCCGGCTTCGATGTCTCAAGACAGCCGCGATATTGTCAAATTTTGACATAGGCGTGTTTGAGTCATGTGGATCATATACAGCGAATGGCACATCTCGTGGCTCTAGAGGCATTTGATACTCAAGTGCGTCTGGAGGTGGAAGGTCGTTAGTTGTCAACATAGGTGGAGCCATTGCAGCTGTAGGGGAAAATGCATCACTCGAGGAATATCTGTGTGGTCCACCACCGTAAGAATTACCCTCGTACCCTTGTTGGCCAGCAAAGTCAGAAAAGTAACCCTGCTGTGACTCGCCAAGCATAGTCCCGTGCGAATCCATCATTGTTCCAGCTTGACTCTGCTCGTGAATGCCCCCCTGATGCTCATTGTAACCAGCTTGATGTGCAGGATTGAATGCGTAATTCGCGCCTGACATTGATGATGCCATTGTCATGCTATGTTCCACAGAATTTCCTCCCGACTGAGGCGTACCAGGAAGAAACAAAGAATCGTGACTGTACGTGGATTGCCTATGTGGGTTTGGGTTCGGCACCCCTAATTGTAACGCCTGTGGTGTCCCGGCATTGAGGATCCCAGGGCCATCCGCTCGAGGGTTTCCAAAACTCCCGTATTCACTCGACATTGTATCCAGTCTCCCAGCAGACCCTAACCTAACAGAAGGAGTATTCGTGTTGAGCGCTGCAAGTGAGGCGCTGCGAGAGGCGCTGCGAGAGGCATCGTTTGATGGATGTGCTGTATCATCTGGTGAATGTATGCGGAGGCCCTTCAGTTCAGAGCTCATGGATGGGCTGCCTAGGAATTGCGATAGTAAGAGCGTTCGACGTTTCTGATATCTGTAACAGCGAATCAGAAAACAATTCTACATTCCCCGAAAAGCCCCGGTGTTAGAGGCTTGCGCAATAGAATCTGGAGATCCAAACCCTTTTTCCGTGATATCCCCTTCCTATGCGCAACAGACGTCAGCATCCACAGGTTCACATCAAGACTTGCGATCTCGTTCGTATAAGAGCACAGCGACACAGAGCTAAAACCCCGGTTTCTCCGTCAGAAATGCTGCGACTAACCTCGAATTCGTGCTCCAGCTCTTGCAGCTTCGCCTGCAAATCCGGATTCCTCACTTCCAACGCCATCTTTGGGGTTTTGTTCGCCGTAGTAAGCTCGTGAGTAGGGTCCCTGGGAAGTTCGAAGCGGGGGTTAGGGGGGATTCAGTGAGTAGCAAATATCCGAAATCATGAATCCGAAGTCCTGGGAACTGGCAATGGTGACGGGAATTGGGGGTAGATGCAAGCAGAATCCAACCATGCTCTATTCCGCTTCTCTGTTTATGACCTCGTCTCGTCTCGTCTCGTCTCGTCTCGTCTCCTCTCGTCTCGTTTGCTAAGGTATACCTCGTGTACCAACTCAATGACGGAGCGAGGTTGGCTTTGAGGTAGCCAAATTGGGATCGTGAATGGTCACGTGCACACCCCTGTTCCAGGCCTTGTCTCGTGTGCTGCCGAAGGCGTCAAGGGCAAACCATAAAAGCCCGAATTTTCATACTATTTCTTTCTATTTTTAACTGCTGCATCTCATTATGCACTCCGACGTGATGACACTTGAAAAAAAAGCAAAATAATAGCCATAGTAGCAACGGAGAGGGCTTCTTGTTCTCTAGCTAGATTCTTATGCTACGGGGCCTATCCAAGCCCCCAGAACCTAGGCCAAGAACCCAGATCGCTAAATTCCTGCAGGTACCTGGAAATCATAGGGAAGGCCTTCAGAATCCGTCAACCATCCTACTATTCTTCCTCTTCAAGTACACAGAGTACAGACTCGGCCAGTAGAAAGTACGCCTGGCAGCCAATCACAAACTTCCATCGAGACAATGAAGGTCCTTGACGCGCTCTCCTTTATTCAAACCACAAGGTATCTCCAGCAACAATGTCTATCCCAAAAAGAGGTTCTTTGACTGGAGTATATTCTTTATCCAAGCCTTTGATATCATCAGGAGTGGTGGTTCTTTCATGCTGTTTACTCGCCCAGGTATATGAGGACAATCGCTCATTGTATTTTTTCTCAGCTGTTCATGCATTCTCTCTCAATCTACTATTCTCACTCTTTGAAAGTGCCTATCTTCCAGTTTTCTGTTCTGATCGCGACTGTTACCTGCGTTTAATCTTCCATTTCACACACCATCACTTAGTCATTCAAGACAGCAGTTCTGCTGGATATATTTACAATCATGATTAATCATGAAGTTTCTGACACACCGGAAGCTAGCTACAATGAACTTGAGTCCATCCTCTCTCTACCAGCTCCGGTGGTAGATACCACCATAATCGATACCTTCGACTTCGAGGCTTTATTGGCGGAAACTAATGGCGAGGTACAAAGCCTTCCTGCTGCTTATGACGCTCTGCAAGACAATGACCCCGTAAGCAAGTGCGATTCTCAAATAGATAATCTTTATCCCCCTTTTCCTGAACTCCCTGAATCCATTGTTCCGCATCTGTCATCGTTACACTCCTTTGTCAATTCTCAAGAGGATATCACCTCCACAGATATACCCCAGGTCAGACAAGGGCACCACGTGAAAGAACTCGAGCAACAAGTAAGACCGAAGCGGACATCCAAAGCTGGCATCAGAATAAAAGAAGTAGCATCCAAGCGTCCAAACCTCCGAAGGCTTGCTGGCGAGTCGGAGTCCAAGAACGCTCGGCCCTTCAACATTGCCAGCTTCGACCCTTCCATCTTTTACAAACCTCTTGCCCGTCCTCCACCAAGCTGGAGCCCTCCTCATATAAAACGACGACGTACACTTTTCAACTATAACGCCCAAGGCGAGCTCGACCCCAGAACCAGATTCTCAGCGCAGGAAATCTCCGACTATCTGACTTATCATCCGTTGCACGAGCTCTACAGCTGCTCGCCATCTACCAAGAACTCTGGTCTCACGCTTTGGATTCAAATATCACCGGCAGATTCCTCAAATCGCTACCCTACTGCCATGTCATCCAGATGCCGATTCGCCAACTGTCCAGTCCCACAACACACTATACGAAAGGGTGAATTCAGAGTGGCATTTGACGAGCAATCGTGTTCTGGGAAGCCCCTGGACCCCTTCCACAACGCTGGCTATGTGCACCTTTTCTGTCTCGAGAAAAACTTCGATTTCCCTCGCCTGTGCAAGAACTTCAACGTCCGAGGCGACGACCGTGAGTTTCGCGAAGGCAGGAACAAGATGGCAATCACGCGTGATCATTCCAGCATGCTCCACGTTGTGAACCGTTTCATCGAAACCTCGGAGAAAGTGGGCGATAAGAGATCAGATGACTGGTATGCTCATACTCTCTGTTACGCGCTCACCATCCATCATTTGAAGCATCAGCCCGAGCGGAGACAAAGCATTAGGGAGGCTAGGGATGGGAATAGTGTTGATCGCCATCTTAACAACCTTGATGTGCTAGTCGAGAGGGCGAGGGTCATCAGGGAGCAGAAAGCGAGCCAAGGGAAGAAGTCGCGAGCGCCGAGAAAGAGAAAAGTTAAAGAAGTCGAATTCGAGGAAGAGGATGTGCTGGATGACAATATCCTCGAGAGTATAGAAGTCGAGAATGGGGTTGAGAAAGGGGTCGAGAAAGGGATCGAGAAAGGGGTCGAAAAACAGGTCGAGAAAGAGGTCGAGGAAGAGGTCGAGGAAGAGACCGCCAACAATCAAGAGAGAGACGAGCCGTTAAGAAGATTAAAACGAGTAAGGGCAGCAGCGGGGAACTCTCTAGATGAACTAGATACCCGGTCCCCTTCTGTAAGATATAAAGGATACATGAGTAGCCTGCGTTTTTGATTTTTGGTCATGATTTATTAGCATTGCATAGAGTGGCGTCGTATAGTGTTAAGTATACACATTTCCTTCAGTTAATCAAACAAATGAAAATCAATAGCTCATTAACCAACCATATCTTCAAGAAAGAGTGTCCCATATCGTGTGAAAATGAAAGCTGATAACGTGGATAAGTAGACATGTTCAACTGGAAATTTTTATATGTGAGAGAAGTCTGAGAGCACACCCAAGTGGTCGTTTATTTTGGATATTGTGGTCGTGAAACTCCTTTATTCTTAGTCTTTATCTCATTATCATTTACTCTTTTCTTATGCAACACTACATCAAAGGTCGCTGAAAGAACTCGACCAAAACCCACAACTTAGCAATCCCATAGTTTGAATTATCATACAGTTAAACCTCAACAGGTGGCTGGGCTGGAGCAGGAACTACCACGCCTTCAGCATTCTGAGGTGGATTCTCTTGATTCTCTTGATTTCCTCTCTCGGCTTGCTGTGATCCGGCCTCAGGGTTTTCAGCGGCCGCCGCGGCTTCGGTCTGACGCTGTCTCTCTGCCTCAGCGGCATTGGCAGCATTGGCCGCTGCTTCCCTAGCCGCAATATGCCTCTCTCCGACACCCGGCACGAGACTTGCAAGGAATAAAAGGGCAGCATGTTCTGCTCGTCGAATTTGGGCTATCAGCCATCCTCTATCTGCCTGTCTTCGTTGTTCTAATAGTCTAGCGGCAACTTCAGCTGGATCAAGCTCACCACGTCGTCTTCTTACTCCTGGCTCGTGTGCTGGTGGCGCCGGGCCGGGCTGTTGGGGAATGGGTGCAGCATTTGCCGCCGGTACCAACGCTGCTTCTGGCCCAGCAAGTGGGATTAGAGCTTCTACATGCCTTCTGACCGGACCCCACAATTGCTCGGCAATACCATTGAAGATTCCTGTATTGATGATAAAGACGGCAACTGCAAGTGCACTGACCATCAAGAAACGTGGCCAGCTGTTGTTTCCAGCAGTGAAAAACCATACAAAACCCGCCAAGCGGATCATGAGCCAGATCATGGGTCCAATTTGAGCACCTAATGCACCAGCAGCAGGGTTGCCGTGTGGTGCTGCGACCGGCTCAAGCGGATTGTTCTCTTGTCGCTGGCGGTGGCCGCGTCGCACCAACCGTTGAGCAGCCCTATTTCGAATTTCTGGAGGACCTACAGGAGCTTCTGCTTGACCTTGACCTTGACCTTGAGCTACGACCGGAGCAGCTGACTCATTTTGGCGACGTCTTGATGCCTGTCGAGGAGTATAAAACGTATCTGAATTGTTCAGAAGGAGGGCCCGAGGACCTTCAGGTGATGAGAGAATGTAGACCACAGGGTCCATAGAGCCAGGTAGGGGAATGGTAGGGTTCAACGGCAAGGATGAGGAGGAAGAATTATTGGTTGTGGCCGGAGGAGGTATTCCAGCAGGGGTATCTGATACACTTGCCGTAGTTTGGGCTTGAGATGTTGAACCAGCAGTCGCTGTTGGTGGAGGTTGGTTTGTTGCACCTCCCATACTGTTTTGCAAATTCTGGAAACTTTGCACATTCTGCCCGGCAAGTAGTCTATCTGCGTTTCGCAGAGTAGCTTGGATTTCTGTAGCGGGGTTTGCTGGGTTTGTTCCAAGTTGATGGTTATAGTGATGGAGAGGATGGGGTTGTGGTATCGGGAAAGTGGAAGTAGTTTCGTTAACTGTCATTTGCCATCTTTCTCCATTTGGGCCAATTCCTTCCCGAGTATATGTGGTAGTATGGTCGGGGCGATGAAGATTTGGACTCGCTCTGCCAGATGAGGTTGGTCGAGGCAGTCCCCCAAAGATTGTCCCGCCGGTTGAATCTTGGGCCCCATGTCGACCTTCGGCTGCCCGTTCCCGTTGTTGTTGATTTATCAGATTCTGAACCGACACAGGCATAGGTTGTGTTGTCCGGAAGCCCAGTTGTGGAGGTTGAAATGCGGCTTGCATTCCCGCGAAAGGGAATTGGGCAAAACCAGGTTGATTATTGAACATTTCTGGATTAGCCGTGGCTAGGACTCGGGATCTCTGCTCGATATTCCCCATCTCGTGTTGTAGACGCTGAGTCTCGCGTTGTAAACTCTGGAGTCTTTGGGCCATTACATTCTGTAAATGATCGGCTTGGTGAAGTGCTTGATAATGCTGTATATGTTGAAATCCGGGCAAGGGTTGCTGAGCATGCAGGCCATGTATTGGATTGGCAGGAACTGACTGCGGACGAGCCTGAGGAGGCACTGGGGTGGTGGCTCGTGGCGTGGTAGCTCGCGGCGGTGGTACGACAAAAGAGCTGGCCGGCTGGGTTTGGGTCGAGGGGGTATCTATTGTGGTAGGTCGTAAGACAAGATGTAAGGTTTGTGATTCTGGGTTTGCGAGCTAGATATTAATCAGTATGTGATTTGGCGGGCATAGAACAGACAAGCACTGACAGTTTCTTTGCCAAAAACGTCCAGCATAGTCTCAGCATCTCTTCCCAGTAGTCGTCCCCGGTGTATGAGTCGCTGGTTCTCGTCCGCAGGCTTCAATGGTAGAGAATCTCGAATCTTGGCCTTCAACTCCTTCACCGTTGTTGTTGCGGGCAGGTGGGGAAAGGTCAGAGGACTAGAGACCCCAGCGGATGGTGATACAATGATAAGAGTGAAGGTTGTTGGGTCCGGTCGTTCCTCTTCTCTTGTGGAGGCATCAGTTCCTGTAGAAGTGTCTACATGTTGAGACATGATTGATGACTGGCGAAGCTGCTGTTAGAAGGCGGGTAGGATGGTCCGGCTTTCCAGAGAAACAAGTAATAAGGGACAATTACTATAGTCACAGAATCATTTTGCGGTGGTATTGTGTAGAAGAAAGGAGTGCTGATATGTTATAAGGGTTGAAGAAGACAGGTCTTGAAGGGGACAGGTGTTGAAGGAATGTTTGGTTTCTATCCTGCCTGTGATAGCTGTCGGTTCCTCCCGTCCACACATGTCCGACACAAAGGCGGTCTGAGCCGAAGCGGCAGTATAATATTTTCGGCCATCACCCATCGGCTTCACAAGACCGTGCAGGGGAAAGACCCTGAACCTCGATTCGATCGGTTCGTTGCAGAAATTCCTTCAGATGACTATCCAGCCCTCACTGCTATATACAAGACCGCGGATCGTTGCCCCCCAACTGCGGTCGTTTCGACGGACACCCGTCCTTCGATCACGACCGCGATGCCCTTGTCAGTGTCAGAGATCCCGACCCTTTTCCTCTTCGGCGAAGCTATACCGACAGCACAGCGACTATAAAGAGTCCTTCGGCACCCGGCTACGTAAAGCCCTAGGCGAGACAAAAATGAAATGGTATCCTATTCCAGTTGGATTAGGCATTGGCTTCCTTGGCCTGGGTCAATTTTATCGCGTCAAGGAACGAGAGAAAAAGAGACTGGAGGATGATGAATCTCTGAAGAGGACTGATGGAGAGTTTGGGGGGCGTCCAAGAAGGAGAGAAAGAATTAGACCGACAGGACCATGGTTTGTTTCTTGAGGATCCTTGCCACGAGTTCTAGCTAATGCGTGCCAGGCAAGTCCAAGTCATGTCTACACTTCCCCTGAAGGCCATGTCAAGATTGTGGGGCAGATTCAACGAACTGGAGATACCATACTATCTGCGTGTTCCTGGATTCCGGTTATACTCTTTCATTTTCGGCGTTAAGTATGCCATACACAACCCGAATCTACTCGCTGTTGGTCTTTGCTGACCTGCTTCTAGTCTTTCTGAAGTGTCAGAGCCTGATCTTCATGTATACCCAAATCTCGCATCATTCTTCTACAGAAGGTTAAAGCCCGGTTGTCGACCCCTCGATCCGAACCATAATGCCCTCTTATCTCCAGCTGACGGCCGAATCATACAATTTGGCGCAATTGAAGGCGGGGAAGTAGAGCAGGTCAAGGGCATGACATACAGTCTGGACGCGCTTCTCGGTACTAGCAAGTCAGACCTCTCACCCAGCTCTTCGAATAGCAGTATCTCCACGTCACAAAAAGGGGCGACCGAACATTCCCGCATAGAAGGCGACGAAGACATCATTAGGCAGGACGAGGAATTTGCTACGGTTAATGGTATCACATACACACTTCCAAATCTACTTTCAGGGCCAAAGCATAGCCAAGACGGTCAGCAAACCAGGGATGAATCGACGACGCCGACGTCTGCCTCAGAAGCAGAAGTACGCGCAGATCTGGCCCTAGGTGAGAAGCCATGGTATACACGTCTCACCGCCGAGAACCGGAGTGCTCTGTACTATGTAGTCGTGTATCTCGCACCTGGGGACTACCACCGTTTCCATTCACCAACTGCTTGGGTTGTGGAGAAGCGACGACACTTTGCGGGAGAGCTATACAGTGTCTCTCCTTACTTACAGAGGACTCTACCTGGACTTTTCACTCTCAATGAACGTGTTGTACTCTTGGGACGGTGGCGGTGGGGATTCTTCTCCTTTACCCCCGTCGGTGCAACCAATGTCGGCTCGATCAAGATCAATTTTGATAGAGAACTACGCACAAACTCTTTGACGACGGATACGGCCGCCGACCACGCAGCCGAGGAAGCGGCAAAGCGCGGAGAAACTTACAACGGTTTCACAGAGGCTACGTACGAAAATGCGAGTCCAGTCCTACGCGGATACGCATTGCGGAGGGGCGAGGAAATGGGCGGGTTTCAACTAGGGAGCACGGTCGTGCTGGTATTCGAGGCACCGAAGGGACAACGACCGACCCTTGATGAAGGGTGGATGGGCGAGAAGGTCAAGAGGAAGGGCGGATGGAATTGGGCTGTTGAGAAGGGACAGAAGATAAAGATGGGACAGGCACTTGGATGGGTTGACCCCTCGTGACCTAGCACAGCGGACTTTGGTATTGGGTATGTAAGAACAGAAGCGACCTGAATAATAACATTTTTCTATTCATAAAGAACCAGTTTTCAATGGCTCAGGTCTACCTTAGTGTTTGTTGTGGAGAAGTGAGTACCTGGACGGGCGAGAGGTATCCGTCAAGGTGGGAATGTTTACCTCCTCCTATATGCCATACATATTAATTAACCTCTTTATTACCAGCATCCCAGCATGGCACCCATCAATCTCGATTATCGAAGGAAGGGAACTGAGCAATGGACACCGCATCGCATATCTACGACATCATCATCGTGGGCGCTGGTCCCGCCGGCCTCGCCGTCGCCGCCCGACTACACGAGCGCACCCCGTCCGCCCTGTTCACCGACAGCGAGCACCAGCGGTATCACTGGATGAAAGCATCATCCTCCTCTCTTCGGACATCCAGGCCCGCTCGGAGCACTCGACGAGCCAGCACGAGACAGGATCGGCTCCTGCGCGGCGACTCTAGCATTGACGCAGGAGGCCTTGATATAGCGGTCTTGGATGCGCATGGGGACAAGTGGATGAGCGCGTGGGATGAGAAATTCGAACAGTTGAAGATTAGCCATCTGAGAAGTCCAATGTTCTTTCATCCGGATCCAAGGGATAGGGATGGCTTGCTAGGGTTCGTGTATCAGGAGGGGAGGGAAAAGGAGTTGAGGGAGATCCCAGGGGTTGTGGGAAAGGGGCTGAGTAAATATCAGAGGAAGAAGAGTATCAAAAGGCATGTTTTATCAAGTTCAGTTAATTAGAGAAATACTGACTATAGATTAGTGGCAGATACCCTCAAGAGACATCATACCTCGACGAACGAAACCGTCCGGATTATTACAGACCAAGCCAATCCGTCTTCCAAGCCTATTGCCAAGATATTGTAAAGCGCTACAACCTCTCCAACCTTGTCCAGAAATCAGACGTCACATCCATTTCCCATGATTCCTTTTCCGGCATCTTCACTCTCCAAACCTCCACCGGTGTCAAGAGAGCCCGGATCGTCATCCTCGCCGTTGGAGCCGCGCTCCCACCCACGCTGCCCCCCGACTGTCCCTTCTGTGGACTCGAGAAAGCCGGGAGCGTCACACACGCCTTCAGGAAACGGCCGTCATCACCAACCCTCAACACGCTGCCCCCGCACGTACTCCGCAAGATCCAAGCTGGCCGCCCAACCAACGTCGTCGTCGTGGGCGGCGGCCTCACCAGTGCCCAGGTCACAGCGACTCTGCTACATCAAGGCGTCAGCAAAGTGCACCAGCTAGTGCGTGGCCCGCTGAAGGTGCGCCATTTCGACCTTGACCTGCCGTGGGTGGGCAAGTATCGCAATTTCCACCTGGCCAGCTTCTGGGGCGCGGACTCGGACCACGAGAGGGCGGACATGATCCGGGAGGCTAGGGGCGGAGGCAGCATCACGCCCGAATACAAGAAGATCCTCCACGAGCTGGTGAAGAGCCGGAGGCTGGAGCTGAGAGAATATACTACCATCACGCGGGCGACTTGGGACGAGGCTGCCATGTGCTGGGAGATTGGCACGGAGCCGCAGCTGGAGATGCCGCCGATTGATCATGTGGTTTACGCTACCGGGGTCGTGGCTGATTTTGAGACTGTCCCGGCGGTACAACCTTTGCTTGAGCAATATGGGATTGAGACCGTGGGCGGCATGCCGTGCTTGACGGACGATTTGATGTGGAATGATGAAGTACCCCTTTTTGTCACGGGGAGACTGGCCGGATTGAGGCTCGGCCCCGCGGCTGGGAATCTGGAAGGTGCGAGGCAAGGAGCAGAGCGTATTGCGTGGAAGGTTGGGGAGTTGTTGAAGAAATGGGACGGGGTAGACCAGAACTTAGAAGATGGGTATGGGAGAGAGGAGGAAGAAGAGGTGGACAGTCGAAGGTTGGGGCTGGGCTTGGAAAACCAGTTTGGGGTTCTAGGATTGAGTGAGGTGGAATGCTAGGGAAGACATACTCTTATATGTTCAGCATAACATAAGTAGGTGCAGAAGGGCTTTCATGATAACGAAATACTTTGATCATAATCCAAGACCATTCTCGAATTTAGATGTTTCATGCAACTGAGCTTATTAAACTATTATGTGAATTTCAACTATTCACAGCATTCAAGACTACCGCTATGCTTCGATCGAAGGCCCAGAAGTTTCTACCGTCTTGACGAGATCAGCGCTAACCTTCAAATTCTCTGCTCCGCTTAACGACTTTGCAATCATAGTCTCACTTCTCTCCCTGACGATGCGTCTTAGAGCACTAACCAGGAACCCAGACACGAGCTCAACGGACCATGTATCTGGTATTACACTTAGAACGTAGGCGACATCAAACCAACCACCAAACCGTTCTAGAAGACTGCTGGTCTGCTCTACACGATTGCTGATGTCTTCGATGCGCAGGAATTCCGATAAGAGAAAGCCGAAGAGCTTTGCCTGCTCTTCCCGCGTGGGAATAATGTCTCTCGCCATGGCCCCAGAAATAGGGTGGTAAATGCTTGAACCACCTAGAAGACAGTAGTTGATAGCTGTATCATAATCTCCCAAGCCGTGTGTTAAGAGCCTAAGAGCCTCTTCATGGCGTGATTGTCTGCCGTCAAGAATGATCACTTCAGGAACAAGCTCTTGAGTGTACGGTGCGATTCGTTCAAGGATAGCAGCTACGTCGTATTCTGACGCCGAGCCCTGACTACCTCCGAGCAATTGAAGAAGTCTAAGGCGGCTATGCCACCATTCCTGATCTATGGTATTCTCCGTGATGAATTGCCGGTACGTAGGTTTTGGAGGGCGCAAAGCTCGGTATGACTCGTATGTCTGTACCAATATTGTCCTGGCTTCCTCTGATTCCTCAAGCTTGCTGGTAACAATGTCCAGGTAGTACGCTATGAGCTCATTGATGTATTCGACGTGATTCTTACTGAAGACCAGATACTCAAGGTAGTCCTTGACCGCTCCAGGAGCTCCTTCTCGGAGGATGCTGACAACCTGAACCGGCTCAAACTTGACTAGACTTTTGTCTTCTGCAAAAACTTGGACTCCTAACTTGGGGTTGCGGGTAGCCAACCAGACACCATACTCCTGTACCAGGGACGAATTGCGGATCTTGGCAAGATATTCCCGTACTTTCTGCTCCCCTTGTACAAACTCTCCTCCTTCATCAATCTCACCCTCCACAATTCGGCGCCATGTTGCAAGGACTTCGCCGGCCATTTTGCGACTCTGATACAGACGACTGAGTACATAAAGACGATGGTGGGATTCGAGGAGAAATATTGCCCTCTCAAAGCAATCAACGCCATGATCAACCAAGTCGTACAGGTCTGTCCGTAGTGACTTAGCCTTAGGGGGTCCTCGAGGAGAGGACTTATCTAAATGTAGGAGAACGACCAAAAGTGCAGCGTCAACACTTCTAAACACTTCATTCTCGTTCGCAACACTTCCAAATCCTTTCTTTTTCCGCCAGGCAACCAGAAACCTGCGCAGAAAGTGGAAAATATGGTCAGGCATGCTGTCATCTCTGGAATCCGAAATTTCAGGTGATCCATTAGCGATAAAGCTGTCGGCAGAATCTTTGATACCACCATGGACCCAAATGCCAGTGTTTCCTTCAACGATTTCATTTCGCAGAACTGGTACGATTGCAAGAATCACACGTGGATCAAGGCCGCCCTCCAATAACGCATCTTCGGTTGCACGATATTCGATCTCTGTGGGCTGCTGGGCGGGGACATCCAGGATATTCATGAAAAGCAGCAGGCCTGCGCGCTGCCTGATATAACCCAAGCTTAGAAACTCCGTTTCGGTCTTTGCCTCGCGTCCACGCAAAGAGTTGATAATTTCGACAGCTTTCCGCCTATCGAATGATGGATATGTCTGATCTCCTCGAACTTCGGTATGTAGTAGGGCTGAAAGACTTGCATCCAACCGTAGAGCCAACGGATTTCTCACCGTCCACCAGATATTTTTGCCAGACCAGGCTACCACACGAGTCTGGGAATGACCTAATCTCTGTGCAAACTGCTTTTCTTCCTCATCGCGCTTTTCCTCCGACCCCTCCGGAACAGAATCTGTACTTTCAAAGAGTTCCCTCTCTGCTGATACCCGCTCTAAGGACATCGCGGTCCTAGAGTCAACACTTCTCAAAGACAGGGTGGAGGTATTCATCGATCTCGACACAAAGGGCGAAAAGCGCTTCAGACGAAGTCTGTCCACAACTTCCTCGAAGAAAACATCTCCCGAGTCAACCACATAACGCAGCCCAATTCTGTTCTGTTCGTTCTTTTTGGCCTTGTCACCGTCAGATGGTGTTTCGAGCCAAAACTTCTCTATTTCACCCTCCCCAGGGTCCACGTCCCATCGTTGGATTTGAATGCCGTACCGCAGGTCCTCGCCGAAGTCACGAGCCATGGATGCAAGCACGTACCCCTCCTCTTCGTCCTCAAAGTTTGCCGGCGTTGGTTCCACACCGGCCCCACGGCCATCAGTGACAACAACATCTGGATAGCTATCGAATTCCAAAGTCGATCGCGTCACATCACCTTCGAGGTTCACGAAAATACCTACTCCTGGATCGCGTGGTACAGTCCCAGTGACTAAGAGAAATTCTTGTGGTGTTGGAGAGACTATGTGCGGTTTAAGATATACAGGCCCTGAGGCAGCCGTCGCAGTAGGTTGCTCGGCTGATGTACTCTCTGACGGGGCAGGAGGTAGAGGTTTACTAGAATTCGGGCTTGGGTCTCGAGGTGCGGGGTGTGGACTTGTAGCTGGGGCGGGTGAACCTTCTCGGAACAATATATCTGGCGTCTCTCGTCCCGAATTATCTGGACCTCCGCCACGAGGATCAGCCCTACGAGAAGTACCGCCCATGAACGTCCCTAGACTGGTGCTCCGATTGTGACCCCGGTCATTGGGAGAAGCAGAATAGCTACCTTGAGCCGAAGATGCACTTCGTGAGAGACCAGCTCCGACATTGCCTGAAATATCCTCGACACGGCCGCCAATACTGCCGGACTGTGAGTCGTCCAACGAGGAAATGGGAAACAATGGTATTTTGAGCTGACGATCAACATCGAGGAGTGCATAAGATCGTGAATCGGCAACACAAGCAAATGAATCACGGCGTATGGAGAGAGTGCATCCCGCATAATCGATTGTCTAGCATAAGTTAGCCAATTTTTGTAGCTCTTCCCCGCGAGTGTGCCATATCCCATTACCCTGAGCGCTCGAGGTTCATCACCAATCCTGATAACCTTCATCTTCTTATTTAATGATAGTAGCACCGTGACCGAAGGACTTCTGCCATCCTGACCACCCCCATCCTGGTTGGAATTGAGATCAATGCCACCAATCCAATTACAAGACCGGATCTGGGTCGTTCCAAAAACCGGACTCAGCTCCGGGAGGGAGTAGAATGTAACCGTCCAATTGCATAGCACGCACGCCTTGTTGCCCTTTGGGAGGAGCAGGATCTGCTGGACTCCTGGCCTGGTTCCTGTGGGTGAATGATGATAGGCTGGCAGGAGCCTCGAGGCTAGAATGTATGATGGCTTTCCCGACGCATCTTCAGGATCGGGAGGTATTTGCACAAAGTGGAGGATTTCGGAGGCAGAGGTCCCAACATAGAGGTTCTGGTCTGGGCAGAGTCAGCTACTGCACCGGAAATTGCGAAGGCTCTGGGCGCCCAAACAACTTGGCATTCGTCTCACATACCCAGAAACTCCACACAATTGATCTCGATGTCATCTCTATCGCCGTCGGCCGACAACGGTAGGTCCTCGAGCAGACTGCGCAGGACGTATGGCCCCGTTTCCAGCGAGGTGCGCGGCCTTGTCCTCGAGCTTGAAACCTCCTCCGGCTCTCTGTCATCCATGTTTTGAGGAGGCGCCCTAAAGTCAATACTCTTTCATGACTTAAGGTTAAGTAGCAGAGCCCCAGGCATTGCGCCGCATGGTTGTTGGTTGATGGTCGAGCCGGCGATCCTGGGAGGTTGCCTTGGTTAGAGAAGGCTGAAGTGGCAGGGATCCTATGCGGCCCGCGTCTTGAATAGCTCCTCTGAGGCTCCATAGTAAAAGTACCTTGCAACATTTATTTCAACAACTACAACTATTTCCAGGCAGCATAAAGATATTCTTTACATGTATTAAGATAATCTTGGTCACAAACATGCTTCGCATTGTTCAAACGTGAGAAGCATTATTTCGTATAGTAAACCGAGCCGTCCTCGATATCTAACCAGCAAGTACTCCCCTCTTCCTCCTCTCCCTCCAAAGTCCTCCTGTACTTATCTTGCCCTCTAGATCCAACAGTTCCCCGCTTTTCTCTTTATTTATATGGCAATTCTCAACCTCTTCTTCATTCTTCACCATCTACGATGATTAGTTACGCCTGGAAGAACCTTCTTCTATCATACCCAGGCGTATTGGGTGAAGATAGGTATCCTTAACATACGGGTGCCAGCTTGGACACATCGGCCCTGGCCAATTCCTACTGCCCCCGAATTAATTACCCTCCAACTGCACGCAGACTTACAACTTCGCCGCGTACGCCATATACGCCCTACCTTTCCATTTCATATCTTCACGACTTGGCCTGGCCTCCAAGCATGATAGTGGTTACCGTCGCATACACCACCTCTCCCACTTCCGGGGTCCTCATTTAACGACTATATCAGCCCTGAATGCGCTACTCTGACATACACGTCTGTTGCTGATATTTTCAATCTGATACTGATTGGAGGCCGTGGAGACACTATCATCAAAAGAGGTATCAAACACGCCTTCCGCCATATCCCTGTGGCACCCAACTGGCAATGGCTTCTTGGCTTTGAGTGGCATTTCCAGTATACCAATATTACCAAGAGGCCTGCCTCCCCTTTGGGCTTGATACGGCCTCACTCATTTTCAACCTCTTCGCAGAAGCGCTACACTGGATTCTACAGACTTTCCTAGGCCTCCGCTTCCTAGCACGCTACCTTGGTGACTTTATGGCTATTATCCGAGTATCGATTGCTACCCCAGGTCATGTTCAACAAACCAAGTGCCAACATATATGGCTCACCGATTACCTGGGTGTGATACGCAACGATTCAAAACGTGGACGGAACTTTTGGACCTTGCTTGGAAGTGAATTTGACACCCTTACAATGGAGGCCGACCCCCAGTCCGTCAAGGCTCCAAGCTATGAACACGCACAGCTCCTCTATTTCGGCCTAGATCCAAAACCACGAGGTATGTACAAATCGGCCGTGCAAAATCATATCTTGTATTGCTCTATGAGCTCCCTGGAAGCTGGCCACCAACAGTCGCCTCCTTGCCTTAGGCGGCTGGATAACTGCGAGTCACGGGGAGCTCTCTACAAGAATCCACCCAGATAAAGCCCCAAACAGTAGAGAGCTACCTGTCCTCGGTGAGATCTTACTGTGTTGACCGCAATTGGGACACTTCCATTTTTCACAACGCCCATATACGTCGTCTTCTCAAGGAGGCCAAAAGCCTCTACCGCTCTACCAAAAAGGACCGGCCCCGTGGCGACGTCCAATTCGCTCCGAACTTTGAGTCTCTAACCCTCACACTCAAGTCAAGCAAGACCGACGTCGAAGACACTGGCGTACGTATCATCATTGCCCAAGTAAGGACCCCACTTTATGTGGGCTATGCTGGCGCTCTTCCAGAGGGACCCTCAGCCTCCGAACAACCCTCTGTTCAACTTGGGCACCGGCAAAGGTTTTACCAAGAAAGCTTCAGAACAGCTATGTCCAAGCTTCCTCGAAACAGGCTGTAACCCCCGCAACTGGACTGGTCACAGCTTCCGTCGCGGGGCGGCCCAGCATATCTCCGATTTTGGCATGCTGCACCATGAGATTCGGTTGTTGGGTCGGTGGTCCTCGGACGCCTTCAAGCTTTACTTTACAGCGACACCACGCCAGCGCCAGCTAAATGCTATGGCATCCCCATTGTACAACACTGACACGTTCCCTACGCTGGCTCCCCCACTGCCACTGGCCTGAAAAGCATCCCTGGGGTTAGTGGGTGCGAGTGTATCCCCAGCCGAGTGAAAGTGCTCTATTTTTATGAAAGTAGGGACGGATCCCCGTATATATAGTGTTTCTAACGAGTGTGATTTGAATCGAATAGTGAGCTGGATTTGAATAAGTCCTTGAAACGCCGAAGAATCGTTGACGAACCCTTGAAGAGCTGAAGAAAGTAAGCTGGAAGGCTCTGGATTCGGTATTGCCGCAACAACAAGCCGTCAAAAGTTACGCGGCTTATACAATGAGTCCACTTTCCCTGCAACATACACTATTATATCACCCTTAAAGAAGCTACTTCGTGTAGGATATGGTTGCGTTATCATCAGGAGACTTCAGATATTCGACGAGATACCTGGTTGGATCTTTTCCAGCTTCTGGAGAAGCTCGTTGAAAAACTTCTTCTGTACCTGTTGACCCCATTTTCCGGTGACGTGGCGTGCAGGGCTTTAAGTGGCAGTTAGGCAAAGGTAACGTAACAAAAATGGCGTGGAAATACTTACATCTCGACATGGCAGTCTGATATATACTGGCCATTGCTTTCTTGGCCCGCCAGCAGACCGTGAACCAGAGCGCGGCTACCTTCTTCAGTGGAGCGGGCTAAGAGCTTCTCCATAATTCTAAATCCGTAGTTTTCTTGTTCTTCGCTTGCCAAGTTGGACTTGCAGAAACTTGGATTCGGCGTGTTGATGATGCATGATCCCCTGCCCGAGGAGCGGGACCTCTCAGCGAGCTCACGCACAGCGTAGATAACGAGCAATTTGCTCAGAGGGTATCGACCAGCCATGTCAGCTTTCTGGGGATCGTTCAGCCGGTCAATGATGCTTTGGTTGTTAGGATCTAGCTCTGCTAGTGGGGCCATATAATGTAACGCGCTGTTGGGGATCACATAGCGGCAGATATGTCCTGTCTGCTGCCCGGATTCGCGCATTTTCGGCAGGAGAAGCAGATACAACAAAAAGGTACTGATGACGTTGACATTGAGAGTCTTTTCGTTGAGTTCACTCAAGCCAAAATTGGTGGTCATGATACCAGCGTTGGCTAACACGCCATCAAGGCGTGGAAGCTGAGAGGCACGAGCCGCGAAATCCTTGATGGAATCGTAGCTGTCCATATCGATGGGCCAAACTTCAATAGACGACTCTGGTCGACTAGTTGAATTGAGAATCCTTTTCTTCGCGTCGGCGCCTTTGGCAGGAGTCCGTACAGCCATGATCAACTTTCCTACTCCGAGTCGTGATAAGTGACGGCTGGCTTCAAATCCAAGGCCAGTGTTAGCGCCGGTCACAATGAAGGTTTGATTTGACAGCTCTGAATTTCCAATCGGGACGGGGAGCTTCACGAAAAGGTTTGAAATGATGACGGAGCTAGTCCCGTGAATTGCTGAGCGGACAGACATGGCGGCCTGTGAGTTTGGATTCTTGCCGAAGGTATATCAAGAGTCTTTGAGTTTAGAGGAGCCGAGATAAATGAGAAATATGCCAGGAAGCCATTTTATATTACCTTGGCTTATGAAGGAGGGGCACTCACTTGAGCATTTCAACTTACACGGACTTAATATGTCCTTTGGTTAGCCATATGTGCAACATCAACACAAAACTTGGAGGGGAACTGAAGGACGCTGATTGTTTCGGGGGTAGCACACTGGATCTCTGTCTGCTCGGCGGAGTTAATATCTCCGCGACCTTGTGCCTTGCCACCAGGTACAGGCACTGACATCTTCCAGTTGCAAAGCTTCTTACCACCCGCTCATATAATTGTCGTGTGGGAAAAACGAAACTTTAGACAGCAATTTTGTCTACGCTTCTATGGCTACCATGGATGCGGGCCTTAGGAAGGTGGAAAAACGAAATCGGCCGCCTGTTTCCTGCGAGCCATGTCGGACTCGAAAGTATACTAAATTCCTGTCCCCCGAATATCACGGCCAAGACGTGCTCACATATGTATCTACAGACTGAAGTGTAATCGCGGTTTGCCATGCGATGCCTGCAAGAGGAGAGACAAGTCTTCACTTTGTAACTATACGGCCAATGCCAGTCGAAGCAAACCTGGACCCTCCAAACCGCGCGATATAAAAGACAGACTGAACGCCCTTGAGAATTTAGTGTCTTCCTTTCTGTCTGGCGACGCGGTCATCCAACCTGGGCTACTTAGTGAAAGTGAACCCACCATAGAAGACGGTGAGATTATCGCATCATCAGCCGAACACGACAATTGGTCTGCAAAGCAGGGTTCAGCTCTTAGCAGTTCAGATAGAGCAGAAAATGTGCTTACCCCAGAAGCCCCTCATCTTCAGGAGACTGGCGACGGTCAAGTAAACTACATTGACCCTAGCCATTGGCTGTCGATCTTGGACGACATCAAGGAGGTTCGAGAGCACTTATCCGTGTCAAATCAACCTATATCACAGAACAAGACACGTTTTGATATGGATCACATGGTATCAGACGCCAGTCTTCTATTTGGCTCAAACCATAGTTCGAGCCTTGACGACATTCTAAGCTCGTTGCCATCTCAACCCATATGCGATATGCTACTCTCTTGGTATTTTAATTCCCGGTTCATGGTTCTAGGTAAGATAAAGACATCCAACGTCAGCTGAATTGTGCCATTAACTCGGACGCCTGCCAAGGCATTATACATCCAGCCAAATTTCAAGATGAGGTAAGTCTTACACTTTTGTCACATATGCGGCAGTAACTCACAGAGGGTCTATAGTATGCAGCATTCTGGGAGTCACCGTCGACAGCACCGCCGCTTTGGACAGCCCTTCTGTTCTCTGTTCTCAGCATCACAGCAAGCCTTCGCCGGATATCGAACATAATAGACCCCGATGGGTCGATCCCCTCGATAAGGGTACTACAACAAAGAGTAGTACAGTGTCTCGTTCTTGGGCGTTATGCCACCGCTAATGCACATGCACTTGAGGCGCTTATACTCCATCTCCAGAGTTGTTTTTTGAGCAACGACGCTCTCCCTGTCGATCTGTGGTTTGAAATGGGCACCATTATTCGATTAGCATTTCGCATGGGTTATCACCGTGACCCAAGCAGCCTAGCTGGAATCTCTCCTTTCAACGGCGAGATGCGGCGACGAGTATGGCTTAACATATTCCAAGTGGATGCATTGATGTCTTTCCAAATGGGGTTCCCAAGCATGATACCAACTGAGTTCTGCGACACTGAGGTCCCGAGAAACTTGGAGTACTCTGATCTCTATGTTGACATGACAGCACTGCCACCATCGAGGCCTCTTTCTGAGCACACGCCGGTTCTTTACACTATTGTCAAAGCCGGCGTGATGGGCGTCTTCAAAAAGATTGTTGCCCATACACAGTCGCTCTCAATTCCGGCTTACGAAAAAACAATTGTGCTAGATACTGAAATGAACCAGGTATACAGCATGGTCCCGGACCCCTTGAAGCGACGAGATGTCAACCGCTCCTTCATAGACCACTCTTCTCTTATATTTCAACGCTGCACAATAGAGCTCCTTTACCTAAAGGGACTCATCGTCCTTCACCGACGATACATCAGTTATGAACTACAAAGCCCTAGCTTCGAACCCTCACGGTACGCTTGCGTTGTAGCAGCTCTCGATATTCTTTCCCGCCAGGCAGATCTGCACAAGGCATGTGAGTCCGGGGGGCGGTTATACGAGGACCGGTGGATGATCTTTTCATTGCCCGTACATGATTTTCTTTTGGCCGCCATGGTGATCTGTCTGGATCTATCCGTCCGCATGCGATCCCCAAGGGGAGCCTCAAGCGAAGTAGGGGATTATTCGCAGCTTGCTGGCAGAGAGTACCGAGCCCTCCAGACGTCTCAACGAATATGGGCACTTAACAGTGTAGCTTCTCCTGAGGCGCACATTGCAGCACTCGCCCTTGATCTGATGATCAAAAAGGTGGCAGAGAACGACGTTGGTCTTTTCGCCCTGCATGATGTTTCATCTGTGGACACAGATCTAGTTGTCGATTCAGAGCTGCCTTACGCAGATGCTATGTCACAGATGATCGACGGATCTGAGAGCATCGACTGGGTGAGTTCACAAGAACCAGGCAGAACATGGCAACTAGCCTTCTGATCAAAGCAATAGGGTTTATTGGACCAGTATCTCCAAACCACGGATGCCACGATCACAGATGCCGCAATTGAGAATGTGTGTCATCTGTAGATGACGGGACGCCTATTAAACTCAATATCTATCCGATATCACTATCCTACGACATTCTAACAAGCGTTTTCCTTGGTATTACTGAAGCAATACTATCTAGGATGTTGGACATCCGCTTATAAACATTTAGAAAAAAGTCTAAACCACCTCGATGCCTAGGAACCAGACGGAAAGGACCAAACTGCTTTACTCCGGGTTGTAGGGAGTAGACACCTGTAGACAACCACCTACTCTTGAGGTCGTATTAATGTGTTAACAAAGATTAGTGATGAACGTAGTGCGCTTTCATGGGCTTGTGACGAAGCTGATACAGTTGGATTGACGCCTGTGGCGTGAACTCTGCTTGAATACTGCTCTAAAATTGTACAGCTAGGTACTAAGGTAGATATAATGGATCCTGATGCTAGTCGTATATCAGAATTATTAGTTCTAAGTTCATACTAGTGAATCTAGTTGGGTGTTTGTTGGTATTCGCCCGGTTGCTATCGTCCTTGTCCTTGATATCTTTCCACCAAGTATTCCCCTGTTCTCCTTAACCTAAACTGTCCTCCTGGTATTCCAAAAACGCCTATTCCCGGACTGCAAAGCATTCTAAATGGAGTTTTACACACTCTCACCCTTAGCATCCCCTCCGCCAACCATTCCCACAACTCGTTCCAGGTCCTCCACTTCACCTTTCCCAAGTCGCCTTCCTTCTTTTTGCCATTCGCCATCTATAACCTCTCCCATCTCGCCCAATTCCAGGCCCCGTACGTTCTCCAGGTGCCTTCTTGTCTCCTTTTCCACGAATTCTAATCTCTGCCTCCTCCAGCTCTTTTCTTCCTCCCCAACCAGACCCTGCTTGTCGTCACCATTTGCCAAGTTCTTTAGCCGCGGTTTCAAGTTCTGCAGTAATGCCTTCAAAGCCGGCAATTGTGATAATGCGAATGAGGCAGTTGTGCTGATGGGATGCGATCCATCGCCCGTCAAATCACCCCTATTCTGCAAGAACGCAAAAGTAGGATATTCCGGCTCTGCATCATCCTTGGGCTCCGTTTTTGGGACTTGGTTGGAAAGCAACGCCTTCAGTGATGAGATCGTAGCTTCATTTTTCGCTGTTTCGGCCAGCAGCAACGAATGCAACTTCTGTGTCTCCCTCAGTTTCCTCCGCTGGAGCGCAATCGACTCACTACTCGGCGCATCGGCGTCGTGTGTAAAGTTCAATCCCTCGTAATGACTCAACCGTACCCAGTTCCTGACTTCCGGGGGCACGCTCAAGACGTTCCTCAATGCCCACACCTCTAATTTATCAAAATTCTTGTCGATTTTGGCCTCGAGCAGCGTTTCTAGTTGATGCACCCCGTTCTCGATCTCGAGCTTCGCTTTCTCTTGGATCGCTATGGCGGCTTCTTCGGCTTCGGGAGAGGTTTGAGGGGGGATTTGAAAGCCTAGATTGGCTGGGTCGGCGGAGAGGAGGCCTTTCTCGACGGCATCGGTCGCTTTGAACGCGAGGGTGTTTATGCTATTTATTATATCATCGATCAAGGCCTTTTCGCAGATAGTCAGCATGTATAGAGTAGCAAAAGGCTGGACGAATGGTAACTGACCGCTGGTCTATAGGTTAAATGCTCTGTCAAGAGCGTTGTATCTGAAGTGATCGGCGCGCTCATTGTTGTAGCTAACAGGTTTTGCGCCCACAGTCAAGGAAGGACAGGAAAATATCCAATTTCAAAGAATTGGCCGCGTTAAAGAGGTCAGTTAAAGGGCCATAAATATCGGTGTTCTCTTTACTCATAGGGATGCTATGGGAGGTTGTTGTGAGGCCTGGTTGCTGACTGCAATTGCTGACTGCAAACAAGCGGGAAGACGCGCTGCCGCGTTCTAACCCCGTGACTTTCCCCTTCTGTGACGAGGGGGATTTGTGATAAGGGAAGCCGGCAGAATAGCTCGCCGCCAACCACCTTATCGTACCTTACCTTAAGGTACCTGTACCTCACTGTTTAGGTTCTACAAAGATCCTGCACAGAATTTTGCGATGTGCGACAAAACCTTCCGATAACCTGGGGTACTACTTCACGTGCCTTATCCTACAGGTAGGTTCTTCAAGGGACTCTCAGAGATTTTTGCGATGTGCAACAAAAAGGGCTGTCTCGCCTGATAATCCAGGGCACTGTATTTCAAGTTGCCACTCTTCCAAGCTTTGCGATTGTGCTACAGAACCTTTCTTCTCACGTGCCAATGAAGTACTTCACCTCCTCACTACTCCCGGCCTTCCTCAAACCCCATATGCGATCACCCAGATCAGCAATCTTTAGTTTAATGCAACGCCAAAGCATTGTTTCCCTTGGCAAAGGCTTGAAACCTCGCGACTTCAAGCTCAGACCAAATGCCCCACTCCTCTCCCAATCCTCACCAGGATTATGAGAATCACGAGAATCATCATATGGTCTTCTCCACCCGTCACAACATCTCTCAAGATCCCTACCTATTCCCTACCTATTCCCTATTCCTCTCCCACGCAGGAGACCGAGCACTGTTCAAGGTTTCCGGGACTTAAACCAACTGTTGGCGTTCGAGTCTGATACTCGAAGCTCTGTCGAGTTCGACTCCTGCATATGCCGCTGTTCGAAACCCCGATCCCTCGTGATAACCTTGGTAAACGAGATACCTAGGGATGTGGGTAGGTAGATAGGTAAGTACGTAGGTACCTAGGCAATGTTTTGTTTCTGCTGTCAAAACACACAAGCATGCATGCTGTGCCCTCTCAGTGATAAAGGGGTACAGTACACTATCCGAGCAAACCCCCGCCTTCCCCAAGTCTTATCGTTCGCCTGCCGCCCCCCGGTCGTTTGATCACCCCGCTCTGTCATGAACGTGTGTAGTTTCAGAATATGCGGAGCTGTAATGATTCCTAGAAGAAGAATGTAAGCCTCACCAAGATTTGCATTGTTATCAAGGATGTGATGCTTTGATGTCGACTGGGTATGATGAAAAGTTTGGCCGCGTCTTCGGAGTGGCTTTTGAGAGGGGTGAGGTTTCGTGTGTGTGCGTGTGCAAGCAAACGCGGCATCTAGATAAGCAGACAATATATAAGCCAAGATGGTGTTTCAAAGTATGTCACTCGACTTCACCAGGTACGATGTGATATCTGCTGTGACGGCAGTGCCAATAATTCCCATGCATTAGTTCTGCCCATTTCTACCAAAGCCCCAAGTGAACAATTACAATCATTTCAGCCGTTTTTATCCTCTTTGCTGATCCAGCCAGGAACCCAAATCGTAACAGCATATAGATAATATTGCCCCTAAACGCCACATAGCCAGCGAAGCCCCCAGGGGTATGTGAAGTGAACCAAACAAGTCTTCTACCAACCGTCTAGTATTTTCTAGGCCTTCTTAAAGAACCAATACCTGTACCAATAGTCAGTTGATGTGAATGCATAACATGAATGGATGACTTACTCAGCAGCGTATTGTACCTCAAAAGCAGCAGGCATCCCGGCGCAAGTCGCCGGTGGATTTCCTCCAGCGGTGTTGACTCGGTAAACTTCTTCCAAGTCACCAGTAGCCCCATCTTCTGCGATCAGCTTCAACCAAGCAACCGATCCATGGCCAACGCCACCCTGTCCCTGGGGCGAGCCTGCTGGAGCTGGGACGGAATTGTTCTTTGAACAAGGTGCGAAACCTATGTCCATCGCTGCTGTGTCAAGGTTGAATGTGGGGGTAGTGAGGTTTTGGAAGTAGTGGTGACCGCTGATGAGGAGGTTGGTTGGTGATAGAGAGGCTTGGTTTACATCAGTGAGATCAAATTGAAGAGCCACATTTGGAAGGACAGAGAGAAGATCGGGATAAGTTGATGCCACGCATGTTGAGTTGTAGAGGGTTGCCATGGCGCCGACAGCGAACGGTGCGGCGCTCGCATCCGTACCACAAGTGTAGTTTTGGGTCCCTCGACCGATGGCCACATGCTTCAATGTGAGGCCTGCAGATGGTGGTGGTAGAGGGGTTGTGGCTATTGGAAGTGGCTATATTAGTTTCTGATAAAGAACTTATGCCGCTGAAATGACTTACAAGCAACTGGCATAACGGCTTTGCTAAGATCGCACACAGGCGCCTCTGCCATATTCTTCCCTGCTTGGACTTTGGATGCCAACATTTGAAAGTACTCTGATAACACTCCCATCTCCGCGGATCGCTCAGCGGCTCCGGTCGAGTAGGGATAGGTCGGGGCGGAAAGAGCAACGGCGTACAGCGCAGCGGCTACCCATAATCTGGAGAACATGCTGAGGGTCGGGGTGAAAGAAGTAAGAAAAAAATGATGGGAACAAGGTGGGGGATAAATACGAAGAATGGAAATGGAAATAGAAGAGAAGAAAGGAGAAAGGAGAAAGAAATGCCGAACAGGAACAGGAGGGAAGAAGAATGGAAGAGGGAGGATATATAGATGAGAGAGTGTGCAGATCGTAGATATATATGATTGACAGGGGCACAGACGACCACACTGGTGGGATTCGAGGTACTCTTATACTTTGATAGACTGATATCAGAAACGGGGAGCCCTGGGCCCATCATCTTTGGCAGGCCACTGCAGAATGCAGATTTGCGAGATCTAATTCAAGAACAAGACAGCCGCTTGTCAGGGCCCGCGGGGGGCGGCAGCGGTCGAGGCCGCCTAGTCCACATAAGGATGGTTACTGTTAGCCGAGCGGTTCATGACCCGTGTTAGCTGTTTTAGTATTGGTCGTTCCAAAAAAAGCCCAGGGCAGACGCCATAGCCATGATGATTGGCCTAGATTTCTCCAAGGCCGTCGCGTGTAGCAGGGGACAGGTTCACGAAGCGGCCTAAGCGGTCTAGAAGATCCAGCTACCCTGCTTACTCCGCTACACTGTACTCGAGTACTCCCCGTAAGAATAGATCTGCGCCATGCGTATCACCACTCCCGAGGGGCAGAAACACTTCGCGTCTGGAATTCTGCAGTGGTCTGCAGACTGTTCGCGACTTGCGAGATTGCGGATGTCTTTATTGACAGACTTCTTTTGAGACTTGAGACTCGAGTATGTCACTGTTGTTTCCGTAGTCGATGACCTACAAACATTTGTGTATATCTATGTACCTACCTATAGGAACTCCTCAGTGACAGTACTCAGCCTGACCGTTAATGAAAGAGAGGAACCCTGACCTGGCCATTCTGTCAAGGATATCGAAGCGCGTCATTCTTCAGCGCCCAGAATAGTCCTAGTGCAAACGCCTCGGCGGCTACGACGCATGGAAGGCGTCCGTCGGGCTTCCAAAATTTTGATAATAATAGAGACCTAGGTAGTAGGTAGGCAGCTTAGTATAAAAGATATAACAATAAGAATCTAGAGTTTGTTATCATTGCCCCAGCTGGTTAGGAAGTCTCTCGCCGCGCTTTCTGTCCGTTTCAGAGGCTAGGTCACGTGCACTGAGCCTCCAGTACCAATGCCCTGAAAACCTGCGAACCATTGAAGATAATAACCGTATCCTAGGAGATGTATCATTCAGCCTGACCTTTACAATCTGACAAGAGAGATTTGAGAATGATTGCCTCTGGCGGGAAGCCACAGCGAATAGCAGCCAGGAGGAGCCGTTTCGGCAATTGAAAGTGCGCGCGCGAGGCTATGGGAATATTCCCGAGGCTGGGAGGCTTGATTGGTTTCAGCGATCCAAGGCTTCAGCCCTTGATGAACATTGGCTCGTGGTCGAGTCGCTCTCAATCACCCAGGCGTGCTGTGCTACATTCCTAATCGAAGAATAGTCGGGTGGAAATAGAAGGACTGTGTAAAAGGGGAGGGCGTGTCGCGTCGCTTGTTACCGTAGTCTGTATTAATAGAATCCTTCCACAGAAAAGCCCACGCGTGGCCCGGCTGACTGGGCTGTCAAAGACTCGGAGGAATCTACGCGCTGCAAACCTTGGTTGAGGCGTTAGGAGCTATTTCTGCAACCATGGCAGAACGGCCAGAACGCGACGAGAGCATCGTCGACCTGCTCGCCGACTTGGAAAACGGTAAGACACGCGTCGTCCCTACGCCATCAAGTACTATTCCGTGCACGAGCGCTTACACCCGTTATAGCTGCTTCGATACCTGCAAAGCAGAGAGCCGTCAAGGTTTCAGGCGTCGTGGAAAGGGTCTGCTCGTACGCATATGAACATGGCCTCCCCAATGCATCCCTGGATCAGCTTGTCGACATTATCACTCGACCCCATCAACTCGACCAAGGGAGCCTTGGCAGCCTGATCAGGAATCTGTATCCCGCGAGCAAAGTTCCAGATGGCATCGTTGTCAAGGTTCTCAGCAGCCTCGGTCATGGTAGGGCCAAACCTTCCTATTCAACCCAAGCAGCCCTGTTAAAGTGGTTGGTCATGGTTTATGATGTCCTCGAAAACCAGAGAGTATTATCACGTCTCTACAGTGTCCTGTTTAATCTCCTTGATACCATTGCCATTAGGTATGCCCCATTTGATGCTTCTGAGAGCAATGCTCACTACCTTATTCCAGACCCCAATTATGTCACGTGCTATCCCTGATCACACGGCGCAAGCATGTCAGGCCATTCAGGATTCAAGTACTGTGAGTTTATGGATCTGAAAAGAGTCTATCACGTCGATGCTAATGGGTTTGAAGCATGGAGTTGACACGGCAGGCGGGGAACGACCCACCCCTTGTTGGACTGATGAGGGTCTACAAGGACTATTATCCAGATGTGATTGTAGGTGAGGTGACTTCTGGACGGGCGTCAGTATTCACGGTAAGCCGCTCAAGCGTTCTCGATGGAATACTTTTCTAAACGAGGCTCAGCATCCAAACCATGAATGGCGTCAAAGACTTGGGGAAATACAAGAGACCCACCTGAAGAAAACACAAGACACTCTACCGCCTGAACAGCGGAGTTTCAGGGTCACTCGGAGAACAGCGAGAGGAAAGCATAGCACATCTTCTCTGATACCAGAAGTGCACACCTCGCATGCTCAGGAGGTAAGTGGGCCATGTCTATTAACTTGATTATGAGCTAACAATATAGTCGTCCGTCACTCTAGAGGAGATTGAAAATGTGAGCGATTTTGTGCGGCACCTTGAGAGGATCGAGTTGCCGAATCAATTGGTGGCAGCTATAGGTGATCCTCTATTACAGAAGTTCCTACAGCTTAAATCCTCAGAAAGCACCGCGCGGCGGATCGACAACTGGCTGTTAGCATTCTTCGAGGATCAGCTGGAAAATCCAAGTTCGGCTGAGGGCAACATTCTGGACATGCTTGAAGCAATTCGAGAGTACACACGATATACAAAGGTATACTCTCTGCAGGATGCTCCGTAGCTGATGCTGATGGGTCTTAGCGACTGCCGCCGGCTTGTTTAACATACCTCAAGTCCATGATTTCTTCTTGGGATGGTTCCACAGGTCGACAGATCATTCTCGATCTTCTAGCTTATGTTCCTATAGGTCCATTTGAAGGTACGTACCCTGAAACAGCCACGAAGACTACCACTGACACATCTAGAACTTTACCAGAGTCTTTTTGAACCACTCGAAGAGGCTATCTTGGACAATTCGACCGAGTCAAAACTTGCTATCCTTACCTTCTATACTAATATTCTTCGCCAGTGGACAACATCTCTCATCTCCCAAGATCAACAGTCCCCCCAAGACGGGCCGGCTATCAGTTCTCTGATAGACCACGCCAACGTCCTCGCCCTCACCATTCTCCAAAGCTCCTTAACCATCACCACTTGCTCAACAGTCCTCACTTTCTACGAGACCATCGCGTCTCTCCTTTCCCATCCCGAAGCAAGCGCTACAGCCCGCATCATCATCCCCCCCACCGAATTGATCTACACCCTCTTCTTCACCCCCTCCCTCAGCACGCTCAGCCGCCTCTGCTCCATCCTCGCCTTCTACAAGCGCGCCTTCGAACACGCCATGTCCTCCACCAAGTCCCCCGTCCCCGATCCCCCGCCCTACCCCCGCGAATACGTCAACCATTTCAACGGCTTCCTCATGGACATCTGCAACTGCATCTGGCGGTCTCGCGCCTTCAACACGTCGGATACCAACGCTCTCGGCTGCCTCCTGCCCGCGCCCACCACCGCCCTCCTCGCGCGCTACGTCGCCGGCCTCGACACCTCGCTCTCCCTCCCGGCCCTGTTCAGCCTCTCCTTCTCCCCCGTCCTCTGCCGTCCCGCCATCGCCTACGTGCGCGAGCTCGAGGATCAGGCGGACCCGAGCACCATCGAGGTCCGCCATGCGGGCCCCGTGACCCAGGCCTCGTTGAGGCAGCTCGAGCGCGATGCCGGCCTGAGGCTGTCGTGGGCCGATTATCGACTGGGCGTGTTGCGGCACCTGGAGAAGAGCGGCGTCGTTGGCGTGGGGGAGTTGATGTACAATACTATGAAACACTTGATGACTGCGAGGGAGAACATGGCTTAGGATTGGAGTTAAATGTGTTTGGTTGGTTGGTGCGGCAGATACTAGTCGATTTGACTGCGCTTCAGATTCATGATAATCTCAGGTACCTTAAACATATTGCGCCGCTGTTCACGAGTACCTTATATGCATACCCGAGATCCTCGATATTCCGAAACGGAAGATCTCATCCTTGTATGTAAAAAGTCCAACATGCGATGAAATTGCTCTTGCAACTATCCTTAGGTATTTTTATCATTCAAACCCCGTTCTAGCGGCACACACACACGCCCAACTCCCAAAAAAAACCATGGCAACAGAAAAAGACCAGATACCCTCCGTAGCTAGAAGAAGGACGCTCCGACTAGACTCCGTCCCTCGCTAATCACACTACGCATATCGTACAAAATCATGCCCTCGACCGCCTCCCGCTCCAAGGGCGGAGACGGGCCTATAACTCTCTGCCCGCATCGGACACGACCGAGGCAGCGCCCACGCTCCCGGCGTGGGCAGCGAGCGTCTCTTTAACCTTCTCGAGCAGAATGGTGGTGGTAGCGCTCTCCAGCATGGGTTGGACGGCAGCCCTGGCGCTCTCCTCGCCGTTGTAGTAGAACCAGGCGCGGTTGGTGAGGAAGGCGAGATGTTGTGGCAGATACAGGGTCATGGCGATGATGATCATGCTGAAGAAGAGGAAGAGGAAAGAATCTAAGGCGGTTCTGGTGAGTAGGGGTATATATATATTTTTTTTCTTCCGTCTTGGGAGGGGGGGGCGAGTGGGAGGGCGAGGTGGCGGCGGAGCACGCGATCAGACAAAAGGGGCAAGAGAGGGCTTTTGGCGAAGGCGGTATTGTGTTCGGTATGGCATGGAGGGCTTACTGAAGATGAATTTCTCGGTCGGCGTCAACATGTAGAGGGAGAAGGTGACCTGCGGGCTGTCAGGATCTGCGGCTCAAGGACTAGAGGCGGGAGGGCAAACCTCGTACTGATAGCGCTTCCTCTGCAGCCAGCGGAAGGTGGAGGCGAACATGGACATGGCGGTGGGAGAATTTCGTGAGGCAGGGGGGGCGAGAGGAGTGAGGTTCTGGGGTTGAGAGAAGACGAAGATTCGACACAGTGAGGCTGTAGATAACTGAGGTGGGAGGGCGAAAAGAAAAAGAGAAGATGGAGATGGAGATGGAGACGGAGAAAGAGAAAGAGAAAGGGAGTGACAATGGGGGTTTGGACCTTTCGCAGGGGGGGGGGAAGAGGTCGAGCAGCACGAGGGAGGGAGGGAGAGGAGACTCGTGGAGCTTGTCCGTTGTGGGGAAGATTCGAATCAATCAATCGGGGAGACTGCGCGTCCTCTCTCCGAAGCAGCGTCACTGACCAGCGTTGGCCAGCGCAGTAACTGTCCCAGTCGTGTACATCGTGGTCCTAGTGTGCCTGAAACGGGCCTAGCCCCGACGGCACGGGACCCTGTGCCTGTGCACTGCCCTGTTGCCGCTGTCTGCATAACTAACCGATCGTGTATAAGTCAGTGTTCCCAAGGGAATAATGAACCTTGCATAACCTCGTTGATCCCGCCAGCCTCGGTACCTTACCCACTAGCCTCCACGCGGTTAACCTTCTAAGTTACGGTCCTTGGCCAGAGACAGAGCCAGAGCCCAGAGTCCAGACAACTCAACACGGCTAACCTCATCCACACCATGTACCATGATCCGAGCCATTCTCCCTGCCCTTAGAAGCGCTCGACGTCGTGTCTCCGATCATGTCCTGACCGCATCCGTCCCCCGACGCGCCCTTGCGGTGTCCACGCCAGCATGCGCCAAGAAGATGCCCGATCGCCCCGCGCCTCTGAGTGAGGACGAGTTCACCGAGGCCTTTCTCAAGGGCAGCGGTCCTGGAGGCCAGAAGATCGTGAGTGCCGCTTAATACTATTCCCCTCTTGTGAACCCCGGACATGAGGTTAGAGGGGCGTTTGGCTAACGGACAGCCGAAAACAGAACAAGACCTCCTCGGCCGTCCAGTTGAAGCACATCCCCACCGGCCTCGTTCTCAAAGTGCAGGCCACACGATCGCGGACCCAGAACAGGAAGCTGGCGAGGCAGCTGCTGGCAGAGCGCGTGGAGCTCCTAGAGAAGGGCAAAGAGAGTAGGGCTGCGGTGGTCGCGGAGACAAAGAGGAAGAAGAAGAGCAGCGCCGTGAAGAAGAGTAAGAGGAAATATCGCCTCTTGGAGGAAGCCAAGGCCAAGGAGGCTGCTGAGAAGGGTGCCCCTGGAGAGGATGAGAAGCAAGGGCCTTGATAGAGCATTCGGGGATGGCCATGGCCAACCCGAGGCTCTGTCGGATAACCCAAAGCACAGCGGCGTCTAGATGACAATGATTTGCTCCCGTGGATCCGCGTCTCAATTACCTGCCGTCAATGTCTTGACAATTCCCAGCCAGCCGGATACAATCAAGCTGCTGGAGAGACCTGGAGTCTAAGGCAATACGCGGAAAGCAGAATACGCGGAAAGCAGAGGGGTGATGGTGATGGTTCAAGGCTCCGGGAGTTTATGTCTGTAGATGCTCCATTCGAAGTTGCTCAATGTATCACAGATTTTGTCGACAAATTCTTGATTGTCGTGCACCAAGGCTGTGTGAGTACCAGGTAGGTGCCATCGAGGATTGTGAGTGACTGGAACGAACTCAGCAATTGGCCTCTTGCATTTCAACGCTAGTGGTGTTGTTCAATTACAAGAGATCCCGCTCAACTCGGTGATTCAGCCTGCACTTTCAAAGAAACTCCTTCAAGTAACAAATAGATACTAGGCAGCATTTCCCTTCATTGGCTCATACATATTCTTCGTTATGTCCTCGGGTTCAAATTTACACACTATACGCCCAATGAATCCGTCCTTCCCCTGATATCCAAGTCTCAGGCTAGCCATTAATCATTAATCCCGCGTCTATGTACACCTCTATCCAATAAGCTGGTAACCAAAACACCAGACAGAAAGGGTCCTTCAATCCGAACCAGAGTCGAAGTCAGAGTCAGTCTCTCTAAACAAAACGAACTCGAATCTGCCATCCACTTTCGCCACGATTCTCTCTTGGATCGTGGCCTTCTGTCTATCGCTGAGGTCATAGTCCAGCCTCTGGCTCATCACCGACAGGACAAGTCCTTGATTCGTCGGTTGGAGAGTCGAGATATAGTCGAGGAGGCCATCGTAAGTAAAGGACGTGACGGCGTGAGCATTGAGTGCGCGAAGGTGACGGAGACCCGAAATGGAAGGCCATATGGCATCCGTCACATCGTAGCCGCTGAACGAGAACTTCTCCAGATTCGGCAGACTCGACGCAAGTCGACTGATTTCAGGGCTGCGGAAATAGTCCGATGTTTCACACAGGTCTAGCTCTGTGAGGTTGGTTAGTTGTGAGATGCAGGACACCAACGTGTCGATATCATCCCGGAAGGCGCCTTCGGCATCAGCACGTAATATCAGTGATTCCAGACTGGTCTGATGTGACATTGCCTGGTGAAAGCGCTGGTTGTTGACCAGGCTATACTCAACCAACTCGAGTCTTCGGAGTCTAATATTGTTACGCAGGCAGAGGTCTGTCAATATTGCTGGGGCGCTTAAGAACTTTTTGAGACAGAACTCTTTGAGTCGTTCACAACGCCCAAGCCAGGCGAGGATTTCGAGAAATATATCGTTTTCGGTTGCTTCCAGGTTGATGAAGCCATCGGCGTCCTGAAGATCCAGCGCCTCGAGAGCTTCGCATCCTTTAAGAAGAGAAAGGCTCCTGATCGCATCTGGCTTCAAATCGTCTAGCTTCAGTGCCTTTAATGAACGCGAATGGTTGTTCAACGCTGAGAATGTTTGAGGGCCAATGCTCTGGGCGCTGAGAGCTGTGAACGACTGGAGACTGTTCGATCTGAGCGCACTGAAAAATGAAGCAATGTCAGAATCGACATTGTCTCGCAGACAAAAGCAGAACGTCAGGTCATCAAAATTTGGACAGTGTTTATTTATGACAGTTGCCACGTCTTCGTTCAGAACAGATCCGTCATAAAGCGTAATAGTTTTAAGCCGAGACAATCGACTGGCCCACCTTGACAGCGCGGTGGTGCTGATATCGCCAGAAATCTCTTCAAGAGCAACAATAGCCTTGTTGCGATCTGCTGCATCGCTAACATAGCTGGTTATGTATTCTCCAACAAGGTCGAGAATGGGGGCAACATTAAGGCGTGTTTTTGTACTTCTAGTCTTCTTCTTGACGGGCGTATCTTGAGATTTGTAAAACACAGTCATATCACCGGCAAAGAAAGTATCAAGAATGGGTTCTCGGAAGTGGCTATCTTCGAGGAGGGAGGCGAGATTGCGGAGATCTAGAGACCGAATGTATAGGCAGTAGGGGTATGCGGTGTTCCCAAGGCTTGATCGGATTATAGACTTCCACAGCAGGGCCCATTTGGAGGCGAATCGCTTCTGAAAAGCGACGCCATCCTCCCATGTCATAGTTTGCGTTCCTGGCAGTTCGGTATCGGTCTCATCGTTTCGAAAGTATTCTGATTGATTGTGAATTCTATAGCTTCTTAGTCAACACTCTATGAAGGCGAATTGAAGAAAGGACTAACCTGTAAAGCCATGAGATAGCTGGGCTAGCAAAAGACTTCCCTGACAAGGCACAATTGAAGAGGCTTCTGAAATCCAGGCGATTTCCAAGCTCCTCACAAATGAGGACAAGCACGTCCGCTGGGAGAGTAGCAACCATGCTGCAATTAAGTAATTCAATGCCAGTCAAGGGTGCTGACTATATGTGGAAGCTGTTAAGAGGTAACAGCTTTCATAATATAAGAGTCCAATCATAGAATTACGTGGAACTCGTGATGTTGATATAATCTTCTGTATTGGGGAAACGCGGGGTTGATAATCGCGCGCCGCCACCTCTAGCACGCGCTCCGGCTTCCGAACGCCTGAGTGAGGCATCAACAATTTCCTCGACCACACAGTAACGGACCACATGAAGCAACGAGAGAAACCTCTTATTTATATTCAAACTTCGAATTCTGATCATGTGGATTGAGAAGTGTTACCTTGACTTCTCATAGTAGGATATCGAGTATTCATCATGGCAGTCTTGAGCTTCACACTCGGCCCCGAGTCCTTAGGCAAGCTCCACGATGCTCTTGTATGCCTGGGAAAGTTCAGCGAGGCGGTATGCATAGAAGCAGTCCATGATAAGGTATTTTGCACCCCTCTCTTTTGAAAGACTCGCAAATTAATCGATATCCAGCTAGTTTTGACGGCTCTGAATTCCTCAAAATCAGCATATGCCTCTTTTACATTGATTGGGAAGAAGTTCTTCACCAAATATCAATTCAAAGGAACTTCTAATAGTAACCCGGCGAAGGACAGATTTAACTGTAAGATTTATAACAAAGTTAGTCATCTAAGTTCTTAAATTGCTAGCTGGCATTGGTTGTACATGGACTGATAGTATTTTCATAGGCGTTGCTGTCAGTATTCAAGGGCCGGGTGGCAGACCCGACGAGAGAGAAGGACACAGCTGTTGAAAGATGTGATATCTCTGTAGAGGACGGAGAAGGCAAAGCAAAGAGTCGTTTCGTTATCAAGCTTGTGTGCAGACATGGTATGATGAGTCTCTATTCGGTTTCTTTTCTCGTCTAATATATACTGCTCTGAAGGAGTCCTCAAAACATACCGTTTGACGTTCGAGCCTGTTTCCCCTATGCATGCTCTATTCGTCAAGGAATCGGCGAATAACACCTGGTCAATCTCGTCCAAGACTTTACGGGAGTTCGTGGAGCATTTTGGGCCTGGAACAGAACAACTTGACATATATTCCGAGGATGGTCGAGTAAGTCTTACCAGCTATACAGAGAAGATCATGTCCGGCAATGGTGAGGCATCAAACCCCAAGCAGATCCTTTAATACTAAGTATCGTGACAGAGATCTTAAAGCAGCCTTTGCACACTACAATTTCCATAGATACTTTGCAATTTGGCGATTTCTCTGTTGAAGAGAAGCTCCACATTGTGATCAGCGTCAAGGATTTCAAGTCTATTATTGCCCATGCTGGAACTACTAACACAACCGTCAAAGCTCTATATTCTCGTCCGTCTAGTCCCATGCAGCTGACCTACAGCGACGACGGGATATTAAGTGAGTTCATACTCATGACAATTGGAGAACACCGAGGCGCTTCGGCCACACCCGCGCCGAATGCGTCCCGAGCCAACTCCAAGAGACCTGCATCAAGACAGCCCTTAGAAGCCACACCAGGGGCAAAGAGAGCTGCTACCTCCGAAATGCCACCTCCCCCAACTAGCGCTGCTCCAAGTATTAGCCGTGAAGCCACCAGAAGTAAAGTCACGAGACCATCTCCGCCACCTCCCCAGCCCAGCATCCAGTCGGAGGCCCTTTTCTTCCCTGAAGCAGACGAGGATCGAAGATGGGATCCGGTCAACTATGACGAGGAAGAAGACGAGATGCTGTTATGGGATGCAGGTGGAAATACTGTATGCAAAATTTACCGTTGCTTAGTAAAAAGCTGACAGTGTATCACAGGATACAACGACTATGAATCCTGGCACTGAGACCCCGAGCCAGAACATCAATAGCCATATCCGAATCAATGCCCAGAATAATGCGGATACTTCTTTGCCATCTACTCAGCGTATAGCGCCGACTCAACGGCTTTCAGGGGTAATTTGTCCCGGGTCTTGGAAATGGGTAATATCTAACATTTGCAGATCCGGGGTATATTCGACGATTGATGACGGATATCTGAATCCTACAAAGTCGAAGGTCAGATCCAACGGCTACTCGTCAACATCACTTCCAGACTCTTATATCCAGGAAGCGCACCGATTTGCCGCAATATTGACGCCAGATGCAATTTTGCAGAATATTCAGCGCCAGAAAGAAGGTCATTCGAGGACGAAGCTGGAGTAATGGCTTAAGGCAGAGAAGGGCTGTCAACCGCTGACGCAGATCCAACTTGTTGCACAGCCTGCCCCAATACCAAGGATTTTGCTCTCAGGAGGTAGATACTTTGAGGAAGCAATCACATTCCATCTTCCCTTCACGTCCCCATCGGTTGTGTTTGGTCCACAATTACCGTGTTCGCCCCATCCCCAGGCAAGGACATCTCCTTCTGAAGTAAGACCCAATGCGTGTTCGCTGCCAATCGCGATCTGTGACAAGGCCGGCATTCCGGGAGGACTCAGTTGTCCGTGATCATCTCTACCCCAGGATAGCAATTTCCCATCATCTTGTAGGACGAAAATACTGCCCCAGCTCGCACCAACGTCCTTCCATTTAGGTGCCGATGGTGGTGCCGAGGATCTCACATTCCATTTGTCGGAGCCCAAGACAATATGCTTTCCTTCCTCCGGCTCCCCAAGTAAATACGTGAACTCTCTGCCACAAACAGCTCGAATGACCTTGAAATCGACCCCACTGATCTTGCGTGGAGAGTAAATAATACCATCAGGTTGACCCAATTGACCCTTTCTGGCACTTCCCCATCCATAGACATCTCCATTACTCAGGACGGCAACAACATGACTGACGGATGCAGCAAGATCAACCACCTCTAGTCCCGGAGGAGGAAAATCCTTTATGAGCTGGGCCTTTGAGGAACGAAAGAGAAATTCTCCCGTACCCAACTCACCCTTGTTTCCCGTCCCGAAACTGTAGACTTTGGTTGCGCTACCATTTTCATCTTGCTGGACAATGACAGAAGAGTCCCAAGAAGCAGCACAAAACCGAATCACTGGTGGGTTGCTTGAGGGAGCTTCTTCAATATGCAGCTGGGCCTGCCGAAACCGAGAACCTGGAGAGTTGGAATCGGAAATGGAACCACATGCTCCGCTGGCTGGATCACCTGCACAATACAGAATACCAGATGACAGTAAAAGTGTGTGGTTACCTCCTGCTTTTAATTGAGTGACTCTGTCAGGAGATGAGCCATTGAAGAGGACTGGTTTCGGTACAGATACATCTTCCTTGTGACCAATCCCGAGTTGTCCAGAACCATTTGATCCTAAGGCATAAATTGTTGTCATCTTTTTTGTTTTCCTTTCTCCTGATATCCTCTTGGATCATGGAATGGCGAGATATATTACGGAGTATTCGAAGCCTTGCGGGCTCGTCCGTAAAGGGATGGGGTTGAGGGTATTTCCACGTGATCAAACTACGGTCCGAGCTCCGTTTTAGCGTGCCCTAGGAACTCGCTACCGCTAGTCCCTTCCACTTCCAAATTGCCCAAAATTTCTCCTCGTCTTCGAACTTTTTAACGACAGCATCTCGACATTTCGACAATCGACATCGACAACCGCCACGATGCCTGCCGCCAAGAAGACCGAGACGACGTATGCATTCCCATATCCCTCGAAGAGCTGATCGTTGGTTGTGTTGGGGCTATAGTCGTTTGTCCTCTCGCTGGAGTGTCAATGTATCGAGAATCAGCTCTTGAGCAGCCCGATACTTGGCAGCCAGCTCGATTTGTCCTGAGCTACTCCCTCGTCGATCTAGGCCTTGCTGGCTTGCATCACGAGAGACGTAGTACGGGGTCTTGAGGTTGAAGGCTTTGGCCTTCTCCTTTAAAATCATTGCCGCACACGATAAAGTAGTATCCTGGCGCTTGTCCCGGTTTACGAACAGTATCGATCAACGTGACGTGCATCTTTCTTAGACATCAGTCTGAGGTCTTGTCGGATGAGAGTTAATGGTCAATTGAAAGAAGCAACCTGCCTTGACAGGAATTGGGAGCTGCTCTATCATGTCTGACTATCTCACTGATCAAATATATCTACCATCGAGTTAGCCACCTGCGAGAATGCCGCGCTATAGCTGCAATTCCCACTCGGCGCTCTTCTCCATACTTTGTATGCGGGACATAAGACTGACTTGACACAGGAGCGTCCCAACCGCCGACCAGATCCTCGTCCCTGAGACTCTCCTGAAGAAGCGCAAGAGCCAGGAGAAGGCCAGAGAGGAGAGAGCTGCCGAGCTCGAGAAGAAGCGCAAGGTTAGTCGGAATTTCATTTCAATGCAGTGTGACATTGGAGGAATATTATGATGCACAACACCATTTTGCGACTAGATGCTTCGGTATCGATGTTGTCCAAATTAACTATCTTTCGGGTCTGAATTGATATCGACAATGTCATCTGTATTCTTGAATTTTGACTCGGGGCTTATAGCTAACTGCTTTCCTTGATAGGCTCAAAAGGAGAAGCGCGCTGTCATCTTCAAGCGTGCTGAGAAGTATGTGAAGGAGTACCGTGACGCTGAGCGCGAGAAGATCCGTCTTGCCCGATTGGCCAAGCAGGATGGTTCCTTCTACATCCCAGCTGAGGAGAAGTTGGTCTTTGTTGTCCGTATCAAGGGGTAAGCTATCAACAACAGCCTCGTATTCCCAATATCGCTCTAACGTCAACACAGTATCAACAAGATTGCACCAAAGCCTCGCAAGATTCTCCAACTCCTCCGTCTTCTCCAGATCAACAACGGTGTCTTCGTTCGCATGACCAAGGCTACCCTTGAGATGCTGAAGGTCGTTGAGCCATGGATCGCCTACGGATACCCCAACCTGAAGACCGTCCGTGAGCTCATCTACAAGCGCGGATACGGTAAGATCAACAAGCAACGCATTGCCCTTACCGACAACGCTCTCATTGAGGGAAGCCTCGGCAAGTACGGCATTGTCTGCATGGAAGACTTGATCCACGAGATCTACACTGTCGGCCCCAACTTCAAGCAAGCCGCCAACTTCCTCTGGCCATTCAAGCTCAGCAACCCCACTGGTGGTTTCCGCACAAGAAAGTTCAAGCACTTCGTTGAAGGAGGAGATGGTTTGTTTCCCCTCCCCTAACGTAAATAACGTCTTGCTAATACTTGAACAGTTGGTAACCGTGAGGACAAGATCAACGCTTTGATCAGACAGATGAACTAGAGATTTCGTTATGTAAATGGGTATGGGCATGGGCATTGATTTTTTTGCTTCTAGCTGGCAAGCATGGCGTAAAGCATCAAAAGAATGAATGAAACCACAAAGAGCCTTACTATTCCCATGATATCCCTTCTTGAATTTGACTATATTGCCTCGTGCAGGGCCAAAACTTGAACATAATATGCCCTGATATCTAATAGTGTTTGCCGCTGTCTTTAACACAGACCAATTTCGTTTACGCTAAATTATGCCCTGAAAACGAGACGGCATTTCAGGAGTTTGGAGTCACTCCCGATGCGTCGCAGCTTTGCATCCGGACCATGGCAGCGAAGATGGGAATACTATTCGAAGATGCAGCGTTGCTAGCACCAGCACTATAGATAGAGCTGTGTTTCAGAAGATATATGGTTCCTCGCCGCACGAAAATCTACAAAGCGCTTGGCGAGGATGTATTGGCAATCCACTTTGCTTTTTGTCTAGCATTGTGGTGGACTTGTAACCATATACTGGCGCTGCTCCTAGGTAAGGTAACCATCGTTCAACCGGCACAAGGCCAATGTTATTAAGACCTTGGCCGTTATCCTATATTCTTATTAGACGAAAGTCTTTGGTGAGAAAGCCAACTTGTATATCGACTGTAGAGTACTAACGAGGTTAATCAACGACAACGAGAATAATAGCGACAGAGGCAGTAATAGAGATAGTGACAGCGACAATGAGAGTGTACGCTATAGATAGTACCTCTAGGCACTGGCCAAAGCCCCTAGATCCTTGAGCTCTTATTGACTAGATCAAAACAGCGGCAAACAGGGTACGTTAGACAATTAGATACCCAGGCATAGTATGTTAAACTTTCGGACCCTTGTGCAAATGGGTTTCATATCTTGTTTATACACTATTAAGCTTTGATATCGAAGCTCGTTCCACATCCACAGCTACTCGTCGCAAGTGGATTATCCACAATCTTAAACTGGCTCCCAATCAACTCCATCGTAAAGTCAACCTTACTGCCCTTCAGCAGCTCCAAGCTCGGCCCATCCATCACGACCTTAGCCCCTGACCCATCATCCGCCGCAAAGACCGTATCATCCTCCTCCAATTTCCCAGCCGCACTCGCATCCCCAGATTTTAACTTGTCGAGGGGCGGCAGAGTCGTGAGCGACATCAGGTATTGGAAGCCGTGGCAGCCGCCACTCTCCACCTGAATCCGGAGCGCAAGGTCGGGATTCTCATCCTTGGCCATGATTTCTTTCAGACGCTGTTTTTTTCGCCACTTGTAAGTACTAAATCATACTATTGGGAATCCCCCGGGGAGGAGACGTACATTCGAAGCTCGAGGTGTGATCTCGACAGTCATATCATTCCCATCGTCATCTTTCCGCGGGTTGAAAACAGCGCTGGTATGTCGGCGCACAGGCGACGTCGTGAAAGCCCTGCGTGGGGCATTTTGTGTCCTTGAAGATAGCGGCTTGTTGAGCCGGGCATGCTGGAGAGCTGGGGAGGGAAGACTGGGGAGGAGGAAATCGAGGAGCGGTTGAGGTGGCGCGTTGTGGAAGCATCTTCGGGGTGCGAGTTGGAGGAATGCTCGGGCGGCGGATGAGGAACTCGAGGAGACTAGCTGCGGACAGCAGCTGCGCATGATAGAACTAGTTGCCATGATGATTGATGCTTCTCGTCACAAAGATTCTACTCTCTTGTGCGAGGATTTTGGAAGCGCGGATTTCAGAAAACTTGCTTGAGACGTTGAGGTCGATGGTTAGTTATCGTACGATTAGTAAGCGGGAATGATATGGAGTAGATTGGCCTCGTTTTCTGGGGCTTGCATGCTTTGTAATTGACATGCCATTCCGCCGACTCGTCACTCGGGCTTGGAGGTTGCCCTTTGTGGCGTCCTGGTTATCATCAAAGTAGTTGTGGAGGATCAGTTGCTTGGAAATTGTTGACATTGATTTCTCCAGAAAACAAAAGGACCTTCACTTTCAGGTACCAATCCAAGTATGACGTTCCTAGACGGCCTCTCGGCTCTCTTCTATCGCCTCATCGGTCAGCCTTGTCTGATACCCCTCGGAATTCCCGCTCAGATCTCCAGGGCGAACTCCATAGGGTTGTAAGGGGTCTTTAGTCTCTATACTTGTTATAATAGTACAACTTCTGGTATTGGCCTGAGTACTCCGATGCCCTGTGCCAAAGACTCGTATAAGCCAAGAGTATATATTCTGGCCTCTACCCGTTCTCCCCTGAATGAAGCAACTACCTACAATCCACAAGCAGGTTCTGGAATCTTTAATTCTTTGGAGAAGTTAGTAACTAAGAAAAGAGAAAAAGGGGGAGGAGAAACTTTTTTTTTGGGGGGGGGGGGGGTTGATTGTAGAAGCCTCCAGATTTCAAATATTTCATTCGTCTGAATATAACACATCATTCCCAGTCTTCACTCAATAAACAGAGGCTCTCAACAGGCAATACAGGGGAGCTAGATTACGTCATTAAGATCAGTCAATAAGGCAATTCCAGGAAGCACTGAAGATCTCGACATTCCCTCTGCTTTCTGCCATTACATTCAACTCCATTTCACCTACAATCCGCATCTTGTTCTCAAGGCCAGCCCATATCCGCGAGTAGTAGCTATTAGCCGGCAGTAAAGGCTGCGGATATAAACGATATCGAATGCAAAAAAAAGTTTGATGACTTCAGAGCCTCTTGTCTTTGAAGAATTCGTAGAATTTGACCTGAGAGTAATCCTCATTCACAAATGTCCAGGCTGTGTTTCAGTAGATGCGGTGTCTGATGGGGCATTCTCTTCTTGAGAACATCCTCGAGATAGGGTCTTCTGATTATTGCTATGGCAGTACTTATAGGAGGAGGCAAAATGGAGCGTCCTTGAGGCACCGTGCCAGATTGGATTGGCTAAGGACGTTCGTCAGTCTAGAATGGGGAATATATTCTTACATAATGTACAAGATAGTTAGTACAAGCCAACTGCTTCTCTGACGATGGCCATCGTTGCTTCTGCACTCTCACGAGCCTTTGCGGCCCCCTTCCTCTGCACGTGGTCAATATAAGCTCCATCATCTTCGGCCATGACCTCTTCATATCGTTTTCGAATAGGTGAAAGCTGACTCGATATCGTTTCTGCTAACGTCGTCTTAAAATTGCGTAGATTGAGATTTGCATACACTACGCCCAGCTCTTCGGGACTTCTTCCCTGAGGGTCAAAATGGGATAGCAACTGCAGCAAATTGGAGACCGCTGGTCGATTCTCTGGATCATATGAGACTGAGTTGGTGGAGTCCGTCAATGCAGACATGATCTTGCTGTGGATTTGTTCCGGGCTATCTGTGATTAGGATTCTGGACCGGGGATCGGAATGTGATTTGGACATCTTAAGATGAGGATCTTGGAGAGACATCACACGCTTGGCCGGTGCTGTGAAAAATGTTAGTTAGACTCCTTGCAATATTGTTGTGAGGCCTACACAAAATTGTTTTCGGAGCCACCAGATGAGGACCATAAGCGTGGTTGAAATTCGTAACGCACTCACGAGAGAACTCCAGATGTTGACTCTGGTCTTCTCCTACTGGTACATGAGTTGCTCTAGAAAGCATCAGTAGGAGTACTCAGGAACATGAATTTGGGGTTAGAACGTACCTGTGGACCAGGATATCTGCAGCTTGAAGAACTGGGTACGAGAACAGGCCGAGTTTCAGCTTTGATTTGCTGCCACCGTCTAGAGGCGATGTATCCTCAGGTAACGAAAGCTTGCTCTGGCGAAATGTAAGACTCGGTGCCGTAGAGAGGGCAAAGTCTTTCCACTGACCTTCCATTGTGTCATGCGGGATAGGTAGCCCATAGAAGCCGTGGTGCTGAGAATCCACATGAGCTCTGAGTGAGCGGGAACCTGTCGGATTATCAGATCCTGTCATTCATAGAGAGCTCCCAACTCACGGAGGACTGAAAGAATAGAATTGAACGATCAGGGTTCAACCCAATGGCTAAAAGTGTTGCAAAGGCTTCTCTCTTCCATCGCTTCAACTGCTGAGGGTCTTGAGGGACGGTGATAGCATGTAAATCCACAATTGAATAAATTAATTTCGTCGTAGCTGGAGACGTTTCTTGAAGCTTCACCCATTGTTGTAGGGCACCAAGATAGTTTCCAAGATGAGGGATCCCCGTGGGTTGAATGCCAGAGAAGATCACATGATCTGAAGTCTGATTTGGTGCGGCTGTTCCATTGAACCGTCGTCCAGCCGGGCGATCTGCTGTGCGGACGAAAGCAGATGAACCTAGAGTAATAGGTCTCCTCCGTATACTCCTACAGGCCAGAAGCATTGCGGTTATGGTGGGGTTACTCGAACTCGAAGTCGAGATGAGAACTACAGGCACCTCCTTACATTTTATATAGCCTTTCCAAATTCGGACTAGTGCTATAATATTCCGCTTTTGCTCAGACTGACAGTTTGGGGGTTGTAAGAGGTCAATTACATGGTAGCTTTGCAGTGTTGAGGGTTGATCTTATTATTCCATCATTGTTGTTCATTCTGCAAGTGCATCGGTCTTGTCTGGGATGGCAGCGTGGAATTTGTTCGATTCTTCCTTACGGTAACCGTATCAATTTGAATGTTATTTTGTACTATAGAGGCTTGGGTCCAATGCTCTTTTACAATGAAGATCTTAATGATACACGTATATGTCCTACAATGCAACCTGAACTCCTCTCCAGCCCGCTCTGCCATGCGAAGTATCTTCTAGGCTTTCACCCCCCAGCAACCGTAATATACAACCCCTTCAGTTGAAGGTAGGGTCTTTCAGGGGAGTAGGATGCGTCTTGGTCATTGGCCCGTCCCTCGAAGCTTTGAAATCCTCTCTGCTGATCAACTCTGTGATTTTCTCGGCCGTGGAATCCTGCTTCCTCAGTCCCAGAAGAGCCATCTTGGACTCCAAATCATCCTTGAGCTCCGCCGCAGTGGCATCCATGGTCTTTCCAACACCTGATATTGTATTAGCCTTGCACTTAATCCAGGACCTTCGGTCTTACCAAGCTTCTCATAATTCCAAACATTTGCCTTCATACCGATCCCATAGTATGCATGCTTCTTCAAGAATGCCAGCCATATCTCAACCGTCTCCGGATGCCCATCCTTAATCTGAATAAGTCTTCTCAAAGTCTTTCTCTCAAAGTTCTCCTGCGACTTCTTGTGAATGAAACTACCCTTCGGAACCGTCCATCTCTCTACAATCCGCGGCAAGGGGACCGGTCCAGATGCGGGAAGGTTTAAGTAGTATGCAGCGCGCATTGCAAAGTCTGCGAAGAATTCAAGGTTTCGTACACTGTATGATCGCAGTTGGAGATCGCATGATGGGATTCCGTATCGCGGGATTCGTCGTAAGGGTTTTAGGTATACGGCTTGAACGGATCGAGGTAGTCGTACATCAACCTTGTTCTCTGGGTCTGGATGGCTCGGTGGAGGAGGGTAGTCTTGGCTGTACACAAGTCAGAGAGGCTTGAAGGGGAAATAGTAATAGGCACATACGTTGGAGCAGTCTTTGCCGCGGTCGCTGCGGAAGTCGAAGGTGGCCTACTGTATCCATGTCAGTCTACGAACCTTCGCAGAAGCCAAGTGTCTCCATACGCTGAACTAGATTCGTATCTCCGTGAAAAGGTAGGGTTCACATGGTCTCCGGAGGGTTGAGCAGCTCTGAGGAGGGAGGTTGAGCTTATGATTGGATTTATCTGTGAATGGTAAGTCTGCGCCTAGGACTCTCTCCCAAGATGGTCATTCGACCTACTGTCGTTTGACGACCGATTATGCGCCACGGCAATCGCATTGAAGCCGACATGGCCATGTCTGATGTGTGGTGGTGGTGATGCTAGATATTGTCTGAATGCGCCTGCCTTATGTAAATCGGAAGAATTCTCATAACTCGGCTACGAAACCAGGCTTCACTACGGATTCCCTCGCACCTCACACTTCTATAATCCGGCCAGAGCACACAGAACTTGAATAATGGAGAATTCTGACACTCCAATTACATTCGAGAGCATTACTGAATCCGCAGATGGCTTAAAATCCATTTTACCTCCAGGCTTTGTACCGGAAATCGGGATTATCTGCGGGTCTGGCCTGTCAGCGCTGCAACAGGCCGTGAAGGGACCAAGATATGAGGTCCCCTACAGCAAGATCAAAGGGTTTCCAATCAGCACAGGTCAGTCTGGAAATTTTTAATAGTCACGGAAGAGGATATTGCAAGTGATCTTTTTTATTTTTACTCAAGGTATTCTAATAATTAATGTGGTGCAGTCCATGGGCATGCTGGGATTTTAGTCTTCGGATTTATTGGCTCCTCAAACACACCAGTAGTCTTGATGAATGGTCGAGCTCAGTCAGTAATAGAGGGCCAAACATAATCTCGACTCTACTGATCTAAAGTGCAGCTATTATGAAGGTAATACCTTGCAAAGCTCGACCTTCCCTATACGGGTATTAAGTCTGCTGGGAATGAGGACGTGTATCAGTAAGTTCACCAGCACGGCAGCCAAGATATTCAACTGATTTGAACAGTTACCAATGCGGCTGGTGGGCTGGAACCTGCATATAATGTTGGAGACATTGTTGTGATAAACGATGTAAAGCACCAATCCAATAATGCGGTTCCGCCTGAACACTAACTGAGGGTTGAAGCATATCAATTTTCCAGGCCTTGCCGGTGTTAATCCTCTTCGGGGTCCTAATCTAGACCAATTCGGCCCTCGATTCATAGCCCTCTCCGACGCCTATGATCTCGAACTCCGCAGAGTTGCCCATCTGGCCTGGGGAGAGCTGTCAAAGGAAATGCCAAGGAAGATGGCGATGCACGAAGGGGTATATGCTTTTGTGGGAGGACCCAAGTATGTCCCGACTCCTAAGACCATAAAAGAAGCATAATTTTGCTAATTCCCTTAAGTTACGAAACCAGAGCGGAGTGCAGAATGCTCTCGAAGCTCGGTGCAGATCTGGTTGGGATGTCCACAGTACCAGAAATCATTGTTGCGAGACATTGCGGAGTTCGTGTACTCGCTCTGAGTCTGGTTACAAACTCCGCCGTCCTAGACCCAGGGCCGCGAGGAGACGACCTGAAGTTGGCTGGGGTTGGTGTGAATGTGTTGCATGGAGCATTGGACGAAGGCAAAGCCAATCACGAGGAGGTCTTGGAAACCAGTCGTAATGCTGCTGAAGGGATCAAGGCAAGTTGCCTCGGACTGAACCCCTTCCCAAAAGACTTGCTGATACCTGTCCAGGAATTGATTGTCAAGATCGTGGAGATTGAAGCAAAGGGTTCCTCAACCCTTTGAAACCCCACCACGTCTCTTTGCCTTCAATTTCTTGTAATATTCTTTCTTGCCGCTAGACTTGGAGGCCTGAATCTCCCCGTACTTATTGCGGAATCGACCAGAAGCATTTTCACCAGCAAGTACTTCCTCGACGAACGTTCGTTTCCTCTCCTTGTTTGATAGTCTGGCGCTGAAGAATTCCGTTGGTCCCTCGATGATAGTACCCACTTGTGAAAATTCAGGCACTAGTTGTTTCGATGATTCTTTTTTGTAGTGGCGCTGTACGTAGAGTTAGCGATAAGATTACATAGCATGGAAGATTCTCGCAGCCCATATCCTTGACTTGCAAGATGGGTTCCGAGAAATGGAAAAATGTGCCAATCGGTACATACCTTGGGATCAAGAACGGATCTCATTCGGAGCAACTGGAGGTCACGCTTAAACTCGGGCGTCATTTTCGTGGCAGGCAAGTTGAACCAGTCCGAACCCGCAGAGGCTTTCTTGGCCTGAATTCCAAATTAGCAGCAGTTCAAAATGAGCCGGACAAAAATGGAAGCGTTTGTATCTTCTCAGCGTAACTATGAAAATATAAAAAATCATTATTGCAGGGTGGCACCCAAGACGGGGCCAAATTCTGCGTCATGTTGTTTTGGGATAAATTTTCCTCATAGAAGATTATTTCAGACTGTAGTAGATAGGAGCTTACCTGAGCAGCTTGGGCCTTGATCTCGAGAGGATCTTGAACTCGTCGTATGCCGTTGGAAAGCTTCTTCTCGCGGGGGTTTACCAGGTGGGATGGATCCACGTGGGCGCCATTGTCTGTTGTGCTTATGTACGGCGTGATTAACTGCTTGTTCGCAACCTTGGGAATGCTGATGCTGATGTTAGCTAGATCTTATGTACAAGTGGGAGACTGCTTTAAGCTCCATGATGCACATACCTCTTTGGCACAGAAGCATTCTGAGTCTGGAGTTCCTTGCTTCCTTTGGCTTCCTTCAATCTTTGCTCAGCATCCTTGAGAAGCTGCTTGAGCTGCTCATCTGAGAGATCTTCATCGGCCATCCTGTGTTGGCGAAGACAAACTTTGAATGTTTGAGTCTCACATTTTGAAGAAAGAGAAGAAAAAAAAGCTCTGGGGATATATTTCAGGATCTCGCTAAGGGACTTAGTACCAAATCGGCAATTGTGCCTGAGGCATAAATACACGTGATGACGAATCAAGTCCCGTATTCGTATTCCGGGGCTTAATCCGTAGATGTCCACACCGTAGGCACAGTCCAGATCTGATATTGAGCTCAGCCTTACAATGATAGATGGTAGGTGTTAAAGACCTTCAAGTGACGATGCCCCCTGGTGTATGAGGCGATTGGGCACCGTTGAGGCGAGAGAAGGGGGGTGGAACGAGAGGCAGAAGCAGAGACTGAGATAGACCTCCAGGCCGGCCGTCTTGTGTGCTCATCGTACACGTAGGTGCAGACGGGCAGCCTTATATTGCTGTTGTATACGTCTTTGGCAGACCTACCTGGTAGATCTCGAGGAAGTCAGTTACTGTTTCGTGGCTGCGCCCTGACAACACATCCACATGTGTTATATATACTTGGGTACGCTCGATGTAGGTGTGTATATATATACCTAGGTATACATATAAGGTATATATAGAGGCAACATACATCAAAGGCATGCACGCACACACACACTCATCCCACATGCACACACATAACGCCTCGTAATAATAAATAAACAGAAACCTGTGGCCCCACCTTTGCTCTCTTCTTTTTGTTCCTTTTTTCCTCTTTCTATAAAAACAGTTGTGAACTGGCCATACAACAACCACCACTGCTCTCCACTGGACCACAGGTACACAGTACGGCGGGCTCGGCAGCATCCCCCACCTGATCGCTGCGTACCGTGGTACGTCCTTCCAGCCGGCGTGGCCTCAGTCCGTGGCTATTACCCGCACCCTTCCCCCCATAGGGCGCGCCTCTGCCATCTGTATCTCGATCTGAGTGGTCGGGCGAACATCCTCCATCTCCATCCATCCTCACTCTGGACCGACGACTTTGCGCTCGTCTCTTCATTCGTCCGCCTTGTGGTCCTCCGCCTTCGCATCGCATCGCATCGCTTCCGCTTCCCGACCTGAGAACCAACCCAAACGCTTTCCCCCCGACTCCTGGCAGCCTGTCAGCAGCTTAAGCTTGAGCTCGAGCTCCCCCCCCAACTGCCCTGCACTACAAGTACAATCACTCATTGGCTGCACATCTCCAATATCAACAACAACTACCGGGAGGTCTATCACGACCGTCGCGCAAACAGAATACCCTCGCGCGCCGCCACGGAAACCAGCCTTCCTACCATTGTTTGCTGTGCGAGAACGAGAGACAATCAAAGATCCCCTCCCCCAACCCCTCCCGATCTGTCAGCTTCCGCTCCTTGGAGTTGTTGCTCCCGGGCCCGTACGACAACACCTCTCAGACGATCTAAGAAGACCAACGACTACGCGCATTAACCAGCTGCATTGAACGTTCGCGACCGTGTTGACTCCCCCATCAAGCCTTGCCGTCTACCGGTTGTGCCGCGAGAGAACAATCGGGAAGAGAGAATATCCTTGGCGCGCGACAAGATGGATCAGAACCCGCCAAACTCGTCCCACGGACAGCCTCAGCGCCAGCAGCCTGTGTATGATACCAACCATGGAGGTCATTATGGTACGTCCGAGATCCAAACTCGTGGCAAACACCTCTCTTTCTATTCATTGGCTGGCACTAATCTATCTGCGTAACAGGTGCCAGTGCCGCAGTATGTATTCCTCGAGAACCTCCGGTTACCTTCAACTGACACGAGAATAGCTGTCGGCTCAGGGCTATGCACCGGTAGCGGAGTTTTACACCGGCGCGTGGGCGAATGTACGGATTTCCCATTATGAGAATACAGGTGAAGCTAATCCGGCTTCTAGGTGAACCAAGGATTGCACGGTACATATAGAGATATTCTCACGACCTACTGGCAGCAGATAATCAATCATCTCGAGACTGACACACACGACTACAAGCTGCATCAGCTTCCACTGGCTCGGATCAAGAAAGTCATGAAGGCCGATCCCGAAGTCAAGATGATCTCGGCCGAGGCGCCAATCTTATTCGCAAAAGGCTGTGATATCTTCATTACTGAACTTACTATGCGAGCATGGATACATGCCGAAGAAAACAAGCGCCGAACACTGCAGAGATCAGATATTGCATCAGCATTGGCGAAATCGGACATGTTTGATTTCCTAATTGATATCGTACCCCGCGAAGAAGCATCCCATGCGAAGAGAGCTGCAGGCCAGGGTGCCACCGCAGCTGGAGTTCCTGGTGCTGCTGCCGGTACAGCCCAGATCCCTCAACAACACGTTCCACAACAACCAGGTCACCCAGCCCACCAAGCTATGCCACCGCCAGATTATACTCTCGGTCATGGTCTTGCTCCGGAACAGGATTATCGCCAGCAACCAAACTTATATGCAACACAGGTCCAGCCCGGCCAACCTGCTCCATATGGCGCCCCGCAACCACAGATGTATGGGGAGATGGAGGGCATGTATGGCTATCCACCAATGCAGGCGCAACAGGTAATTGTGGTTCTCTCCGCATCGTATTGCCCCATTCTAACTCGCAACAGCAGATGTACCACGTCCCGCAGCGTCCTCAGGATCCCGTAGGACAAGATGCAGGACACAGTTACCAACGTCATGACGGAGGCGAGGGTGATGCTGATGCGGAAGGCGAGAGGGATTACGAAGTCGGCTAAGCAGGCCGGAAGAGGAGAATATCATCTCCTGGAGCTGATGCCATCTTGAGGAGATATTAGGGTTTGAGTAGGTATGGAGTTATGTGGAAAACAGTACCCAGATTGTGTGGCCGCTTCACTTGAAACGGTTGAATGTAATGACTCCAGATAGCATTGTTCTTTCATTCCCATATTCTGAAATGCGTGTGAAAGTCTCCCGTGCTATCTGTCCATTATCTCATTCCAAATCTGGACGAAAAGTTGGCAAGTCGTTCAGTCCTCGTAGGGTTCATGACAGAATACGTAAGCCTGCCCAAGTTAGCAACGACAACGACTACAAAAAGGTCACAAAATATACTTTTCAAGTATCTTTGGGCCGTTCAAGGCATCGACTCTTCCAAACTTCTTGTTCCTGATTGTGGTGTCATAAAACTCATCCGGATTCTCTGACTGCATAAGCTGCACTGTTTGTTGAAGTTCATCTAAATTCTCTTTCAGGATCTCAGCATTCTCGAGACTGTCGACGAATTCGGCAAGGTAATCAACGTCTTTTGCGAGGGCTGCGACACCGTTCGGGTTGATCTTTTTCACTTCGGGTGAAAGCGGGAGTGCCTATTTGGTTGTTAGATCTACTATACCGAGTGGAGGATCAAGCCTAGACTTGCCAAAATCATGTTTGCCGCATGAGAGAGTGCGTCAAAGTAAATCAATTCTTTGATTTCTCGTGGCAGTCCAAGTAATGTGGAGTTCATGATATTTGACAAGTATCGTGTCAGAGTTTGCATGTAGTTACTTGGTTCCGTCTCCAGTGTTGGAGCCATCCTGTTGGAAGGTTAGAGTAAGACACAAGCTTCCATGAATGGTGACCTACCAATCGTACTCTGCCGTCTCTACCAAGTCATCGATTTTCGAGTTCACCAATTCGAAAATGCGTTTCTCAGCTGTCTTCTTGTTGCTCCTGAATTCTTCCGTGGCATTCAAGACGATGGGTCCGCCAGCGGAGGTGGATGAGCGAGCTGCCACTAAGAGCTGCTCCAGCTCAGTACAGGCGGTTTCAAAGTGCTCGAAGTTGATGAGGATTTGGACGATCTGGCCGAGATACTGGGAGCTCAACCTTTCAACCAGAGATTTGCAGACTTTCTCTGAAAGAAGTTCATCCAGTGACTGCAGTAAATGGGCATCAGCGTCATGTCAAATGATAAAGAACCCCAGCGTTAGGCCCTTACCTTTTTGAGTGTCTCATCGATTACATTAGGGTGTTGAAAGTGATCGTCAGAGAAAAAGTAGAATTGGTTTAGGAAATTCCTGATATCGATGCAGCAAAGAGGATACATCTGGGAGAATGGCAGCACACACGGGAATCTGTAATCCTAGTTAGCAAATATTTGAATGATCTGGAAGCCTATACACACGTGAGATCTTCTCTTGGCTTGTCCGGTGTGAACCAACTAACGTTGACAACTTTGTCGTACTCGTCGAGATTACTAATGGGCATTGGCATGTAATCATCGGTCGAGACGATCTAATAAGAGTTAGAATAACGTTCTCCGCTGAACAGCGTACACGTACCTCTTGAAAGTCATCGCTGAATCTTCTCTTCAATAACTCGGCATACTTCTCGAAAAGTACGAGCAAGAAGTTATCCATAACAGACACTGAGTAGCCCCAACCCTCCATTGCAGTCAGTAAAGGTCTATGATCAAACGGTCTAGAGGCTGCTCACATCCATAGTCTGTATAAACAAAGCAATCACTCCCTTAATTTTCAGTAAAACCTCTGCATTGTCAACCGCATCCAAAGCCTTGGAGATAAGGCTGATAGCAGTATGGCACATCGAGTTCCAGAGCTCGTCGACCTAAAAGGCATCAGCTTGGAATGTTATCCGATCAGACGTATACTTACATCAACAGGTGAGCGAAGGCTGGGGGCCTTCCTCATTGTAGCCTTCTCTATGATGGCGAAGCCGGCAATCCCCTCAAGCAGACTGCTCAGACTTGAATCACTATCCTCGTCAAGCAGATCTACAGAGCTCGTAAGGAGCAGTTCTTTCTGCTGCCTCCGAGTTGCAGCGTAATCTGATCGGAATTTATCACTCTGACCCAGTGCTTCATGGATATGCAAGCACTCAAAAAGTGGCGTGAAGTCGACCTGGAGCTCATCATTATCAAGAGCATCGAATTCCTCACTTTCGTCAAACACCAGTTCAATGGCTGAGTTGAGCTTGAAGTGCCGTAGATATGGATTCGATTCCATCCGCTCCTTTTGCCTAGTCCGTCTCATTTCCGTGTGGTAGAAGGCAACTTCGCCTAGAAATTGGGATGTCTCTCTTATGCGATAAAGCCAGGTATTTAAGTCGGTCATAACAGCTTCGGAAATGGCTTTCTGCGATGCAGGTATCGACTTTTGTATAATATCTGCCAGCTTGTGCTGAGTCGCGTATTTGTTCTGGATTATTGGTATTAGATGTTCGTTTTGGAGATCGTCTAGCGCTTTTAACGCCCCATAGTACTTCTTTTTCCGAATCAGCTCGTGAGCCTGATTGACTGCGTGCAAGATCTTCAACGAATCCTTCAAGGCTTCCGAAGCCTCGGCGATGTTCTGACGAACAGCTTTCGTATCAACCAGCGCTCCCTTCTGTGCCGCCAGCTTTTCCGTACTTGCTTGGATCGACTGATTGAGCTTCAAGATTTCCGCCGTCAGAGCAACAGTTCCTTCTCGCACTTCTTGGAGCTGAGTGATTGACTGAAGGAACTCTTCGTGTCTCGTCAGGCCAATTCGCTCAATGTCCGCCTCCCGCTCGTCAGCATAGTGGGACAAGCTCTGCATAAGCGCAGGCGTTCGATGGGAAATGGTAGCATCTTTGAGAGCAGGAATTAAGTGGTCGAGGTAGTCGGTATCGGAGGAGGATAGAATAATCTACGCAATTCCTATTAGCTGCCATCCACGGCTCGGTACATAAGGTAGAGTGGCATTACCTGCTGCACTGCAACTCTATAGTCATCGTATTGGATTTTACGGCGAGACGCCATGGTGAGCCAATAAAAGTTCCTTTCTTCTGCTACCTTGGGACAGGCAGCACATGGTAATAGATCTCAGGAGTCGTGCTACAGCAAGTACAATCTGGAGACCTGTAGATGTAGGTATGTAATGCTCCATATCCACCCTTACTTGGCGTGTCGAGTATAAGCGAGCCGCAAGCAGCTCCACTCAGTCTCCTATCAAGGGCGCGCCTAATCGCCGCCTCCATGCGCGTGGACATGTTGGCTTGAAAGCTTCATTGTGGCTGGTGACTTCAGGTCCTTGGCCTGCGCTATCACCAGATATTCTGCTATAACATCATCATCACCTTCTCCTTTCCTACCAGAATGTCGATGTCAGGATGGTATTTGCCTGCCATCGCCATACCGTGGCAGCAGCAGTCCTGTTGCTGTTCTGCAGCGCCCCCAACAGAATAAATGCAAATACGATAACCACCGCTCCAAAGCCTATACCTACTGTAAACGCTCCAGCGACTTGCGAATTTAGAACTATCAACTACATTACCGATTCCCTCCCCCAGCAGTGCTTACGGTCTGCATGGAGTAATGCAAATGCCACATCTACAAGATTTGAGGGGTCGGAGGATGCAACCCTGGCTAGCCCACCAGTCGAGGGCACGATAACCTCAAGCTCTAGTGTATCCAGCCACGATACCGCGCAGAGTGCTGAGGGAGTCGAGACATTGCAACAGGAAAGTCCCTTACCGGGCGGAGCTGCATCGAGCACTTCGAACCCCATTCCCTCTGCGACAGAGACAAGTGAGCTTCCATCAGCAGATATCTATGGCGGTGAGCTGAACGAAGCTTCCTTCTTATCCTTCGAAGATTGGAAGAAGCAAACATTGGAGAAGGCAGGTCAGCAGAATGCAAATATAGGGAACAAAAGGTCATCCGGAGCTGGTGAGAAGAAGAGGGATTCGGACAGCTTTCAGAATAACTTGGATTCCCTAGGGGATGAAGGGGAAATAGACCTCGATTTTGGACCCTTCAGAAGTGGAGGCAAGGGAGAAGAGTTTGCACAGAAGTCAGAGACCGATGAATCAGGTATTCAGCCAGACTCTCAGGGCCAAGATGGGGCGACGAAACGAAAGGACATATACCGGAGCAAAGATGCTGGGAAAACCTGCAAGGAACGCTTCTCTTATGCTTCGTTTGATGCGGGAGCAACTGTCTTGAAAACACACCCCGGGGCCAAGAACCCCAAGGCTGTGCTTATAGAAAACAAGGATTCGTACATGCTTTCAGAGTGTGCAACTGACAACAAATTCATTATTATTGAGCTCTCGGTGCGTCAATCTCCCAGTGGACTTTTCTCACAGTTCTAACATCGCTCAGGAAGATATATGGATCGATACCCTGGTACTCGCCAACTATGAATTCTTTTCCAGTATGATTCGGACTTTCCGCGTCAGCGTCAGCGACCGTTACCCCGTTAAAATGGAGAAGTGGAAGGATCTTGGAACATATGAAGCTCGTAATTCAAGGGAGATCCAGGCCTTCCTCATAGAAAATCCGCAAATCTGGGCACGTTATCTGAGAATAGAATTCCTGAGCCATTATGGGAATGAGTACTATTGCCCGTTGTCCCTAGTCAGAGTCCATGGAACTCGAATGCTTGAGAGCTGGAAGGAGACTGAGGCTAATGGTGATGAAGATGACAATGATGAGCATGGGACTGAAGAGCATTTCGTTCTTGATGCCGTCGCAGATGTCGTTCAAGAGGAAGAGAAACTTAATGCGGAGCGGAAAGAAGCACAGGAGGCAATTCATGAACAAGCTTCCGAGACTCTCGTGTCCAGCCAGATTGTGGACACCAGTTCTTCTGAGAATGCGTCTTCCCAGTGGATGACCACCTCTTGGGTCAAGCCTGACCTCGTCGAGATGTTCAATCAGCTCAATTCAAGTGCAGCTGAGATTTGTCAGATCGCAGATGCCCCGATTAGCCCACCAGTTGTTCCTGTCGCAGGTGCTCCAGAGACAATGGGCAACTCGACTATAGATCCTGAAGGTTCTGCAACCACCATTCCCGTTGCAACTGCAGCAAGTCCTCCTAACCCGCCCCCAGCACCTGAAACTCCGCAGAGTCCCAATTCTCCTGTGGCAGAGAATCCTACTCATTCAGAAACTCCCTCGCCCACTATCGAAACCCCAATCGTCACCAAGGCGACATCGGGCAGCCAAGAACCTATTTCATTGTCTGCAGCAGCTTCGGCGACCAAGTCACAGAACATTACATCGTCGCAGAAGAACAGAACCAGCAGCACCTCGTCTGCAGCCTCATCCCTGCCTACCATTCAAGAAAGCTTCTTTAAGGCCGTCTCGAGGAGACTACAATTGTTGGAAACCAATTCAACACTGTCATTAAAGTATATCGAAGAGCAATCAAAGATTCTGAGGGAGGCTTTCACAAAGGTGGAAAAGAAACAACTACAGAGGACTAATACTTTCTTGGATACACTGAACAGCACTGTCCTCGCAGAATTACGTGGCTTCCGACAGCAGTATGATGAGATCTGGCAGTCCACGGTGATCTCCCTCGAGAGTCAGAGGGATGAATCAAGGCGAGAAATACTAGCCATCACTGCGCGGCTTAACATCCTGGCAGACGAGGTCGTTTTCCAGAAACGCATGTCGATCGTCCAATCCGTCCTGCTCTTACTTTGTCTTGGACTTGTTATATTCTCGCGCGTCTCGGCGACGGGAGCTCTGGATTTCCAAAGCATGCAGATGAGGGCGAGAAATCTGGGGTTCCCCATCAGTCCTATCGAGAGCCCTCTCGAAAGCCCTTCGGTCCGCCGCTCGGGATCTATGAGAGACCGTGGGCAGTGGCTTGATTCGGATGACAGAAGACGGCGATCTGCCGAATCCCCCATCTCGAGGCCCGGGAGTAGAGAGCGTTCGCCGCCGACTCCTGTTTCCCCTTACTCAACATCAGACAATGCTTTGACTCCCCCATCTGGCGCGGATGACAACCTGGTGGGTTCTACAGGCAGCCTCCCGGCTACAAGCCCTAAACACCTGGGACTTCCAGGCCAATCTCATAATCCAAAGCCAAGTTCTATGCCTTGGCATGAGCGCAGCGATGGCGCCGAACTTACGTTCCTGTCCTCTTCATCTGTCGAAACCCCAAGCAAGAGAAAGGGGTACATAAAACAGCAGGACAGCCCTCTAGCAAGTGGTCTAGATAGTGACTTGGTTGATGATCCTCAATCTCGTCTGGAGCATCCAGTCTTCATACAGCAAGAGCAGAACAAGTCCGCAGAAGGTTCGCCACGTCTACCCTCTCCACCGCCGGAGAGAGAAAAGGGGAATATTGAATTTAGCATTGCGCGCAAGCCGCTTCCAGCTTTACCGCATGGCAGCTAATGTCGTTTACACTGGGATTTGAAGCGCTTTGTTCAGATGATTTAGCATGGAGTTCAGGTAGTTTCGGCTGTTTATAGTGTCATAAAGAAATGTTCCTTTGCTAAGCCGTTTCACACGGTCAACAATCCGTGAAGTCAGTACTAGGTTTAATTGTGATCGAAAAAGGGCAATCTGGCAGTCATGAGAGAAGCCGGTCACGTATCAAGAGAGACTCAGAATGAAGAACGACAAATTTGAATTCTCTAAGCAAGGGGTGTTGTGATCGACAGTATTATCTCTAGCTGAGACGAGTGCATCGCTTCATGGAAATTTTGTCTGTAGCAAAGGCAAAATTACGTGTGAAGAAGTAGTAGGACTCATCCAGATCTTCCAGTCTGCATCAAAATGCAAGCTTATTGTGGGCTTGTCGGTCGAAAATTTTGACCACCTTCCAAGTTGGTCTTCAAAATGCAGATGACCAGACGTTAGAAGACGTATTCGACAAGTATGCTATGGCAGAAACCAATATTTGCTGCCCCAACACCTAATGAAAAACTTGTCACAATGTTCGATCTCAGATCTACAAAAATGGCATTCTAGTCTTAAGTTATTGTCAGTTTGATTAGTCATTTGGACGGGGTCATGAATAACTGACAATGAGGAAAGCCAAATTGGTTGTACGTGGAATCGTCATAGCCGTACTCCTCACGCTCTGCAAGGCTGGTGCCACGATCGTACTGGGAACGGCGACGGCGCTGTTCATCCCTCAAGTGCTGGCCAGCGCTGGGTGCGAACAATCCTGGGCAATATGAGTATCAAATTGAAGACTAACATGCTAGAGAACACTCACCAACGTGCTCCGCATTCTCACAGCTTCGCTTAAGCTTTGAGGCATTGTCCGACTCAGGAAAGCGCTCCTCCTCGCCCGCATGACCAAATGGATCATGGATAGTCTTGTACAGCTGGGAAGAAGTCAGACAAGGAAGGGAATTAGGTAGTATAAGGAGCTTTACCTTTGGTCTATAATGAGGTGGCTCCAGCATCACCGAGGAGTTGCGAAACTTCTGGACGAGGCAGTCCTTGCCCTGAATGGCTGAATATCTGTCAGATGCGCACCCTCCTACTGTAAGGACAAGGAGGACTCACTAGCATAGGAAACCTCCGCAACCTTGTCGCTCTTGAACCTATGCCTGATACCAATCAGATTCATATCTCTTAAGAGGTGCTGCAAGGTGAAATACCATTTCTGGTTTGATCTGGCTACCACAAACTTCAAGCTATGTTAGCAGTGGTCAAACACTGGTTCGGGATTATAACTTACATCGACGATATCAAGAGGCTGTATGAGTCAGTAGGTGATGAGAGAGCAGACAGGGTGGATAACTTACGTCCGTAAAGTTGATGAATGCATAACCCACACTGGGATAAAGTCAGGACCTTGGACGACAATGAAAATAGCGTGTACTCACTTGCAATTATTAGAGAAGTCAATGCGGAGATACATGAAGTCATATCTGCCAAAGCTAGACTCATCAACGATCTCCTTCAGCATCGCCTGGTCAACCTTATTTGGAATATTGCGGAGCATGACCTGAGGTTCGTTAGATTTCACGATATTGGCAGACAGTGCTCGCATACTTACTGTTGTACGGACATCGATGCCCTGTCTGATGCGGTTGATATCGACGTGGTTATGATGAGAGTTTGCAGAATTGTGTTGATGACGGTCTCGGGTATGGTTTGCTTTGGGGGCATAAGAGCGACGGCCATTTGGACGATTGTAGTGATCACGAGCTGGACCAGGTGAGCTCTGGTTATAGTAACCGAATTCATTGCCAAAGTTAGGCTGCTGGAAGTCGGGGCTTGGAATGCCGAAACCGTGCTGATGGAACCCGCCGTGTGGATACGAAGGGGTTGTGTAAGGGTGGTACAGTGGCTCCCCTAGACCCGGACTGACTTGAGGAAGAACACCAGGCGAATATGTCTGCTGGAAGGTACCAACGACGGAAGGCACATATAGGTTGCCACCCATTACGAATGGGAGGGTGTTCGGCATAGCGAAACCGGAACTGGCCGCCATGTAGGGCATGCTAGAAACTGTTGGTATTGTGCCGGCAGGAGTACCTGCGCTGTCGGCAGAGCGGGCAGAACCTTGGAGCGACATATTTCCAAGCGCATCACTTAGGCCCGACTGCTCCCCGGAGCGACGAGTAGGGGTAACAGTAGGGGAGATTTGTTGGGATTGAAACTGCTCAGGAAAGTCTGGCCGATGCAAATCAATTGATACGGTGACGTTTTGTAACTTGAGATCCTCGTTGATTTTGCGGCTACGACTAACGGATCTCGGTGCATGTGTAGCATCCTCGTATTCAGCAACCATACGAAAGGTGCCAGTCTGGAAATATGGTGTCAGTATTTTCTCTTCTCTATTGGCTTTGAGGGGATGATAAGAACGGCGTATTTTGAGATGCCTCTGAAGCCGGAAGAAAGATAAAGGATGAAGCGTGCTTAAACGATAAGTAGTAAGGATAAAAAACTCACTGGAGTAGCTGAGAGCTTCTGCCAGGCATAGAGTCTGCCTTCTACCTCAAGCATCTGAATAAGGCCATCCTCAAGCAGCTTCATGTCGGGATTGGAGGCAGCAGGATAATTGACAGTTAAAACAACCTGGGCCTCGTGCGCAGAATATCTGCCGCCGGGGCTGAAGAGCTGTTGGGTGTTAATTTGGATATCGAACTGCATATAGATGAGTGAGGGAACTAACCTTCCCGAAGGTGACTGGAGAAATGTATTCAACAGTTAAATCAGGGTTGTTCATCTTGATTCCATTGTAAAGTTCCATGGCATCTCTGATGTTTGACAGGCGAAGGTAGTAGGAGTCGCCCATCTCTTCACGTCTCTCAGATCCTCTCTTGGCAATTCCACGGTCACGAACTTTCTATAGCCACTGTCAGTACGGGGGTTGAGGATTTTAGTAAATGGTAGGGCTGGCAAAAGTAAACAAGCAAAGGAACCATACCTTCTTCGAAGCCTCGACAGTTGGGAGGAAAGTAGCAATGTTGCTGCCTGAAACCTTAATATAGCGGCTTGAATGGGTATCAGTGGTAAAGGTACCGAACTGAGTGGCATCGGCTTGCTGTGTTGCACGACCTGGAGATTGAGCAGCCTGAGCAGCAAGGAGGTGTTCCAAGTAATCAGAGGGGTCGGGTATTTTGTCATTTTGGGCCGAGCCATCTGCAATAGCTGGGGCAGATGCAGGGGTAGCTCTCACCTCAAAGGAAGGTCGGAAAGTGGATGCCGTAGCAGACAGCCTACCTCTTGGTTGCGTGCTAGTTGAGACGAAAGGGTCCTGCAGGTTTGATTCCAATGTACCATCGCCAGAATTGACAATAGTAGACTTCAGGGTTCTAGCATCCTCAGGGGAGAAGGCTGTGACCGAGGTGTAAGGTGTACCACCAGCGGAGTCGAGGCCGCCGCCACTAGAGGAGGGTGGGGAAGGATGATACATGGTATCTCCGTATGATGACATCTTGGCCAGTGACACAGGATACACCGTTGGTTTCCCGAAGTTTCCTTGAGAGAGAATGTTTGGTGAAACGAAGGTGGTGGTATGTGATTAATCCAGACTCTTCTGGTGTAGAAAGGTCCGGAAACGCTGTGGTCTCTATCAAGTCTATCAGCTCCATGATCCGATGGGCTGAATATGCTCAGATGTAGACGGAAGGAACAGACAAAGGGAAGGAAGGATTGAAGGACATAAATAACACAGAAAAGAAAGAGAGGGGAGGGCTAGCACTTTCATGGACAAACAGCCTGGTTTGTACAAGTGCATGCTCTTCCCAAGGGACACAACAGAAGGAAAAGGAGGATGGGCACTCTGAACCTGTGGTGCTGTGGTGAAAGAAGACTCATAACTCTCAGTACAGGTTCTGGACCTCTCTGATGGTGGTTTGGATGAAGGAAGGAAAGTAAAAGAGATCAGGTGGCGTACCTGCCTTGAATGGGGAGAAGGCTCTCCAAGAGAACGCCGAACGCTGTACGCTGTGATGCGGAATAGATCTGGGTTCAAAAAAGAAAAGAGAATGAAGGTGAAGTTGTGAGATTTGGGGACTGGAAATCAAAAACAGGCGGGGGAGAAGAGGATGTAGGAGGGAAGAAAGATAGAAAGGGAGGAAGGAAGTTGAGGGGAAAGAGATGTGGAGGGGAGATCTAGATGTCTGGCCACTAGGCTGTTTACGGTCATAGTGCCCATCTCAGGGATGGGAATTGAAGTGAATGGAAGGAAGGAGCTGATGTTGACCCCTTCCTTTAACGAGGGCGCCCCTGCCGTATTTGTCCACTGCCGAAAAGGGTAAAGGGTTAGCGATAATAGGCGAAAATTCATGAGGTTTCCCCCCCATTCACTCACTTGAGACACTGCAAGACAGACAAGACATAGGTAGACAGGTAGATACTGGAATGCAAGACAAGAAACTGCTCTACTCTCTCAGAATATCTGGTTTGATTCAATCCAAGGCCACTGTACGCTTCATTCAAGTGCCTTGGGGCCGCAATCCCGAGCTACAAGAAGTCAAGCCTCCCCGGATGCCAGTGTCACTCACTCGAGTCGTATGCTTAGGAGCATATGTCCAAAACCGGTATGCCACTAGCTAATATGTGACCAGTAAGGAAATACAGAAGAGATAAACCCATTTTGAATCTTTCACCTAGGAAATTGGTTGAGCTGTGGTGTTTTGGAGACTGCAAAAGCAGCGAATCATGTGACTCCCAATACTTTACTTGAGGTAGGATGCTTTCCATGACTGATGGGGCATCTGGGTCTTCGATCTAATGCTAAGGATCTAGCCAGAGCTCTGTCTATCCAGACTGCGGCTACCATCCGCCTTGCCTAGGTAGCCTTGTATTCAAGCATCTCGAGTTAAAAGAAGGAATTGATTGAGAGCCAGTGCCCGAAGCTACTCTGCGCGAACTTGCTACATGATGAATGGAGCGAGAGTCATTAAAGTATGAAAACTTTGCTTCCTTGGCAAAGCACGCCGGCTCCCATGCTGTCTCCCGCTGATGAGAATGGGAGGGTCTATGCGCCGAGCAGTAACCCAACGGGGCGGATAATTGATTTTATGGAAATATAATATTCTACAATTGGAACGAATGGAAATACGCCAGGAAAGAGAGTAGGGCCCAGATTTAAGGCGGTGCGATCAAAAATTGGTCTGCTCCACTGGGCCTCCTTCAATACCTTGATTATCGACAAAGAGCCATCTGAGGACTACGCCCTAGCAGGGTTCTGGCACCGGATATCAGATAGCCTGATCCCACCGTGTACTCAGCTCGAATGCTCGAACGAGCCATAGAATATGATATTTATATAAGATGGGAAGTAAAACATTACCTGGACGGCGAAGGCTCATATGGCACTTGCACGAGACTTGAGCAAATCCACGCCGGGAACTGTCTCCCTTATCCGCTTCTCCCATGGTGGATAGGATAATAGCGATGAGCAAGCATGCTATCGGAAGATAATCAAAATCATTGCTCTCAAGACGTGACCTTGGACGTGACTACAAGTAGCCGTTCGGTGTGGTTATTTTTACCGTCATTCACTGGGTAAAACGTTGGAAGTTCTTCGTCCGCTTGCCGCTGCAGTCTCGACCATTCGGGTGTCTTTTCTCAACTGTCCGAAATTTGAAAGGCTTGTTGAATTTAGAAAACGGTGCTGTAGAAAGAGTTGAGCTTCAGTTGTGCCGTCACTCTTTTACCCGTCGTTACTGCCCGGTTATTATGTAATAAAGCGACTCCCGAAGTCTTCCCAAATCAATCGTCACCCGGTGACAGGCGAAACCTCTTTTTCTCAAGCAATTGCGTAGGTAGTCTTTGATTGAACGTTCAAGATTGGCCTCTGCCGAGATTTCCACCGCGGAAATGAATCTAGCAATTGTATCGGTTGATATGATTTTATTCTATTCTATCTCTGCATTCGAAGTGCAGGCTTTGTACTTCATCCGAGCTTTCTTGAACTGAAAAGTTTGCTGAATCAGTCAATTTACAAGCTCTCAATGTCTGCTTCTCATCATCTTTGTTTCGAGTACACTCGTAGACCATAGGGGCCATGCTATTATCATAATCCTGTCTCCATTATTGCAATCTCGTAGGCCTCTGACCTCTCCAGCACGCATCCCGTGCAGTGAACTGCGACCTCATGAGGCATATGCGAAATTCGATCCACGACATGCCAGCCAAAATTCGCGGACAACTTGATTCGTACCTCTAGCTCCACGAAGACTGCGTTGTGTCAGTACAACTATATGTAGGAGAGATAGGTTCAACATACTTCACTACTTTCTGCAAGAAAGTCATCTTTTCTTTGTCCGTAACCTTGTTACTAGGGAAATTATCGCCGAGCAGTGCAGCCTCAAGCCAACTTTTAGCCTGAACCTGGCGGACAACAAGCTTCTTGAGCGGCTCCGAGAGCTTGTCCAAATCGCTACGTGCAGCATTGCCACCGATATTGTAGATGAGCGCCTGTGCGAGGAGTGGCCCTAGATGTTGAAGTGCAGCATCTATAGATCCTTGCAAGGGAAATTCCTGGTTCTGGAGACTAACAAAAGCACTCTGTGTAGATGATTAGTAGAGCAGGTAAAACTGGCCTTTTGTATCAAACATACCCAAAAGTCCGCGGCAGAAATTTTCGGCAGCGGGTCACTTCCAGTGAGAGCTTTGAGAGTAAATACGAAGAGAAATTCCAATGACGAAGGCTGATGGCTCAGAAGGTTGTTCACGTAGGTCGGAATGAGGCGGTATAGCAAATCAATCCCATTTTGGGCAATTTCGGGGTCATTGCTTGGCTCTAGAAGAGCATTAGCCACTGCATTCAAGCACATCGAATATTGACAGTGTAAAGTATCTGCCACCACATCTCATCCATGTGTTGCACATAGACAGAATGACCATTGGACATAATGTGGAGATCTTGAGAGGAAGGGGAGTTTTTTTCCAACTTACCGCCTAGGTTCTGTAGCAGCTGAGCAATCCAATTCAGTAATGCATTAATAACCTCGTCGATACGGTCATCCGATCTATGGGAGCTGATGAGAGAACATGCTGTTTTGATAACAGTTCCAAGTTGTGGGGTGAGGGGGCCCGATTTGATCAAGAACTGGGCCACAGTTATAGGGGGAAATACGAATGGCCCAGGTTCTATCTCTACAAACCCGTTTTGGAAGACACAGCAAGCAGCATCGACAATTTCGCTACGGAAGTAAAGGGCATCATACGTCCTAACAATCACCGAGATGATGCGTTGCTGAATAACCGAACCTTCGCCAGTAGTCCAGAAAGGAGGTGTTGTCGTCTTTTTCTCCAGATCAACCGGTTTATCCGTTGGAACTTGAATTCCCTTTGCAATGCTCGCAAGGCATCTCAAAGCCATGAGGCCAAGTTCCAAAGCGGTGTCATAGTTAGGTGGAATGTTGGAGGTATTCAGAGTCGAAAGATCTGCGGCTGGCTGCTGGGAGATGAGACTTAGGCATCGCTCAACATCTGCTTCGACGAAATGCAGAAGTTGTCCTAACGGTGCGACCTTAGCTCTCTCGATGGGGAGAGCCTGGATTATTGAGGCTATGCCTTCCAAGATCCCCTCTTTGACATTGCTATCTAGAGAAGCGTGAGTAATGTTACTGAACTGCTGGAGGAATGCGGGCAATTCAGGGATGAGAACAGTTCGGCAATCCGAACAGAGCTTGACGATTGCATTTGACGCCGACTTTGCCAAGGCTGGGGTACTGATAGTCCCAAATGCAATATTCAGTGCAGATGGCAGGTTATCCGTATGCCTCTGAAAATAGTCCGGATATCCAGAGAATAAAGCAAGGAAGGTTTTCATGGTCTGGACAGGGATCTCAGTCGGTGGATTTGTGAACACCGCGAATAAAGAGGGCTCGAAGATCTTGTGCAAGTATTCGTCACACCTCTTGTCACTGGCTAGGCAATCGGAGAACCGAGTTAGACAGTATAGAGATGCCTCAAGTTCAGCCCAATTTCCGGCATTGATAGACTGTCGAGATAGGTCGATAAAGACATCGAGTATTGGAATTCCAGCCACGAGATAGTAACTTTCGAGTATATCTCCCACATCTCTTCGAGCATCTTTGAATCCAGTTCGATCCACTGAGTCCCAAGAACGAAATTCATGGGGAGGTGGGAACTGTATCTTTTTCCAACACTTTTGGATGGCTTGCATGACGTATCGCATCGGCCCCGCAAGCCAAGATGGGTGTGTTCCAAGTTGGGAGTAGGTATGATCTAGCATAGTTTCTACAAGGGTATTCCAAAACTCCAATGCGGGAACGAAGACCTTATCCTCATAGACGGCATACCCTTCTGCACCGAGAAGGCCGCAGAGAGCCGAGAGGACATGTTCGCATTGAGCATCGCTATCAGCCTGTTTAATAAGGTCCTCGACAGTTGCATCGCCAAAGGCGATCAGGAAAAGACCAAATTGGAGTGAGTCAAAGTCATAATCGCCTTTGACCAATCGCTCGTATCGCTCCTGAGCCCAAGGGCTGCTAAAGATCGAGTAGAGAAGCGTGAAATCTTCCTTGCGAAGGAACTTTGAGTAATTTGCAAGTACGTCCGAGAAGAGTTCCACGGTAGTCTCATACAAAGTGTCATCCACGAGACACATGATAGCTGGCTTTGTCAAAGTCTGTAGAGGATCAAGGACGATCTCGTCATCAACGAAAGCCCGATGTGAATAGGACACCCATGCCTAGCAAGTTAGCATTGCCATTAGAACACAGTGATATCAACGGAATAACAGCTGACCCTTTCTATGTATCGGATCTTTGCTGAGGGGGGAATAAATATAAGGAGGACGAACCTGGAAACATCGCATCGCCTCCTGACGAACTTTGCTATCAGCGCCTGAAGAATTGTCTGAGATATATTTCTGGATTAATGGGACAATGTCGTCAGCATTTGGTGCTACTCGCCGATGAAATCTATGTCTGGTTCATAGGTTAGCTTGATATCTTAAATAGAAGTATGTTCTGGACTCAACTGCTTCATAGAACTGGAATCCGTCTTCCCAACCTCTTCAACGAGGTTGGCAGCGAACCAAAGGATTATAATCGCCTTATTGGCGGTAATATTCTGTATAAGAAACGCAGTCTCAGGCGACTCTTCAATAGTGCCGTAAGGTGTGACCTGATCGGTACAGAGGCAATACATGAGATGTTTGACGCATCTGGTCCAGGACACAGAGAATTGAAGGAAATACGCAACTAAAGTCGAGCAAAGTTTCCTTATGACAAGTGCACCCTCACCATTTTCAAGACAACGTATCAGCCAGCCGATGAGAGTCCCAAGCAAGGCTTGGGCGTCATCGTCATTCAAAGATTTTCTTGGTCACTTATTAGATATCCGAAAGAAGTTTCCAATTTGAGACTTACGCATCGGTGTTGAGTTTGACAATGAAAGTGAGTGCCCCAAAGAATCTTACACTTTCTGCCTTATTTCCAAGCAGACTATTTGCCAGCTGCCATCCTTCAGGAGATCGCTGGAGTTTTTGCAAGGTTTCTTGGGTCTTTGAAACCTTCTCTGATGCTCCAGGCTGATACAACTGGAGAATCAACTATGATTCATTAGCCAACGTGCTCTTAAAAGACCTCAATATGGAAGAGGTCGACAGCTTCCTTGGTAACAAGAGCTCGTGGCAAGAGCACCAGGGAGAGATTGAGGATATATTCGAAGTCAAGGAACTGCCCATAAATGACCAATTCTAGAAATTAACTTACCGCTTCTACTTCCTCCAGCGAAGTGGGTATTTGCCCCTCATCCATGTTCGCCATGACTGCATTCACGAGCCGTGATGGTGGTACGGGTAGGACAAGAGATGAAGCGAATCAGACAGGGCATGTCAAAGAGCCAAGAAACGTCAAGCCATATTTAACATAGTTGAATCTACGTCAACATTGACAAACGTTTCAGATTCGGGCCTTTGCATTACCTGCGATCCAGACAGGGAATATTGAGGAATTGCCAAACCACCCCCAAAAGTTTGAAAATGCAATTGTACGCGATTTCTGCCTGAGGCAAGGTTCCTAAGCCGAAGGGAGCCTTCCACGGTGTATTTCCAAAGAACTCTTCTCCACGACCGACTGTTTAGGAAGCTCCTTCCTTGCGAACCCCATTTTCAAAAATCTGCGAAGCTCGTCTGCAGGTTGGGAAAAGGTATCTGGATCAATGAGATACCTCCGTCCCCTCCGTAATATATATACCAGACCCAGGTCTCCCGTTCTCAACCAATTCCGATATCGAAACTTTGACATCTGCATTCGATACAGCTCCAGTTCTACAAGCAGTCTTTTTGACTCCGGCAGGTCCTACCCTTTGACCAAAGGTGCTAATTCTAACTGATTTACAGTAGACATGGAGAAGGTGAATACGAGCGAGCGTCTTGCTCAGTTAAGGCATCTTATGAAGCAACATAAGGTCGATATTTACAGTATGTGAGTGCACGAGACCCCATAAACTCGCAACTGCTGATGCAGCTTCCAGTCATTCCGTCTGAGGACAGCCATTCCTCGGAATATATCGCCCCATGCGATGCAAGGAGAGAGTTTATATCGGGCTTCTCGGGTTCTGCTGGGTGCGCTGTGGTCACGCATGATAAGGCCGCTCTAGCAACGGACGGTCGATACTTTAACCAAGCCTCGAAACAACTGGACGAGAACTGGCTTCTACTTAAACAAGGCCTTCAAGACGTACCGACATGGCAAGAATGGTCAGCAGAGCAATCAGAGGGAGGCAAGATTGTGGGCGTTGATCCTACTGTCATATCTGCTCCTGACGCCCGAAAACTGGCCGACAGGATCAAGAAACGCGGCGGCCAAGACTTGATAGCAATAGAGGAGAATCTTGTAGATTTGGTCTGGGGAGACCAACGTCCTCCGAGGCCCAGCGAACCGGTGAACGTTCTTACGAAAGGATTTTCGGGGAAGGACGTCAAGACAAAGCTGGAGGAGCTTCGAAAGGACCTAGAAAAGAAGCAGAGCTCTGGATTCATCGTTTCAATGTTGGACGAAATTGCCTGGCTGTTCAATCTACGAGGCAACGATATTCCCTACAATCCCGTATTCTTTTCATACGCTGCAATCACTCCCACTACCGCTACGCTTTACGTCGATTCTTCGAAGCTGAGCAGCGAATGCAGGACCTATCTCGCAGACTATGGAGTTTCTGTCCGCCCATACGAGAAGATTTTTGACGACAGTGCAGCATTGAGTCAGTCATTAGATACTCCAAACGACGAAAGCCAAGAAGAGCCCAAAATCAAAAAGTTTCTTGTGTCGAATAGAACCTCGTGGGCACTGAAGCGATCACTGGGCGGAGAGGCTAAAGTGGACGAAATACGGAGTCCTATTGGAGATGCTAAAGCAGTGAAAAATGAGACCGAACTTGAAGGCATGAGGGCATGCCATATAAGAGACGGAGCGGCTTTGATCGAGTATTTTGCATGGCTTGAACATCAACTCACTGTTGAAAAGGCGGTAATTGACGAAGTCACTGCTGCAGATAAGTTGGAAGAGTTTCGATCAAAACACAAGCACTTTGTGGGATTGTCCTTTGATACTATCTCCTCTACAGGTCCCAATGCGGCTGTGATCCACTATAAGCCCGAACGCGGTAACTGCTCAGTCATAGATCCAAACGCAGTGTATCTGTGTGATTCTGGAGCTCAATACCTGGATGGTACGACGGACACTACACGCACACTCCATTTTGGTGAGCCAACAGAAATGGAGAGGAAGGCTTATACTCTGGTACTGAAAGGGAATATTGCTCTTGATGTTGCTGTATTCCCCAAAGGAACAAGTGGATTTGCCCTGGATACTCTGGCGCGACAATTCTTATGGGTAGGATAAGGCAGCCCCCATTACCCATGCATACACTGACAAATCAATAGGAAAACGGTCTGGACTATAGACATGGCACTGGTCATGGCGTAGGCTCATACTTGAACGTACATGAGGGACCGATTGGCATCGGAACTAGAATACAATACTCTGAAGTTCCTCTGACAGTAGGAAATGTGATATCAAACGAGCCTGGATACTACGAAGACGGGTCCTTCGGAATCCGAATCGAGAACATCATCATGGTGAAAGAGGTCGAAACAGAGCACAAGTTCGGGGACAAACCCTACTTGGGCTTTGAGCATGTTACCATGGTCCCTTACTGCCGCAGATTGATTGACGAGAGTCTCCTGACGAGGAAAGAAAAGCATTGGCTGAACGAATATCATGCCGATATTCATGCCAAGACAAAGGACTTCTTCAAACCGGGTTCGATTGCGATGAAATGGCTAGAACGTGAGACGACACCTATCTGAACTGGCGGAAGTAATTGAGGGCGGTAATGCAATGGTAATGCAAGGGACGGCATGGAAGGAAGCGCTCGGTGGTATCTTTATAACGGGTTTAGAATTTCATGAATGCTGCTAGAGCAAAGGTGGTCCCGAAGGAGACTTTGAATGCCACATTATCCTCGACTGCGGAACGGAGGTCGATGCTCGTGACGTAGTTTTGCAGTCTCTTATACGGTATCACATTGATGCCGTAACTCGAAGCCCACTATGTGCATCCTCATCAGCAAGGTAGCTTATCGTCACATTTTAGGGGCACTGACCTGAACCCCCACAACCAGTAGTCCGATAAGGAGCGCCAACAACCTCGAGAATGTACTGACAGCTAGACCTGCGCATAGTCCTAAGACACATGAGTTCCTATGCCACGGCTCTCTAGACTTGGACGTGTACCTGTAATCGAACCACTACTTATCTGCCGCACGGCTCTGGGGTTCAATGGACCATTGCGTCGTACCGGGGTTTGTGCGTTCCTCCCATAGGAATCTCCTTGTAACACAGGCGCATCTAGACGTACGGGCCTCTGATGCAAGGCATGATAGCCTGCAATCGAGAGACCGAGGCCCATTCCCAGAGACTGAGGGCGGAGCAGGGGACGCAGAAAGATGGACGCCATTGTTGTAATGTTATTGGTGGGATGGATGCGCAGCGCGGCGGACAGGGGGGCGGGAAAAGATAGATGGATAAGGTAGAGAGAGGAGCAGGGCTACTGTAGCTTGGAGGTTTCAATGTAAGGGAGCCTCAAATCTGATAATACTACTACGCCGTACGCGGTGCTACGGGACCTGCACTGTACACACGGAGATGGGCGTTGCTTGGGTGACATCAGTGTCACACGGCCTTTCTCCAGGGCCCGCCGCCCGGAGACTGGAGTACCTGGCCTCGGCGGGCTCGGGTGGCAGGGTGCTTACGTAATATGGAGGGGCACATGAGGGGTCCATTTGCTCGCAGGGCTTCTCAGTCGGTCTTCTCGTATACCGCGCTGAGTCACCTGCGAACAACTGCCAAGCAGGCCGAATTCGGCTCTCTATCGATTTGCATATTGACTTCCTGCGTACCTTGCCTTGGCCATTATTGATTATTAGGATAATGAATTGGATAAAGATCGACCTTCTTCCTCTTCCCCCCCGATCAAGATACGCACTCGATACTTATCTGTCACAGCGAATCCCTGGAAACCTGATCAAATCCCGCCCTTGCAGACTTACTTCCCAATACCGGATACTAGTCCTATTCGGCACCTAGTCTCCACTCGAGCCACTCCACTTTCCCATTGCCATCCGACTTCTTCGAGCCTTTTCAATCTCTTAATTCTCTCAATTCAAGTCTTCATTGATTCCCACCACCCGCAAACTCCCCAGCGATCAACCACAATTGCAGAATGGCTACCGAACTTCCCATCAACGGCGGCTCAGGCATCGCCCAGAATGGCAGCCCCGAGTCCAGCTTTACCGTCAAGACTGGTCTTGCACGCATGTTGAAAGGAGGAGTCATTATGGATGTTGTCAATGCCGAGCAAGTATGCAAAAAAAAAGGGCCCCTTTCAAACTCATTGAGAAAATGCTGACTTTCGCCACTCCAGGCTAAAATCGCAGAAGAGGCAGGAGCCTGTGCAGTTATGGCTTTAGAGCGCGTACCAGCAGACATCCGGGCCCAGGGAGGTGTAGCACGCATGTCCGACCCGAAGATGATCAAGGAGATCATGGCTGCTGTCACGATTCCCGTCATGGCAAAGGCACGAATTGGTCACTTCGTTGAGTGCCAGGTACGTTGCCACCGAGCCCCTCTCGACCCCGCATAAGACTTACAAATGATCTGCAGATCCTCGAGGCCATTGGCGTAGACTACATTGACGAATCCGAAGTCCTGACTCCCGCCGACCACGCACACCACGTCGAGAAGCACAACTTCGGCGTCCCCTTCGTCTGCGGCTGCCGAAACCTGGGTGAAGCCCTCCGCCGTATCAGCGAAGGTGCTGCTATGATCCGCACAAAGGGTGAGGCCGGTACCGGAGACGTCATCGAAGCGGTTAGACACATGCGGACTGTCAATGCTGAGATTGCAAAGGCATCTGCTATGTCTGACGCAGAGTTGCGGATCTTCGCTAAGGAGATCGGTGCTCCTTTCGAGCTCCTGAAGGAGACTGCGAAGTTGGGAAGACTGCCGGTCGTCAACTTTGCTGCAGGAGGAGTTGCCACCCCTGCTGATGCGGCGCTGATGATGCAACTGGGATGTGATGGTGTGTTCGTTGGAAGTGGTATCTTCAAGAGCGGTGACGCCGCGAAGAGAGCCAAGGCTATCGTGCAGGCTGTTACCCACTACAAGGACCCCAAGGTGCTGGCTGCTGTGAGCGAGGATCTGGGTGAGGCGATGGTGGGACTTAATGTCGGTTTGATGGACGCAAAGGACAAGATGCAAGGGCGCGGGTGGTAGATTTTCCTTTTGTTCTCCGGGTGGCGTGGTGCGTTGAAAAGCTTTGAAATTTGGTTTTCGGAGGATCTTGACTTACGATATACCTCGATATACCATTCTTTTGCGGGAATGAAGGCAGATCTGCCCAAATTCATACTGATTGCGCAAGAAATGGTGATGAAGCTTATGGATTGCTGTACAACTACCTTATGAAGTGTGTAGTTTTGAACTACCGAAATGGCGCCCAAAGCGATAATAAGGGATTTTCCAGGGTCTTTTCTTGAAACTTATCCATCCTATGGATTGGAATCTAATGGTCTAGGCTCGACAACTGGGGGCGCTAGATTTGAATCCCAATTCGCAGGACTAGAGGCGACCATCTTCCTCACCTGCTTTACCTCCGAGGAAACATCTTCTTTATCAAGAGGGGTTTGCCCCTCTTCTGGTGAAGCCTCGCTTATCAGGCTCTGTTATCGCTCCAGTCTTCAGGGCTCAAGCTCTTTGTCAGTGCGCTGTACTGTAAAACTACTCCGTATTCCTCTTGTATTACTCCGTAGGTAGGCCTCGAGTACCAACAACCACAACAGTTTTATGGGCGTAAAGCGGTACCAGATATAACTACCTAGTTTGGAAGTTATATTCTATAGAGGGATTATGGTCGGTTTTATGGATTTTCTTAGCCTGGTTCCATCTTACAGTATTATCCTGCCATTGAAACGGTAATGTGATAGGTAACCTCACGTGGAAGCGGTGTCGCTTCAATTTAAGCTTAATTTGGGACGCTTTTCTGCCGTGTGATTTTTTCTTACCCCACTAAGAATAAATATTCTCACAACTCGTTGTACGCAACCCATGGACTGGGCTTCATAATTCAGAATCCAACCTTCAACGTTGCTCTCGCCCAATCAAACAAAGATGGACCGCATTCGCATCCTGCTGGTTGGAAATGGCGGCCGCGAACATGCGCTTGCTTGGAAGCTCAGTCAGTCGCCCTTGGTGGAGTCGATAATTGCGGTCCCGGGTAATGGTGGAACGTCGACCTGCCCGAAGGTTACCAACAATAACAGTGTCAAGGCGGACGACTACCCCGGTCTTGTAGCATTGGCGCAGAAGCACAATGTCAACCTGGTGGTGCCTGGACCGGAAGCTCCGCTGGTTGACGGCATCGAGGGCTACTTCAAGGCAGTTGGAATCCGGTGTTTCGGGCCCTCCAAATTGGCGGCGCGTATGGAAGGGAGCAAGACCTTCTCGAAGGATTTCATGAAGAAATACAACATCCCTACTGCGGCCTACGAGAACTTCTCGGATTACGAAAAAGCGAAGAAATACCTCGACAGCGTCGATCATAATGTTGTGCTCAAGGCGAGCGGTTTGGCAGCTGGAAAAGGTGTCATCATTCCTGCGACTAAGGAAGAAGCACACGCAGCATTGAAGGAGATCATGGTTGACAAAGAGTTCGGGTCAGCTGGAGACGAAGTTGTGATTGAGGAGTTTTTGGAAGGTGATGAGCTCAGCATCCTTACTTTCAGTGATGGTTACACGATCCGATCATTACCTCCCGCGCAGGACCATAAGAGGATTTTTGATGGTGATCAAGGACCAAATACTGGTGGAATGGGCTGCTATGCGCCTACAAATATTGCCACGAAGGAGTTGATTGAAGAAATTGAACGAACAGTTCTTCAACCTACCATAGACGGCATGAGAAAAGAGCGCTTTCCGTTCGTTGGGACTTTGTTCACCGGTTTGATGATCACAAAGAACGGCCCAAAATGCTTGGAATACAATGTCCGCTTTGGAGACCCAGAGACACAGACGCTCTTACCCCTGATAAGCAAGGATACAGACCTTGCAGAAATTATGATTGCTTGCACAGAAGGATGGCTTGATAGTGTATCAGTCAAAATCGATGCGAAATCCAGTGCCACAGTTGTTGTAGCCGCAGGCGGATACCCTGGCTCTTATGCAAAAGGCACACCTATGAAGGTCGATTCACCACCTGCCGATACAAATATTTTCCACGCTGGCACAGTCATCAAAGATGGGCAGCTTCAAACTTCTGGCGGCCGTGTCATCGCAGCGCAAGCCACAGCTGAGAATCTGGAGGAAGCAGTGAAGAAGGCATACGCAGGGGTGGAATTCATCAAATTCGACAAGATGTTCTACAGAAAGGACATCGCACACCGGGCATTCAAGCCAAAGGCTTCTACCAAGGAAGCGCTTACCTATGCCTCGGCCGGAGTCAACATTGACGCTGGTAACGAATTCGTCGAACGCATTAGGAAAGCCGTTGCTTCTACACGGAGACCTGGAGCCGATGCAGAAATTGGTGGCTTCGGTGGAGAGGTCGACTTAGCCAAGGCTGGCTACACCAATGCACCTATCATGGTGGGTGCTATTGATGGCGTTGGCACAAAACTCATGATTGCTCAAGCAATGAACAAGCATGATACTGTCGGCATCGATCTCGTTGCTATGAACGTTAATGACCTAGTCGTTCAAGGCGCAGAGCCTCTCATGTTCCTCGATTATTATGGATGTAGTCAATTGAAGCTTGAGAATGCTGCGGCCTTTGTTGAAGGGGTCGCAGCCGGCTGCATTCAGTCGAAATGCGCCCTTGTGGGTGGAGAAACGGCTGAAATGCCTGGCATGTACCAGCGCGATGACTACGACGCCGCTGGTGCTGCAATTGGAACAATGTCAAAGGATCTGAGACTGCCGCAGAAAGAACAGATGGTTGAAGGTGACATTCTACTAGGGCTAGCGTCGAGTGGTGTACATTCGAATGGCTTCTCGTTAGTACGAAGAATCCTGGAGAGGGAGAAGGTGTCATACTCAGACATTGCCCCCTGGGACAACTCAACTACAGTTGGATTGAGTTTGCTAACCCCTACCAAAATCTACGTTTGTCCTCTCCTAAATGTCATCAACAAGGGACTTGTTAAGGGGCTCTCTCACATCACCGGAGGTGGCTTGTTGGAAAACGTTCCCCGGATGTTACCTCAACATCTATCTGCTGAGATCGACGTATCCACATGGCAGTTGCCTGCTGTCTTCAAGTGGCTGAAGCGTGCGGGCAATGTCGCATCTGAAGAGATGGCACGCTCGTTCAACACCGGAGTGGGTATGGTTGCCGTGGTCAGTGGAAGCAACGCACAGCAAGCCATCAAGGAGCTCGAGGCAGCAGGCGAGACGGTCTTTACGGTTGGGAAGCTTGTACCTCGGACTGGATCAGATAAAGGCTGTGTCCTGAAAAACTTGTCGTCTTGGGATTGAACAGGGTGTCCAAGGCGCATGGGTAGAGAAAAGTATTGAGCGGTACTTTGTCCGCCAGAGGGTTTAGAGCGCAAGTAGTTACGTTACCATGCTTCAGATGAACAAGAGACAGACTACAAGGTGTTCATAGAACAATTCCATGATAATTGCTGTGGCTGATTGCTTGCTATGTGTGGCTTTTGCGTTGTCCAGTATAGTAGATCAGGAAGCTAATAATAGGTACCTGGGTCCTGTGTACATCGAATTCGTCTTGGCGGGGGAACTGGCGAAGTCGGCCGCTAGTGACCGTGGAGTCATGCTCCCACAAGGCTGAAGAAAGTTGAAAACAAATTTCACCTCGCACTGCTACATTACACCGCAACTTGCCTCGATCCTTCTCTCCTTAAGGGAGAGTTACTTCTTTGCGCGTGAACCCGAACCCGAATCGCTCAGACAAAATGATAACCATAAGTCCGTACCAGTTTTTCATGCTGCGCGCGCAATTGACACCGCTGGAACTGACCCCGCAAAACAGGAGTGCCTTGCTCATCCGCGAACATTGGACCGGGTTTCGATGTCATTGGTCTAGCTCTCTCGATATGGCTAGAACTGCGCGTCGATATATCTCCAGCCACGGCTTCGGGTGCGCCTCTCAATTGTGAGATTTCCTATGAAGGTGATGGAGAGGGCGAGGTGCCGCTCACCGCCGACAGCAACCTCATTACGAGGACAGCATTATATGTTCTGAGATGTCATAAGCAACGCGTATTCCCCGTGGGGACAAAGGTCCACATAATCAATCCAATTCCACTCGGTCGTGGTCTAGGATCCTCGGGCGCGGCGGTCGTCGCTGGTGTTGTGCTCGCGAATGAAGTTGGAAAGCTCGGCCTGTCGAAAGCCAGGATGCTGGATTACTGCCTAATGATAGGTACGCTGTACTCCAGTCCTAGTTCTCATCTATGTATCTAACTCTTCCCAGAGCGCCATCCGGATAACGTCGCAGCTGCGCTCTACGGGGGATTCGTAGGGACCTATTTGAACGATTTGAGCCCAGAAGACACAGAGAGGAAAGAGATCCCTCTTAGTGAAGTCCTTCCCGAACCTGCAGGTGGCGTGGATACCGGCTTGGAACCGCCAGAACCGCCGATCGGAATTGGCCACTACATGAAATTCCCCTGGGCGAAAGAGATCAAAGCCATTGCCATCATTCCTCAGTTCGAGGTAGCCACCGCAAAAGCCCGTGGCGTTTTACCAACTTCATACTCAAGAGCGGATGTAGTATTCAACCTCCAACGAATAGCTCTTCTTCCCGTCGCTCTTGGTCGATCACCGCCAAACGCAGAGCAGATTTACTTGGCCATGCAAGATAAGGTTCATCAGCCTTACAGGAAGGAATTGATACCTGGTCTGCCAGAGATCTTACTTTCTGTGACTCCAAAGTCTCACCCTGGGCTTTGCGGAATCTGCTTGTCAGGGGCTGGACCTACAATACTAGCGTTGGCCACGGACAACTTTGATAAGATTGCGAAGGTCATTTTGGACATGTTTAGCAAAAAGGATATAAAATGCGAGTGGAAGATCTTAGAGCCGGCAGAAGAGGGGACCACGGTCACTTATAGCTGAATCGGACAATGAATAACGAATCAATCTGGCATACTATACCCACGAGTTCAGCGCCAGTGGCATGCCGTGTGAAACTTGTGGCTGCAGTGATATGCGCGTAGGCATCCATTGCTGAATCATTGCTCAGAGTAATCTGTCATCCTAGCACCACAGTCATTGATACAGCTGGAATCATGATTAGTAGAAGATAGAGCCATTTGTGCTGAACCTGCCACCCCCGAAAACGCCAACGGGCCAAGTTCCAGTTCCGCAAGTACATAAATCGAAATCGACCAGTTCAAGTATCAAAAACCCTATTACCCAAGCCCACCCCAGGCACCCCTAATACGTCTCGCGAGCTGTATATCTTTTTGCATGATCGTGACTCGTTTGGCGTGGATAGCACACAGGTTTGTGTCTTCAAAGAGGTGAACAAGGAAGGCTTCGGACGCTTCTTGAAGAGCCTGAATAGCTTGCGATTGCCAACGCATGCCCTCTCCGACCGGCCGCAGAGTAAGAGCAATTTCGCGCACCTGTGTACGCCAAACTCAGTATGTGCGCTTGCTTGATGTGCATGTAGGACAGGGGGACGTACCAGTCGGGAGAAAGGAAGTTTTAGAAGCAGAAGATCTGTGGAGGATTGGAATTTCCGGATCTCTTTGAGCGCAACGGTTCCGGGCTTATAGCGACGCTTCTTGCGGTGGGGTAAAGGGTCGCCAGCTGCACATCTCAGTATTAGCAAAGCGCCGACGTGAAGTAAGTAGGTACATAGACGCGTTGTCCCGCGGCGCGCGCGCGCGAACATGCGCCCTGCGACAATGGGACTCACGAGCAATTGCGCTTCCGCCGCTCAAACGACTACCTGTGCTCACTCGCTTTCCTGCTGTCTTGGGGGGCATCGCAGCAGCAGCAGGACGACCTTTTTTCCTTCCCGAACCAGGTGTAGAAGATTCACCAAGGTTTGGCCCTCTCCTCCGAGCTTGCGACATGGTGAAGAGGAGGTTTGGCGCGCCCTAGTAGGCCGAGTGTCTGTTAAGGAATGTAACCACCAGTCTCTTTCAGCAATGCGACAGAGAAGCGTGACGGCTCAATTGAGATCGGAATGTGGGTAGGGGCGCCAAAGGGTTGGATAATTCCACAATTGACGCTGACGCGAAGTCACCACGGCAACGCGTATGGGCGAAGTACCTATATGCAGATAGAAGCGCCACGTATGTCGGCGGTAGAGCGCGTCGAATAGCAATCGAAAAGACCCTGACGAGCCTAACAATGGATGTCAGGTACAAAAGAAGCAATTCGACAGGTTGTTTACCTTAGTTTCGAATCCCAATAGCAACGCCGGATAACCAAAGGCGCTTGGTCTCGGGTATTGTAGCCGCGCGCTCTCAAATAGCCTGCCGGTTGGTGTCATCGAAGGCCAAAGTACCCGCCACATCTTACGGCTGCTATCTGTCCCACTGCCGAGCGCCCTGAGGCCACCTCGATCAGATCGTTGAAAGCCAACATATCCCCCTCCATTCCCTCTCTTTGTATGCCGCCACTACCTTTCACTTCGCGACTCGTCAACTAAGTCTCTCTTCTCCCTTTCTCTCTCTGCATTACATCCGAAACTCCAAGCACTGTCTTCCTTCGCCGTACTTCTTACAGCGGCAAGATGGATCAGATGATGGGAGGCGAGGGTGGCATTGGAGGGCAGGCCGGATTTCCCCTCGAGACCTGGTTTTGGGAGATGCCGCTCTGCACCAGATGGTGGACAACGGCCACAGTTCTGACAAGTGTCCTCGTACAATGTCAGATCGTTACTCCCTTCCAACTATTTTACAGCTTCCGAGCCGTCTTCGTCAAGTCTCAGGTCTGCCAAGTCCAACTCAGTCTGCCCACTTGGGAATACCAACAGCTAACAATGCATAGTACTGGCGCCTCCTCACAACCTTCCTCTACTTCGGTCCCCTCTCGCTGGATCTGGTCTTCCACGTCTTCTTCCTCCAGCGGTATTCACGATTATTGGAGGAATCATCCGGTCGGTCACCGGCGCACTTCTCTTGGTTGTTACTCTATGCAACGACCTGTTTGATATGTATTTCTCCTCTGGTATCCATGCCGTTCCTTGGACATCCACTATCATCGACCCTTGTCTACATCTGGTCGCGACGCAACCCAGATACCCGACTAAGCTTCCTCGGCCTGTTGGTCTTCACGGCGCCGTACCTGCCGTGGGTACTGATGGGGTTCAGTCTGATATTGCACGGAACGATCCCAAAGGATGAGATCATGGGTGTTGTTATTGGGCACGTGTGGTACTTCTTCTCGGATGTGTATCCCCCATTGCATAATGGTTCTCGTCCGCTCGACCCCCCGATGTGGTGGAGAAGGATATTCGAAAGGAGACCCAGGGTGGAGACGGCAGATGAATTCAACAATGAGCTTGCGGCTGCAGCAGTTCCTGCACCTGAGGTACGATAGTATACGAGCGTTACGGCATTGGTTTAGCATAGGGCGGAGTCTAATGGGAGTTCTGGTCGAAGGGTATAGGGTATAGGGTATCTCTTCGCATAAGCTGCATGTGCACTGGGAATTCAAGGGGGAGAAAGGTTCTGCATAATCAAATGATACCATATATTCATGAACGAAAGATGCTCTTCAATTCACGTGCCAGTGTCCGTTCGCCCAGCATCTTCTCCCTCTTCTTCCTTCTCTTCAGTAATAGGTGCATCAGGGGCAACGGGGAAATGTAAATGCTTCCAATCCTCCAACTCTTCAATAATAGACCGTAGGCGATCTCGGATGCTTTCGATGGCATAGCTTCCTAGCAATAATCTCAACGGCGGATAAGAGCAGTGTCCCAACTGCCAAACCAGTTCCGCGCACTTCACAGCACTAGTAGGCTGTTTGTCCCCCAGCCACTGTACCATTCTCTTCGCATGCAGAGCCGGCGACGTAGCTTGCGAATACGGCTCACTTGCTGGCTTGATCAAGAAGTGCCCCCAGGTAGGCAGTGGATTCGAGTCCCAATCCGGTTCATCTCTCCTTACCAGACCAGGTTCCACAAGCGTAGCTTTGATGTTGAACGAATCGATCTCATAAAGCATGGCCTCAATCAAGCCCTCCACCGCATATTTCGTCGCACAATAAGGTCCCAGTCCCGGTACACCCAGAGCCCCCGACGTCGAACTAAAAATGAGATATCTGCCCGCCCCCTGCTCTCTGAAATACGGCAGGCTCAACTGTATAATATGCAACGTGCCCATGAAGTTCGTCTCGAACTGGTTCCGGACCTCGTGCTCGTCCTGGTCCTCACATGCGCCGATGACCCCATATCCGGAGCAGTTGGCGATCACGTCGACGCGCCCAAAGTGCTTGATCCCTTTTTCGATTACTTCTCCCACCGACTCTCGTGCCCGGACGTCGCAGAGCGTGCCAAGGCAGTTCTCATGCCAGCCCTGCATCGATTCCAGGGTATTTTCGAAGGTTCGTCCGACTGCCACAACAAGGTCGCCTTGGTTTAGACAGGAGCGCACAAGGCTCCTCCCCATATGCCCTGTACTGCCAAATATCTAGGAGCAGAGTCAGCCATGGATGCTAGTAGAGGTCCGGAACTCTGTCGAAGAACAGCCGCATGAACCCTCGTGGGGATTGCTGCCTCGTCTTAGAAGCGATAGTACATAAACATATAGAACGGCAACTCACAATCCATACAAGCTGCTTAGGAGGATTCGCAGGTCCGGGAGGATCGCAGCTCACTGGCAGCTGCAACTGTGTCGTCTTGCTGCTCCCCGGCGACATGCCTTCTCCATTATGGGCCGGTTCGTGATGCCCTCCATCATGGGCCTCCATTGCCTCTTATGTGTCTGTCATTGGCCGCCTTAACTCATGGCATTATGGTGCAGGATCGATTTCCCGACTGAACGTTGTCGAGGTACAGTAACTGGCGCTACTTATTTACGATGTAAGACACCAAGGACGTTAACCGCAAATATAAAGATAAAATAGGCGGGGGCAATGTGCATATTGAGCCCGGGGTCCATGCGGGGTATCAGGAACAACATTTTTTCGGCTTGCATGGGAACACTCATATCTCAGTCTTACCATCTCTATCTCTTGCTGATGCCTACATTTCTATAGATACATATTTCCTGTATTCCGTTTGGTCTTGCGATCAGACCATGAACGGGTTTAATAGCCAGTACGGTAGTGATGAACCTAGGTAGCTATGAATCAAGAGATCAAGAGCATTTAGGTATTCGTTGGCATTATAGTGGCTAAACTATCATGATGGAAGACAGAGAAAGAGATGCTCAGCTAACACAATCAAGACAGGTGGACAGAGGGCCAAAGATCCTCATGGCCGTGGGATATTTAGCAAACAGTGCTCTGGTATTTCTAGATTCGTAGACAATCATAACTCAACCCCATCAATCCCTCTCTAGCCGGCAATAGCAGCAGTCCGGGCCTGTAGGTATTCCTTGCGATAGGGGTTGACATCGACTTCCGGGCCACGGTTCAAAGGCGTCCACTTCGGCTCCTCCTTGAAAAGCCTCATGGCTTGAATATACTGCATCAACTTAGCGCGCTGGACCACACCACGGGGCCTCCAAACTCACGTTCTTGTTGTCTGTTGTGAAACGGTGGTAGATACCAGCCGGTAGAATCTGATACCCAGTCAGAGATGTACCCCGCCAGGGAGCACCACCATCAACTTACGATCAAGTCGTCCTTTTCCAAATGGATGCGAACCCATTCGTCACCCTCACTTCTGACATCAAAGAACCCAGTACCGTCCCTGATATATCTGATCTCCTCGTCCTCGTGCAAGTGCTCGTCGAAGAACATCTTGACCTTCTCCTCGTAGACATCGCCCATCTTCTCTGGGGATACGGTGATCACATCGCGATTCTTGTAGCTTCGTTCGGCGGCAAGCTTGTCGACATCTGCAACGTCGGAGAACCGATAGTAGAGGACTCCCAGCTTGGAGAGATACTCCTGGGGAACCTCGCGACCGGAGTCGTGGAGTTCGCGCTGGTCAACGCTCTGGCTAAGGTCAGCGGGGTGGCTTTGCGAGAGAGGGGTCGAGTACCATACATCGTCGTTATCGTACCAGTATGCTCTCATTTTGGCAGTTGATTGCAGATGCTCTTGGTTGTAAAATTCAGGAAGCGCCTTTATGTAGAGTGGGATTTTATAAATTGTTTGCTCCTACAAAACTACGAAACTACGAGATGGTGGTCGCCGATTTGCAAATTCAGTCGTTCTTATTCGTCATTGCACATGACACGGGCACGCTTCCACGATATCTCAACTAACGATTCTGGAGAATATCAGAAGTGTATTGCTCAACTCCATATGCCCCTCGAGTTTTCCTTGTCCCATTTACAACAAATCATGCAATACTCGTCACCCATACTTGATATTCAACTCTAGTATCCGTGAATGGATACCAGAGGGTTCAGCATAATAGAGGATACAGGGACATTTCTTGAATTAACAACTCTGAGACTGTGAATCTTCTAATAGGAGATCTCAGTCAGCTTCAGCTCAGCTTACCCCGTATAGCTACTTCCCATTTAATGGGAGGGAAATTTATGCGACTCTTATCCGCAGAGCTCTCTTAAAATCTGAAGTAAGCCACGATGTACCAATGCCATATCCCTCTTCTTACCATGGCTGGGGGTAAGAAATACCAAAAGAGGTCAAAATGCCGCTTTCAATGTGTATCATCACAGTGTGAAGCAACCTAGCTGCGGGACATTGTGCCTCGAGGCAGGAGTCTGTAAGAGACTTCATGCTTAATAGTAACTCGGTGTATATACGCCCCCCCCCCCCAACAAAAACACCCAACACGAAGACGACAGTTCCCCCCTCATTTCTATTGTGACACCTTTCGCTATAAAAATAACTACCTTGGTTTAACGACACCCACAACGCTTGACTCGTCTAGCTCACTGCTTTTTCTGGCTCAATACCAGCAGATTTCAATGACCCCGGCAAGCTTGCAAGCGTGTCGAAAACAGGGTGAACTAATATGGTGATTTTAGATCTGATCGAGGATGCCGATGTGCCTGCTTGTTGTCCAACGAAGCAGATCATTATCTGGAAGAGGTTGGGCTTTGCATGAGTGTATATCGGATTGCGGTTCTTTATCAGTTCAACGTGGTATTTAGGAACACCCAGACGTACGCACATAGTCTGTTAGGGAACCGGAATAATATTATCGCTCTGAGATCTCGGGATTCGATTTCTGTCCCAATCCTGCTGGACAAGAGCCATGTCTTATGAAGACAAATCCGCATAATCAGGTTTGACCTGTTGGATCTCATAGTATGCCCATAGTCAAATCCCTTCGCGAACCCCCTAATCGGAGGTACTTTTGGAGAGACCTAACCTTCGAGAGCTTCAACTAACGGCCCCTTCGTCACGGTCACTTGCTGGGCCTGGTAGGGTTCTTTCAATCCCAGTCGTCATCGTCGTCACTCTCCTCCTTCGCTGCTTTCCCGTTACCGTACGGCAAGCCACCAGCATCCACCGTGGTCTTCGCCCTTTGTACAACTCCCGAGCTCAAAAGCCTCGCCTCTAAATCCTTGGTGGTAAAAGTATCTTGGGTATATCCCAACCCCTCAAAGCCGACAATCCGATCAACGCTCACACCGTCAATGAAAGCCAAAACACAAGGCAACACCTGGACCTTAAGCTTCGTAACCAGGAATGGAGCGTTCTCGACATTCATCTTCAGGAATCTGGTGTCAAAATGCTTCTTTGCTAGGGCCTGCCTTGAGTCAGTAACAATGTTGCCAATGAGCAGGAATCCAGCAGACCTCTAAATGTACGTCCATAGTCCTACACCTGACAAAGTCGTCCTTCGCAAAATGCACAACAGCATATTTAACCTCGGTGGTCAAGTCCATCAAAGCCTTTTCCTCTTTTATTTCGGTATAGTTGCCAAAGCCCTGGGTCTTTTGTGCCTTCGCCCGTGCGAATTCGGAGTGTAGTTGCTGGAGCCTCTGCTCACGAAAGGCGTCCATAGCGGGGGAATCTTCCAGGGATGCGATAAGATCATCTTCATCCTCTGAATTGGCAGCATCCAGCACGGATGCTACATGGGAATCGATATTTGCCATGGCGATACTTTAGTAAGTTTCTTTAGAAGACGCGTAGAAAGTCGCTTTGCAAAGTTCACCCGGTTCGCTAAGGAGGAAAAGGAGTCGTAGATGTACTGTAGATCTCTCGGCGCATCTTTACATGCCACTAGAAAGGGAATATATGACTTTCAAGTTTCTTTTATAATATCTTGATCATGATACAGGAAGTATCAACTTTCTCTTGACACTCGCGACAGACGTTTCAACTCCAAGAATCATGTTCGTTTTGTCGCCCTGAATGCGCATCCCTGTATAGCCGCATCTCCTAAAAGGGGATCGCTTAAAAGGTTCCAGGAATAGAGGCCAGCATTACCTTCTAAAAGGGGCTGGGCTGTTATGTGCAAAGGGGTTTATATACAAAATACGGTCTTAGAACAAACTGACTTTGAAAGATGCGAAACAATTTTCGGGCATGGAATTTATTCAATTATAACACGGTTTCCTCACAGATTAGTAAAAGCCAACAGTGTGTAATAATAGTAGTAGTAAGACATGTAAAACCAGTGTTACTGGCGTTTTCTATGCGCTTTCGCTTACCACCAGATCCCGGTATCTGTATACTTGTATTATTTCACTTCCGTCTCGACTTCTTCTCCACGACCCTGAACGAACCCGTCGCCACCACTCCCACGCTCGAGCACGCCGATCAATGTTGTGATATTAACGATCCCGCAACCTCAGCGATTCTCCCATCCTGCGTCGACACCAGAGCGTCCTCTCCCACCCCCCTTGCGAACCTCGCGCGTCTAGACATTAAAAGCCTCTCGGCCGCGCCAGCGTTGAACCCGAGCAGCCATGGCTGACAAGAAGAACGAAGACTACACGGGCAAGCCGGAGCATGAGATGCGTACCTTTAATGCCTCGCCCTCACCACGTCGAGACGCTGCTGGCAGAGGAAGAGGCCCCTTGCCCCTCTCGAACATCACAAATAGTCCTCCCATCTCGATCTTGGCATATTGTCTGGCATCAATTTCTATGACAGTCACGAACAAGTACTGTGTTTCTGGCGCAGACTGGAATCTAAACTTCTTTTACCTGGCTATCCAAGTAAGTCTCCAATATGATGTACGATTTAGGGAAAGATCTGATGGTTCAACAGTCTCTGGTCTGTATCATTGCCATTGTCATTTGCGTACAGGTGGGATTGATTACGAACTTGGCACCTTTTGACCCGAAGAAGGGAAGGACATGTAAGAAAGACGTTATCCTGGTAATCTATGCGCGCTAATTCTAGAACTCAGGGTTTCCAATCTCTCTGCTCCTCGTTGGTATGATCTATACAAGCACCAAGGCCCTTCAGTTCCTTTCTGTCCCGGTTTACACCATCTTCAAGAACTTGACGATTATTGTCATTGCATATGGGGAGGTGCTGTGGTTTGGGGGAAGTGTCACGGCATCGGCTCTCTTTTCCTTCGGACTCATGGTTCTCAGCTCAGTTGTTGCTGCTTGGGCGGATATTCAGAGTGTGCTTTACGGCAGCTCTAAAGGACAAAGCGCAGAGGCTGCTGCAGCGCTTTCGACATTGAACGCTGGCTATGCTTGGATGGGAATGAACGTATTCTGTACCGCAGCGTATGTTCTGTCCATGCGCAAGGTCATCAAAAAGATGAACTTCAAGGACTGGGATAGTAAGTTTACTGCCACTATCTCTTTCCGGATTAGCACTAACGTTTTACAGCTATGTTCTATAACAACCTGTTGACGATTCCCGTGCTCTTCATCTGCACGTTTGCCTTCGAGGACTGGTCAGATGAAAATGTCCACAAGAACTTCCCCCTCGAAACCAGAAACAGCCTCCTCGTTGGAATGATCTATTCTGGTCTTGCGACAATCTTCATCTCCTACTGCTCGGCTTGGTGTATTCGTGTTACATCCTCAACTACTTACTCTATGGTTGGCGCACTGAACAAGTTACCCATTGCAGTCAGCGGTCTCATCTTCTTCTCGGCACCTGTCACGTTTGGAAGCGTATCAGCAATCATCATTGGGTTCATCAGCGGCATCGTATACGCATGGGCGAAGGTCAGGCAAACGCAGGCCAACAAGATGACACTCCCTACAGCTCAGCCAGTCATGAGCGCGAGCTCGCAGAGCAATCGTGATGCTGCAAGCTCGTAATAGATTTCTTCCTGAGCTCCTTTGGACTCGCTTCTTCGGCATTCAAGATGCGTTCTAACGCTACCGGTCACAATCGGTCACAGATTTGAGGGATCTCGACATTTGGAACTATTCAGAATGATGGGAATGATCAAGATGGCGGCCTCAGCAGCATTGAGATCATGGTTTCTTCTTGTATTATAACACTTCTACTTTGTTCCGCGTTTTCTAGGGGGTGGGCTGGGAAGGTCGTGAAAGATTCTGGCATATGTCCGTCTGCAAGGCCCGAGAAGCATGTGGATTGGTGTTGGACGATGAGTTCTTGTATCACGGCGTATGTTTCGGCGATGGCTAGCAGTAGGTATAGTATTACGAATAATGGACAGACACGGAGTAGACATGTGCCTTATCCTCTTTCCTTGGGTCTTTGTATAGTTGTTTCCTACTTTATATCATCTCTATGCTCGGTATTATGATTTGCTGTCCCCTTTCTCACAATTCCCATTAATTACTAAAGTGCTCTCCACTTACTACTCCCCTCATGAAGCCACACCTCTACTACTCTTTCTTCATACATTTCCCCGTACACTGCATAATGCGGAACGAAGACCTAGTGTCGGGAGATACTCTCGGGGGGATACTTTTGTTTATAAAGGGGGTTAAAAAAGGGGGCATATCATTGTGAGTGAAGGTGCTGAGTTAAAGCAAATATATGTATACGCTGCATACGCTATTCTCATTTGAATGATAAATGAAAAAAAGATAATATAATAATAGTGGAATGCTCACAAAAATAAAGCACCCACGTACCTTAGGTAGTGGAACATTCTGATATCGAAGAGTCGAGAGCCTCGGCTGGACCGATGACGTCTGGGCTTCGCGTTTGGCGCGTCTCAAAAATTTATCCATCATTGAACGTCTCCTGAACCTCGAGTCGGTCATATATCCCCCACATTGAAAAGGTGTCTGCGACTCGCACACTTCTTGCAACCAAGGAGTTTCTCTCCACAGCAATGGAATCCAGAAGATAGCAACTGAGACTTCAAAGATGTCCACTACTACTACAGATGTGCCAGTCCCCAAGGCTGAATCTACGTAAGTCTAGACCCCCCAGGCCCAGGATTACACAGCTCACAGAAGTTCGCAAAGTCTCTCCTTCACGCAAGGTCTGCTTCTCGGGCAGCTCTCGATCGTTATTCTCATTGGGGCCTTCATCAAATTCTTCATCTTTGGCGATCCGCCATCGCCCGACGTGACGGCAGCGTTGCGAGCCACCGAGCGCCGCTCGCGCACCCTCGCACACAAACGCTCCCTCCTGACGCTGCGCAGCAGCAGCAGCAGCACGACGACGACGACGACGGCCCGCCAGGCCTCGCAGCCGCTGAACAAGAAGCGGTCGAGCGTGCTGCGCAACCCGCCGCCGCTGACGACCACGACGATCCTGAACAAGACGTACTACAATGTGGACAGCCACCAGCCCGAGAGCCTGGACTGGTTCAACGTGCTGATCGCGCAGACCATCGCGCAGTTCCGCAGCGATGCCCAGCACGACGACGCCATCCTGACGTCGCTTACGAAGGCCCTGAATGGGTCCGCGCGCCCCGATTTCCTCGACGAGATCAAGATCACCGAACTCAGCCTGGGCGAGGACTTCCCCATCTTCAGCAACTGCCGGGTCATCCCCGTGGATGAGGACGGGCTGAGCGCGGGCACGGGACGGGGAGGGGAGGGAGGGGGGGCGGGCAGGGAGCACGGGAGGTTACAGGCACGGATGGATGTTGATCTCAGCGACTTCATCACGTTGGCGCTGGAGACAAAACTACTGCTAAACTACCCCAAACCACTGGTCGCGGTGCTGCCCGTTGGGCTGGCGGTGTCGGTGGTCCGCTTCAGCGGCACCCTCTCCATCTCCTTTATACCGGGCAGCCCGCTGAACTCGAGCCCGACGACGCTGGCCTTCAGCTTCCTGGACGATTACCGGCTGGACCTCTCGATCCGGAGCCTCGTGGGGAGTCGGTCGCGGCTGCAGGACGTGCCCAAGATCGCGCAGCTGGTGGAAGCGCGGCTGCACACGTGGTTCGACGAGCGGGCGGTCGAGCCGCGCTTCCAGCAGATCGAGCTGCCCAGCCTGTGGCCGCGGAAGAAGAACACGCGCGGCGGCGACGAACCCAACGGCGAGCCGGCGAGCGTGAGCAGGGCGAAGGGCAAGGAGATGGAGCGGGACCTGCGCGACGAGGCTCGGCGGGAGATCGAGGGCGAGGCTCGGGCGCGGGCTGAGACGGAGCGGGCGGAGAGGCTGGAGCAGGAGGGGCTACGGCGGCGGCGGGGTGAGTACGCGATGCCTGGGAGCATGCCAGTATAAAGAGAGAAGTTGAAGAGAAAGGATGGACGAGATAGATGATGATATGATGATATGATGATAAGAATAGACCTTATAATAGAAAGAAGATGCGCGGATGATGCGAGATGTCACAACTAAGGGATGGCGCAGCCGATGGCGCAACAGAGGCGTGATAGAGGCGACATGTTGGAGTGGTGATAGGATGGCGGAGGATGGATCATGTATGGTATAATCGTACAGGTAAGAAGATACTACTTGATCGAGAATACGCGACAAGAGACGAAGTGCAGGACAGGACACGTACGCACCGCCCATTCTCGCAGCGGGCGGATGACGCCTCCTCATTCGCGCAGCCAGCGAGCAGAGCGCAGTGACATGCCGGGGCGTTGTTGGGCCGAGGCATCAAGGCACGACGGCGTCACTGGCGGGAAACACTTATGAAGACTTTCTGCAGCATAATAATTCCGTGGCAGCGGAGCGGTGGAGATTGGAGATTGGAGATTGGCCGGCGCCCCCCTTTCCAGACGGTAGACCCAGCCGCGGAACGCGTAAGACGCTCGTGGGGGGGAGAAGTTAAGTTCGTGGCACACTGGGCCCGGAGGGGGCTAGCGGGGAGGGGGGCGGCGCGCGAGAGATCTCTGAGAAGTTGCGGCCAATCAGAAGTATCCAGCATGACACTATTTGCGGTTGGAAGTTGGGATCTTGCATGGATCTAACTAGATACGGACTAGCAGCAGGGCGGAGCAAGGTACCTGTCCCCTTGCTACCATATTTAGGGGGACGCTAGACCAGAGTGGGGATGGACGATGGATCATACCTGAGGTTGTCTGTCAGTCTCTTGGCTTTCCTCGTCTCAGTCTCGTCTCCTCGTCTCGTCTCGTCTCTCTCCTCAGATCTCATCTCTCCTCAACCCGTCGCACCTTCTTCTCTCGTCTCTTCTCCCCCCCCAACTTCTTTCCTCCACCGATGATGGCCGCGTCGTTCCTCGTGCTTTCCCCCGTCGCCGTCTAATCGATTCGAATCCGTCCATCATCAGTTGTTGTGCATATTCTGCGCCTGCCTCTTCTTTTTTTCGCCGCCTTCGCCTCCTTTTTATTCTCTTCACGTCGCTCCTTCCTGACCCCCCCCTTTTTTTACCTTCCTCACCACTTTGACCTCCCCCCCGGGCCCCCAACCAACCAACCATTCGAATATTCTTTCTTCCCAGAAGGGCCATATCTATCAGATCGGGCTCCCTTTTCCTCTTTTCACTAGTCATTCCTTATCTGGACTATACGATACTTTACAAGACAAGACATCCTTCGGCTTCTTCTCTTCTTACGTTGAACTACTCGACGACACTTTCAACCACCAACATTCATACGATACACGTACATACATACACACACACATACACACGCACACGCACACAAATACGCACACACAAAACATACAAAACAAAACCTCCACGGCCAACTCACCCACCATGCGGCGTGGTACCATCATCTTCCTCGTCATCAACCTGCTGGTCATCGGCCTCCTCATCAATGCCTTCAGCACTCTGATCTCCCTGCTGTTCGAGGACGGCTCGGCCGACGCCATCCACCGCGCCGAGATCCCCGCCCCCGGCTCCGACCTCATCGACAACCGCACCCAGCTCATCCCCAAGATCATCCACCAGACCTACATCAACACCTCCATCCCCGAGCAGTGGAAGCCGGGCCAGCAGTCGTGTATCGATCTGCACCCGGATTATGAGTACATGGTGAGTTTTGTTGCTCCTCATCCTCTAATATCCATCATCTAACATCCACCAGCTCTGGACCGATGAAAAGTCCCGCGCCTTCATCGCCGCCGAGTACCCCTGGTTCCTCGAGACGTTCGACAACTACCCGTTCCCCATCCAGCGCGCCGATGCCATCCGCTACTTCGTGCTCGCCTACTACGGCGGCATCTACATTGACCTTGACGATGGCTGCAACCGCCGTCTTGACCCGCTCCTGAGCTACCCCGCCTGGCTGCGCTTCACCATCCCCACGGGCATCAGCAACGACGCCATGGGCTCCGTCCCCCAGCACCCCTTCTTCCTGCGCGTCATCGAGTCCCTCCAGTCCTACAGCCGCAACTGGGGCATGCCCTACATCACCGTTATGTACAGCACCGGCCCCCTCTTCCTGTCTGTTGTCTGGAAGGAGTACATCGGCGTCGCTCGCGAGGCGGCGGAGCGCGTCCGCATCTTGATGCCCGGCGACTACAAGGGCCACAGCTGGAGCTTCTTCAACGTCGTCAAGGGGAACAGCTGGCACGGGAAGGACGCCCAGACCATCTTCTGGATGGGCCGCCACTGGATGCTGCTGACCGTGGCCGGCTTCGCCATCGCCGCCGTCGTCGGCGGCTGCCTCTGGTGGTCGTGGACCATCTGGGTCATGCGGCGCGGTAACACGGCCGCCCGGCGTCGCGCGCTGTGGAGACGGGCGCCGAGCAAGGAGCGGTACGAACTCGTGGATCGGATGGCGTGAGGTTATGCGGTGTTTGGAGAGCACAAGAGAGACGGCCCTCGCTAGTGCAGCACATGGGACCATTGTTCATCTTTTGTGGCCTTTGTATGATTAGGGTTATGATTCTTCTATATGCGAGGAGTTGGGCCATAGATTTGGTAGCATCTGAACCAGGCTTCGTTTTGTTTGTCTATATAATTGATTTTGATTCTGACTTGACTGTGATGTCTGACGATTCTGATTGTTTTCTGTGATGTCTGAACGCTTTCGATTGCTTTATTCTGTACTGTACGTAACAGGTTCTTTATCATCCCACTTTGCCCACCTTCCCATTAACTCCTCCCCTCTCTGGCGCCCCTCCCGCTCGCACAAGATCTAATGCGCCGCGATACAAGCAAGAAAGAGAATCCTTCATTATTCGATCCGTCTTCATTCATCAACGACATATAAGAACTACCTACCTAGTCTTTTGTCTTTGAGATCTGTGTATCCTAGGTAGATATCTTTATGATATTTCTGTATATGAGTAGGTACCTTAGGTAGGTAGGTAGGTACCTATATGAGTATATATATGAGTATATATATGAATATATATATATATCAGCCCAAAATCATAACCTTTCCACCTCCTCATCCCCATTCTCTCTCACTGTCTGTCTCTCTCTGTCTGTATACATCCCGTATCCATATCCATATCTGAGTTCTTTCTCGAAAATAATTCGTTCGTTTAGTATACCTATATCCATATATCCAAGAAAAAAGCGAAAGTTCAAAGTTAAGACAGCACAGCAGCAGCAACCGGATGATCCGAAGCTGCGATGTTGCATTGATGCATAATGCGCGGTCCGTAGGATGTTGGGAATTCTGTCTAGAATTTGGATTGGATGTGTTAGTTAGGGAGGGGGGAGAAGGGGGGGGAGATGGA